CACTGTTGGAGCAGTTTGTCCAAACCTTTTGGAAACACTGGCTCCATTGACAATAGTTTGCAACCATGACATATCAAATGAACAACATTGAAATGAAAGCTGCTTTTCCATTTGTTAAAGGGAATCATCATGCTACCATTACATTTCATTAAACAGAATCAGCCACAAAGAGCAGCAGTGTTTGGCAGAAAATGTTGATATCTGACTTTTCTCAGCCTGTCTAGCTAAAAAGAATAACGTAGAAAAACCAAAGAACCAAATCTGCTCACTAAAGCTTTAACTACTTTGGTGGTGGCAGTATGATATTTTTGGTTTAAGTTTGACTAAGGGCTGTTGGCCTGGTGGTATAGGTTAATATTTTCTATGACACAGAGCATAGAAAACAAATGGCTGTTGTAATCTGCCACGGCATTCTGACAAACCTCTGTCAGCACATGTTTGATTGGTTCAGAGAGTTGGGGTGTGTCCTCTGTCAGAGTGAGAGGCCTGGAAGTATTAGGCGCCCGAGGGTTAACTGAGGGCTGAAGCCCAGTGATCTACAAATCTACTTTTAGCTCTGTCTCTATTTTCTTATCCACCAAACACACACACACAGACATTTGTTGCTTTTTTCAGAGAAAGAGCTCATTCAGGAATTGTTAAAAGTATAAAGCTGGTGATCAGTAATTATCTGCTATTGTTTGCTGGGTTTAAGGCTAAATAATCTTATTTCCTCCTTTACTTTAAGCCAAAATGCTCTGATGGTTTAGAGGTGTGATGGGCATGGAGAGGACAATGGGGATTGACAAAATGGTTCACTGATCATGTTAAGCAGCTTGTGTGGAAAGACACTCCCCACTTTATCAGCTTAATGGGTTTCACCCCCTCTTTACAGTCTGTTACAGTAGAACCTGAAATCCCAGAATTGGTTGTAGTTCTTTATATCTCATTATGATTGTTGATTCCTGTTGCGATATAAGAAGATCCCTATGCTCAAAGCCCAGCCTACAAAGAAACAGGTTTTTCACACATTGATGAGAAGGAACTTGACTGCCCTGCATATAACCCACAGGACCACAAACCCATCCAACACCTTTGAATGCCCTTAACAGAGTGACAACAGCACATTCCATCACAAACACAAGGCTCGTGCCTGAGCAGAGGCTCATTAACGAGCTTAGCCTTGTTATACCGGTCGGTCCCTGAGAGGGGGCTCAGCTAAGGGGGCCAAATCCACTATTGTGTGTCACGCTCCCTCACCACTCAGGTCCCCCTTTTATTGTAAAAGACAAAGGTCACCTTTCTGTTCTCACAACCTGTCAGTTCAACATGCACCCCTACAGCATAACACGGTCCAGTAAGAGCTATAGGTTTGAACATCACATGGTCAACGCAGACATGCCAAAAGCTCCAGGCTTAAAAGAGACCAGAGAAACAGTTAGAGTTTGAGGAGAGACCGAGTATAGCCTCGATCACTAAACAGCAACCATATGGCACATCTAAGTAAGTCATTCCCATGGAGGATAAGTCACCTCCACTTCCCCCACCCCCTCCTCCCCCACGGGACTGCTTTAACCAATCTGGTTCCAAGTTCACAAAGCCCAATGGTGCTCAGCTCTATTGAGATCAGTTGGTTGTGATTTTCAGTGGAAATTGAACGCACTTGCCATCTCCTAAACACCAAGCCTTTTACAGCCACAAACAAGCAGTTATCAAGAGCACAGAGCAATGATGAGTTTAAACTTGCTGTTAATGTTGAGCACTCCACTACTTTGCATCCTTTATGCCAGTGGTTCTCAAACTATGGTACGCGTACCACCGGTGGGGTGGTATTATTATATTATATTATATATTATGGATATATTAGGCTATGCATTTTAATAAAAACACTGCAAAAAAAGAAAGAGATAAACAGCAATGCTCCTCCTCCTCTCTGCAACTGGGTTTGTTTCCCCGACATAGAGGAAATCGTTGACCAACACACGCACGCACGCCAAAAACAACACACACACAACAACACACGCTATCTATGGGCATGACAAACTACATAGCCGAGAAAAATAACTGCAGAAATCCATAACAGATGCAGCGGGCGAACAAACAAACAGATGAACAAAATGAACGACTGGCACCTTGGACAGCGCCGCGGCACGTAATGCACAGACCTGCAGCAAAAGTGTTCAACCTTTACGGTGCACTTCCCACTCACAGGGTGCCTGCACCCCTCGCAGGAGACAATGGTCACATTTTTCTTGCAGTGCGTGTTTGTCTGACACTGCCTCCTACTCAGCTCTTGTGGATGTTGTGGCTCAGTGGGCACCGACCTCAGACTGGCCTTGACACGCAGGTGTTCCTCTCTCTGTTCCTTTGCCGGCTCAAGAATGAGCATGTATCTATCTGTCTATGGTCTCTATCTATCTCTTTGTATATCATATCTATCTGTCTGACTTCTATCTATATGAAGTCTATAAACAGAAATAATAACTAATAAAAATTAAAACGACACGCGAAAACAATCCAGGGCAATTGCGCTCTCTCTCTCCCCTGCTCCCTCTCGCTCTCTCAGGCACGCAGCAATTTTATGAATAAATGAAAAATTAAATAAGAAGAGGTTTGAAATATACTTGGGCCCAGGTATCGTCTATTAGTGGGAAACACTGGAGATTAAATATTCTCAAACAGATTGTTGGTATAAAGTTGTCATTTGTATTGTGCTGCACTTTTTTGGGGATTTGGGCAAATGTCAGTGTTGTGTGGAGTTTAAGTGCCAGTTCTAGCGCTAATCCTTAGTAGTCCTATAGTGTGGCTGCCAACAGTCAATAATAAATAACCTCCTGCGTAAAATGTGTGTAGAAATAGGTCTATGGTGTATTTTAACATCTACCATAATGGTGGTACTTGGAGAGCCAAATATTTCCGGAGGTGGTACGCAGTCTAAAAAGTTTGAGAACCACTGCTTTATGCTGCACAGTGAGGACACAGCCAGCGATAATTACGGCACAGTTTGACTGTAGGAGAGCAAACTTGCAATAAAGGAGAGAAGGAAGGACAAAAAACAGCATCTGCTAATGCATGGAACTTGTCTCTCGCCTTGTCTCGGATAAACCTAATGAGAAAAAAATAACTATCCTGGGGAAAAGAATGTTAAAAAAAGACTTAGTACAAAAGATTTGTATTATGGCATCAGACAAATGGAAAAGCCTCAAGTACGTCTATGGATGACAGAAACAGAAGAACAGAAGGTGAAAATCTGCAACCTTTTAATGTTGAGTCATGCTTGTTATCCTGTCCTCCGTCTCAAATAAAACACATCATGATGTAACCAGCAGCCAGCTAATGACGCTCTTACCCTTTAAACCACAGAGTTTTTGTTTAAAAAAGTAGGCTACTTGGCTAGGCACCAAGTCCACATTTCTAATTAAACTAGCCTTTATTGCAACATAATGCACAGATGTTTGCAATCGCATGATTAGGTAGCAAAAACGTAAACTCTTGCACCTTTTACCCTCACAATGATGTGATAGCTGGTATAGATGACATATTGGTTCATAAACTAGCCTCTTAAGAGATGAACCGGTGTGATTGGTATAGAGCTGCTTTCACTATTTCACTCTTAAGAATTGAAAGACAATTTCAGTTGGGCTGCCCCTGAAAGAGAAGGTTTTTCCATTCCACCTCGCCGTAGGAGACTCCTTCCTTCCCTGCTGGAAAGGAGTAAGGGGGGGGTCTCAGGAGAAAGGACATGACGCAAAAACGCAACAGTGGTGGAAGAAGCAACAGAATCCGTGATAAAAAGAGCGTTTCAATATGTAAACAGAGGTCGCATCGGTCATGTGCATACTCTCTATGGGGTCATTTGCCGGTCGCAGGATGTAAACGCCACCAAAACATTCACTAGGGGGGCTGGCAAGTCCCACTGCACAGTGCGCTTCATTTAGAGCAGCAGTAAAGAGGCATTAAACCGATGCATGAACAGGTCAGCAGCCCGAGCGTACAAACACCAATGAGATTTGCATTTATGGATTAATAATACTATCGCTCATCCTCTGGGCTTTTCTTCTTTAATCTGCAGCCACAGTGGAATAACAGCTGTGCTCTGCCTATTCTGAAAGTGAATACCAACACAGACACAGATACTGCTACACAGGTTGAATTGCAGAGGCAAAGAACAAGAGTTTGGTCTTGATAAAAAGAAAAGTTGAAATGCCACATAACAATAAACAGCAAATGGAGAGTGACTTTTAAAAAAAAAACTTTCTTGTATTCAGCAAGAAACCTCCAGTTAGAGCAAGTCAAACATCAAAAAGGGGAGGAGAACGCTCACATACAAATCCATCATTTGGACCTTGACCCTCATGCTGCACAACCTACACACCGACCTTAACAGAGAAGCATTTTGGATCTCGATAACAAAGAATAACCGTGAAACAAAAACGAGTGCAAGGTTGCTGTTACCTCCTCCAGCAGGAAAGTCTTTAAAGGTATCACTGAGACAGTTCCAAAGACAGGCTGTTCTCACCGTTATTGATTAAAAGAGTCATATGAGCCACAGTTTGATGAGAGGGCGGGGAGATGCTGTCATCATAAAGACATGGTCTCGTCTAAATGCCAGCACAGTGATTGTTATACACTATCTACTGGTGTTAATGGGACGACTAAGCTGGACCTCCTATAAAGACACAGTTCAGGAGTTATTCACTATGCAGTTGCTCTTTTGAGAACTTTTAGTCTAGACTATACAACGTGTATGTTCACATAAACTTGAATATCCTGCTTTTGATCAGGTTTTTTAAGTATCCTTTTCTTAAGTTTGTGCATGTAAACATATCCTGATTTCAGAAACCAGGATAAGCCCTTATGCTGATTTTGCTTCCTGGAGAGCCCCAAAAGAAAATGGGATATGGCATGTAAATGCTCTTTTCCTGTTGCTGGAAATTAGGAAAATATCCCATAGCTGCAACGCGATGTTGCATTTTATAGGTCTAAGCCTGCAATAAGCCTTCTGACTTTCTGTGTCTTACCTGGCTTCTATGTGGTCAAACAGATGCTGCCAGCGGTCGTTGATGTCCTTCAGCTTGTCGTTGATCTCCGTCTCTTTCGTCTTGTTGCTGGCTGTGATGAGTTGTTCTCCGAGCTGCTTCAAATGGGTTTTATTCTCACTGAACAGGTTGATCTCCTCCATACAGTCCTAAAAGGACAAACACAAAACATCCAGGACAGAGTAAGCAGCTGCGGAGTCACTTTCAAAACCATGCTGATCATTTGTATTGCACACTGAAAGGTCTCTAAAGAATTTGGTAAAAGTCTTTGTCATAAGTCTCACATGATAAAAGTTACGAATAGGGTTTGATCTTTAATGTCTCAAACAGGAGGAAAACTAGATTTAATATGCATCAAAACGATGAAAGGGGTTAAGGTTTAAAGACAAAGTGGGTACACTCTCCTCCTTTGACAAAAATAGTGCAACCTTTAACGTGTTTTAACCTTCATTATATCCAAGAAATCGTGACAGCCTTTGACTTTGGAAGTCCGCCAGAAAGAAACACAGAGCTCCTGCCAAGACCTTCTGTGTCAGAACAAGACACTAAATTTAACTCTCCACAGCCTGAAAAGGTTTAATCTTCTCTGCCAGGGCAATAAGTTTGGTTTTCTACAAGAGAAATCGCCTTTACTACCCTACAACCCCCCCCCCCCATCTCCTCCTCTAGCCGCTCTGCTCACACTGTGACAAATGAAAGGGCCCGGGAGCTCGACACAAAACAAACCCGCGTGGCCCTGCTGGGGCTCGAACAGCTGTCGCCTCTTTAACAATCGGGAGGGAAATCACAGCTTTTTGAAAAGACCAGGCTGTCCCTCCACCACCCAGTCAACACTGAGCAAGTCCAGAGCGCAGGGTGGCTGAGTGACGCAGCATAATAAAGGCGCTGTCTGGGAGGAGAAAACTCTTACGCAAAACCTAACTGCTTTTTTTTGTTGGTCTGATTGAAATCCTGTCTGCTACTGCTCTATGTGTCAATGCTCTGTGTTTCAATCTGATGTTTTCTTTTATATCCAAAAACGATTCATTTTCCAGATGGATTGAAGTTGTTGTTTTTTGTTTGTTTGTTTTTGGGACTGGTGGTTGGCTGGGGGTCAGTTCAGTTCACAGTATAGACCGTTCAATGAAGTGTAGCACAGCCAACTTTCATCAACAGGATATAGAGCCAAAGACCTTCTTAACACGTGCCGCTAATCCAACCTTTAAGTCTCCAAAGCGACTGTTTGAATATCTCGTCTTTTCCAAGTGACAGTGAGACTAAAAGACTGCTTCCTACCTTCTTCAGCTTCTCCACCATCTCCTCGATGTTCAGGTCGGAGTTGTGCGCCACCTTGTTCTCCATCTGCGTGAGCCATTCGCACAGCTCCTTGTTCTTCTCGTTGAAGATGATCCAGGCGTTCAGACGATCGGCGATCTCCTGTTTACGCAGAGACACCTGACACACAGAAGAAAAATACAGACTTTTAGTTTTATATCTGTATATGCCCAATCTATGTCTTCAGCTTTCTGATACAGATAGACCAGGACACATTCATTTGAACATCATTACTATTTGATTTAAGCTCTAGTTTTGGCACCAGTAACTGAGTAACTGTTTCTGCTAACTTGCCACAAAATATCTTAAATATTTGGGATTTAATTGAACCACACTGCGGTTCTATTAAAAGCTAACACTGTGAGGTCCTGCGAACTGGACATGCCTCTAAGGTGGCTTTCAAAACTAAGACACACTGAAGAATGGGGCTGTGTGATCCACGACCTCACCGGACACAGAGAAGCTGTTCGTTGGCAGTGCAGCGATAACCAAGATATTTGTGGTGTAAGAATTGTTGTGTTTAGCTCTGATTGACTCGTATACCCGTCCTTAAATGCCCCCTCTCGAAACTAATCCTTGCATGTGGTCAACTCTGCTTGAGACAGACAGATATTACACCAACAATACAAACAGGAACCCCACACATTTTCAAGGGAATTTTAAGAGGACTGCCCCTGACATCCTCCTGATCTGTTTTTTCACACATGCTCTGAACACTTCAGATGTTTTTCAGGAGTTTTGTGCAAGTGTGAACAAGGTTTAAGAGTGACTGAGAAATTGCATACTTAAAAAAAAGAGAGCTTTGAGGGGGGAATGTTTAAACCCTGCTCACTCTCACACCTCCATACATACACTCCAGCACAATAGTCAATGTGTTGAACTGTCAGTTCCAGTAAGTTAGAGACATTGGGAAGATATGGGGAGAGGTGCTTGAGACTCTTTTCCATGATGACAATGTTACTGGCATCATCAACACCACAGTAAGTGGTGAACGCTCAAATTAATGTCCTCAATCAAACAGGTTAACTTCTCCTCTTTTTGGTATCAGGCACAGTTTGTAGCAATGTGAATGAGACAGTTCTAAATACACATTCAAACACAGAGTGTCAAAGTGAAAGTCAGATCACTTCAACTGCCCCTCCCCCTCACAAACTCATTTCAATACAAAAGCTCTTCTTCCTGAACCCTCTCAGCTCATTACAACATTTCTCTCCTGTCACCATCTGTTACCCACAACACCCTCAACCCCCCCCACCCACCCCACCAGACCTGTTGGTCTCTTCAGTGGCACTAAAAAGACTCACGAGATTTACTAACTTAGTTCTTTATTAGCAGCTTGAACTTTGAATGGACAAAGAAACCCTGCAGTAATCACAGAGTGAGACATCAAATGCCGAGCACTTCATGAAGTGAAGCGGTGAGAGGAGCCACAAACATGTCACATGACTTCTCTCCTCAAAAAAACTTTTGATTTAATTATGAAAATTGAGTTTCGGCAATAAGCCCTCAGTCTCCTCGTTCAACTGACCTGCTGATGGTCCAAAACACAAATACACACACAAACACGCTCACTAACAGAACCTTCAATGTCATATGTCAGCTTGTTAATGATTAACCTTCACACAAAAAGACTTCCTGTAGCTTCGTTTTCAAACATATGACGGACCCAAAGGAACACAGAGGATGACATGACCAGAGTTTTCTCCTCTCAGGACATGATAGGGAAGTTATAATTTGCCAATAAAGTATCAAGACACCTTGAGATTACTTTAATCTTGTGATTCAAGCACTAACTACAGTTCACAAGTCAAAAAGCATGAATTTACTTAAACGTTCCCAGCAGTAGAGTAGAGTAGAGTAAGTGCAAATGCATTGTCCTAAATGTGCTGATCAGAATGAGCACACGTGTAAAAATGAATGCACAAAACATCTGGGATATCTCCGTTTAAATGGAATGGAGCAGCCACAGATATCTTGGAGTGTGTTTTTCTGCACATTGCATTGTACAGTTTCAATAAGAATTGGAACAATTCAATATGAGTAATAAATTGATGGTTTTTACAATTTCAAACTGCTTACAGAGACTTTCAGGTGTGTTATGGCATTGGAAATGAGTCCCAAAGTAAAGGAAAAAGGAAAAGGAAATTGTGTGAGGAGCCTCAAACTGTGCAAAAACACTTAACTATTTTTTCTTTCTAGCTATTCCAAGACTGCAAGACCGCACAGAACTATATCTTGAAGAATGTTCACATAGTTGCCTTTAAGTTGATGTCCTTTCCGATAATGGAACATGACTTAAACTCATCTGATGACAGGGAAAAACTTCAGCAAGGAATACAAAGGCAAGGAGCCCCTCAGTGAAATACAAACATTGTGGTAAGTGGTATAAATTTCTAGGGAATGCAGTGGACTAAACAACTGAAGCATTGTATTTGAGCAGGTAAAAAGAAGGACAATCTTAAGTTGTGTCTAGCTTTAGGCAGAGTGTAGTTCATCACACTCAGCAGGCTCACCTTGAGGCAGAGTTCCTCCCACTGACAGTGCAGGTACTCCACCTGCTCCTGCAGCAGGAGGACGTCGTCTGCGATGATGTACTGGGACAGATCCGTCTTCATGGTGCTCAGCTCCGTCAAGCTCTCAGCCCAGTCCTCCAGGGAGTCCTCGTTCTCCTGCATACCATAACACACCAAAAAGCGACACAACAAACCGTCAGGGACCCCCTCCTCAGCTCTGCTCCCTGGCAGCTACTCCCTAATGTCTGTCTCTGCCTCCTCTCTTTTTCTCTCCCTGTCACTCTTTCTCCCCGCCCATACAGAGGATTAAGGGCCACAGGCTGGGCCGGGGGAGGGGTGGCAGTGGTGGGGGGAGGGGAGGGGATGAGGGAGGAAGGTGGAGGATATAAAGGCTGTGATAGGACAGTCAAACCTGTTTCAAACTTTGTTTTGCTCATTTGGCACTTTAAGTGATCATTTCCTCTGAAACAGCCTGAAGGCAACTTGTTTGTTGCCCCCCCTCACTGTGTTCACATTCAAAGTAAACATGTGGCTACTCTTCAGCATTTTCAGTTTCTATGTTTTGAGAAGGGCTATGTTTCTGTCGTTATATGTATATTAACCATTTAAAAACACCTTTGGGAAGCTAAGATAAAATGTAGAACTATTACAGCATTAAAATACTATGGAAGCCCTAACAGGACATTCATCCAGACATTTTATTCTTTCTTTGGATCTTGACTAAGTTATGTCCTTATCTCGAGATAACAACACCAATTTCCCGGTGATAACGAGTGAATGTCTTGAGCTCTTAGGAAAGTGACTGTAATTAACTTGTTAACACAGTACAATCAGCATTATCCCGAGTAAATAAGATAAATACGTCAAGACCCCGAGATAACAACTGAAACTTACTTATCATGGGAAAACAGCTCAATAAAATGAATGGAAGTATGTCACCTTAGGGCTTCTGTATAATACTATGAAAACTTACGGATAATGTAATTATTGTGTCAATAACTTAGTCATTGTGAAAGCCATAAAGAATTTTTTTTGGGTAAGTGTGTAAACTCATTTTCTCCACGACAGCAAGATGAGACAGAGTAGACATTTTTACTTTTGAAATCTTGCTTTTGCTGCTTGAAACTGGAGATGTTTTACCTTTAAAAAAAACACTTTTTGGCTACTAAGCCCTTATTTTAGAGACAGGACAGTGTTCAGAGTGAGAAATGGGGAGAGAGAGAGTGGGGAATGACATGCATGAAAGTGGCTCCACCCACTGAAATTTAATTCAGCCAATGAGATGACAGCTGCCTCTCAAGTGGCTCTATCTCATCACAGAATGTAAGAGTTACAAACAACTATCTGCCAGAGGGCCAGAGTACAGAACATGTTAAGTTAGTTCATGAATATATATTATTATTATATTATTATTATTATTATTTGTGTTTGTGTGACCAGCTGTTTGCAGATGTACCTTGTAGAACTTCTCTGCACTCTGCAGCTCGTCATCACACTCTGGCATCGACTGGTTCAGCCTGGTCTTCATGTCCTTCAGCTGCAGCATGCTGCCTGCAAGTCCGGACTCACAGCGCTCCCAGTTCTGAGAAACATTTTTTTTTTAAAAATGTGTTAAGTAATTTATCATACAGATCAATGTGTTGTAAAAACTGCCTGTCTTTGAGAAAAAAAAACACAATCATCACTCTTTTGTCTCTGACTTCCCAAACATGTCCTCGGTCATTAATCAGAGTGGATTGGATTAACTTGGCCGCTCTCAGGCGAACAGAAACTGTCAGAGGCTCTAGGGACAGACCGGGGACAGATAGAGGACGAAGGATCCAAACACAGTGAGAGAGGACAGGTGACTGCCCAGGACGAATAAACTCTACTAAACTCTTGCATCAGAATTGTGTATCCCATCTACGCGCAGCTGAATCAGGTTTGCCCCATATTCAACAAGTTCCCCATGCGATTGTAAAACATGCAACCGAACTAAGAAACTGTTACATCAGAGCAAGACAACCTTTTTCATTTTTATAGGTTTTTAGACGTGCATATAAAATGCTCGATACAAAAGAATCACATTCTCATTAGGCCCAGATCCCTGGTCAGTAACCCCCGCCTTAAAGAATCTTTGTTATGCAAAAAGTTTAAAACATTTTATGTATTACAGCACAGAAAAGAAATCTGATCAAATAAAGAAATATATATCTGATAGATATGAGTCACGTACTAATAAGAAAAGGATCCACAGAAGCTGATGTTAGTGTCTCAGGGCGACCATTAGTGCAGCACTCTGTCTGCAGGATACTGTGACTCATCAGATCATGTTGCTAAAGAATTGATTTTGTATATTCGGGGGAATCTGACCCTCAGAGTCCATTGACTGAACGCAACTGGTCGAGTTTCATGAAACTGAACCTCCAACTGAGAGGATTCATACTCTGATCAAATAAAACATGAACCAACCAAAGAGGTTCACTTTGAGACTTGTTACAAGGGTTACTGAATCTGAATCTGACTGGTTGAATATCCAGTATGTGTGTAATTATGATTTTATGTGCAAATCTAACTTTGACAGCCTCAGGGCAGACAAAAACTTGCACTCTACCAGAGATCTTTGGCGCCCCCCTTAGGGGGACCTGGACCCCAGGTTGGGAACCAATGCTACATCAAACTGACACGACGTATGGATAGATGATGCTGTATATGTATTTATATACATTCTTTGAATAATTAATGATGTATTTTCTGTTGGAACACATCCTAAATTTAAAGCTATTGATTGGTTACAGAAGGTGGTGATAAAGAAAAGGAACTAATCGAGGGACCGACAATTATTTCAATTTCTGATTCATTATGAACAATCTTTCCAATTAGATGGTTGAAATCTTGCACTGTTTTGAAGAAACATCTCTCTCTAAGAAACATATAGATTCACAAATACATAAAACAGATTCAAGGCTACAGTCGACCCAAAACCTGAACCTTTGTTTTCAAATCCAGATGAGTTCCAAACTATAGAAAACAGACGGTTAAAAAACCCTCAGATCCAAAAGATAACCAACATGTGAGTTTGTAAATGGAACTAGTGCTGTAAATAAAGACACTTCTCATTGCCGGAAATGTATTTATATAACTTGTATTTTTCAGATGACAATATGATTGATTTGACCATGAAACGTCACAAACTAGGAAAAATGAGCCAACCAGAGTTGCCTAGAGGCCAGAGAGATGCCTAAACTTAGCTTGTCTCGTCCAACTAACAGTCAAAATGTAACATTTGCAATGAAATAAAGCAGAGAAAAGCAGGAAAACTTACAAAATCATTTTTGCTTGTACAATGGACCATTCATTTGATTCTAGGTCAAGTTCAATACAAGGATCTTTGTGTGTGAGTCCATACCAGATCTAAATAAGGTCATATGCAATAACTATAAATCAACAAACGTCATCATCTGGGACCATTGGAGATGAGACGTCAAACATGACGCTCAATGAAACACATGCACGATGTTCTTGAAAGCACCACTTCAGAGTTACAATAATACGACAGGTACCTTGATGATAGCCTCGGTGAGGTCCATCCTCCGACCCAGCAGGCTGTGGAGGTTGTCCCACTCCTCCTGCAGGGTTCCCAGATCTGACTGCAGCTGAGTCTGGGTCTCCTCATTCCCCATGGAGAAGAGCTGCCGGCCGACCTCCAGGGTGTGGATGAAACTGGACTGATACCTCTGGAACAACAGCTCCGTGTGCTGAGGGAGGAAGCAGGAGGTAGAAAAGGTCAGAGATGAGGAATACAGCTAAAGAATGAGCTGGTGTGGGATCTGTGCAGTGAAAGCCTTACAGGAACCTTATATTGAGGAGCTGCTGTTTGTTGAATGTATCGTCAATCAATTCAAATCCAATCTCTTCCTCGCTATCTCCTTGTTAAGTTTTTGATGTAAATGTAATCAGCAGCAGTGGTATCTCTTCCTTAAACTTCCTATCAGCCCTCAGGCAGTATTTACTCTTCTGCTATGAGTCAGAATCAACAACCATTTCAGTGTGTCAACCCTTTGTTTGGATAATGAACAACTCTTAAAATACGCAGAAAAAGTTACATTGTTTCAGAATATGTTGAGATCTTAACTGCAGTCGAAACAACATCTCATCACGCACTGTACCTACTGATGGTAAGGTACAAATTCCCTGTACTGCACATAACAAATGTAAATGTCTCACTGTATGTAAAGAATTCCAATATTTCTCACCTGGAGGTCCTGGAGGGAGCGTCTCAGCTGTTGCAGGCTGCAGCGGGCAGGTCCGGCGGGGGGCAGGAGGGTCTGTGTGTCAGACAGGAACTTCTGCAGCTTCTTGAGGCTGCGGCTGTAAAGGTGCCAGTGCTTCACCAGGCCCTCCACCAGTGAGCGCCGCTGGTCGGCCCGCTGCACGGCGCCCTGCCAGTGCTCCCTGAGCTGGGCGAGCTTCAGGATGAAGTCACTCCTAGATTCACATCACAGTCAAATGTTACTCAGATTTTTTTTTTATGCACAATGGCACAAATGACACTACTACACGAAAGAAACTTGTGCTATAAGCTAACAAGATCAGAACACTTTGAGTTGATTATGGCTAAACATGTATTTGATACAAAGAATGCCGTATGTTGTAAAAACTGAAACTGAAAAACTGCGCAACTAAAATGTTTTTCTTTTCAGTTTAGTCTTCTTACCTGTCCTCTACCTCTCCTTTCTGCAGCAGATGAAGAGCTTCAGTGATAACTGAATGAAGGATTTGGTGACCGATCGATAGCTCCGTCTGAAAATGCTGAAATACCAGAGCAGATCAGGATTAAATGTTGTTTTGCATGTTTGTTTGTTTTTTATATAATCAACTAGTTTGTCAGTCGTCAATGATACCTTGTGTGTACAGAGCTGCTGTCTGAGGCCCATGTAGGAGCCGGCCACGTCTACAGCCAGACTGTCCTCCATCCTCTGCAGGAAAGACATCCAGCTCTCACACTTCTGCTCGAAGCTCTGACGCTTCAGTGCCTCGTTCTGCAGCTCACTGAGGAGTGCAACAATATAAAAAAAAAACACTCTTTGAGAATCAACCACCTCTGAAATGTTTGCTTTATGTGGCAGTGCATTTATTGAATGTATATGAACTGGTTTCAGCCCTTTAAATATTGAACTATCTTGTTGAACATTTCATAAAAACCTAAGGTAGTTAAAGTAGGAGTGTACTAACCTATTTATTTCATGGATATAAAAGTGCAGTATATTGTGATATGTGTCGCTTCTGTATTCCTGTACAGATCTCTGTGTCTCACCTGCACGCCTCCTCAGCTCTTGCGGAGGCGTCGACCCAGCAGTGGTTGAGGCGTTGCAGGCGGCGTGCTGCAGCGTCGCCGAGCGTCAGGCTGCGGCTCAGCTCATTCAGCACATCCAGGTCAGCAGACAGACCGCTCAGCTCCAGGAGGCCAGACTGAGAAACATATGGTGGCATCTCAGATCAAAAGGGGATCACAACAACTGTACACATGAAATCACTATCAAAGGGCTACATCCCTATTTAGTCCTATGTTACTGTATTTTTCTGCTTCTTTGTATTATCATGGCTCATTGGTCTGTATTTGTAACTGCTTTAAGTGTCCTTGATAGTCCTTGAAGATACATTTCTATCAATTTCAAGAACTTGTATAATTCTGCAATTGATTAAAATAAAAACATTTGATAACTCTTACAACAAGGTTATTTTTTTTAAAATTTGAAGCTTGTGAACTTTCCAAGTTTTACAATTACACCAATCAAGACAAAAAGTATTTAAAATGGAAATTTGAAGTTCTAGTTAAGCTTAAAATATGGACGGAAATCATGACTCACTTATCCTAATACGAAAACTGAAGAAATCCATTGAATCGATTCAAGTATGAATATGACATTTCTCATACGTAACAAGACTTAAAAAAGCCAATTTGTCAAAAGAAAGAAACTTAAAGATATGGTATATTAAATAAAGTAACAGCTCTAACATCATTAGTTCTTTATAAAGTCTCTTGTTCTTTGGTTTACTCTGGAAGAAGCAGCACGTCACAGTCAGTCATCAAGTCCATTCATGCGGTCTCACCTGGTCTGCTGTCTGAGCCACATCCTGCAGACGCTCCTGCCAAAGCTCCAGTTTTCTCTCCAGTGACTCCAGTGCGTGTCCGAACTCCTGCAGTCTGTCAAGCTCCTCCTACAAGCAAACGGGACACACACACACACACACACACACAGAGCCATATGTGTTGTTAATTTATAGGTCACTTGACTATTAGTGCAACTAGGTGGCAGGTTGGAAAAAGGAAAAGCAGTACACTCGAAACAAGCCAAAATATATGTCTGAAAATATGTACCGAATGCTTTAAAAGAACAATAAATAATACTTGGAATGGGATTTTGCACTTACAAATCACAAATGTACAACGACAACAATGGCCTAAAAATAATGTTGAATGAGCTTCTAACTGTCTTTTGTAATTTAAAATAGTTAAAGAGCAATCAAACACATTTGTGTGCATTAAAAAGTAATTTACTACAAGGACTCTTCCAGCAGCTGAGTCTGTTTACCTGACGGCTCATATCACAAATATGCCTACATATGCAATTCCTTCAAGTATCATTTTATGCATTTCTTTATTTAACCCTGAGTAGATGCAGTCCAGTGTGACTTCGCTTAATCCCTCAAAGAGAGTAATTCATTCACACAGTCTTACCTGCAGCTGACCCAGCTTCCCTGTCAGGCTGAGGGCGAGCTGCTGGACGCCTCGTGACAACAACCTGCTCTCTGATTGGACCAGAGCGGCAGCTGAAGGTTCCAGGCGGCCAATCAAGTCCTTGGAAGCCTCCAGCACCCCCTCCAGGTCGGACTGCAGACTAATTGTCCTCTGCTGTAGACTCTGAGGAACAAACACAGACACGGGTTTAATAGAATATCAAAGAGGATTGGAGAGTTGTTATAGCGTGCGGTAAAAGTTAAGCTATCATTTCTATTTTTATCACAACTTCCATCCTTTTAAAACTGAAAAATAATGGAATTGTCTTATTTAAATATGTGTTGTGGGCAAATTAAGAATGGAGGACACAGGTACTATTTAGAGCTTAAAAGAAATTCATGCTCAAACTTGACACAATGAAAAACATTGAAGCTGTTAGGAAAGAAAGGTTGAGTTACCATTAAGTATAAAAACTTTACTCTACTGAAGAAATTCTGCTTCAGAAAATGTTTGCATAAACTTATTTGGTTATGGAGAAATTCTTAACCAATCATTTAAAACCAATACTTGCAGACTACACGTAATGCTGCTTATAATGATGCTTTGAGGATATTACATAAGAGACCTAGATGGTGCAGAGCCATCTTTAATGTTTGTAACTCACGAGTTAATAATCTCCAAGCTGTCTTGAGAAATCTTGGGCTTAATTTTAAATGCAGACTTAATACCTCTGAGAATAAAATCATCATGGTCCTGTCCAACATCAGCTATAGTGCTGATTGTACCATTGGTACTGGTACCTTTTTTTGAAGATTAGAGTTATTTCATACATATTTCACATACTGTATTCGAAGTATGGGCTTTCATTGTGTTATGTAGAATTCTATGAATCCTGCTGTTTTTAAAATAAAGTCTTAAATAAAGATTGTTTGATTGATTGATTGAATACACAAAAACAGATTCAGTAATAAGCCTACTTTATGCTCCTTCCAATGTCATCATTCTTTGTTTTTTTCCCTCACCTGAACATTTTGTATCGTCATAGTGACCTTCTCCGCTGTGTTATCATCTGTCGACGCTCCTCTTAGCGCTGATTTTTCTTCACTCTGGAGCGTCTGCAGCCGCTGGGAGAAAGATGCAGCCAGCCGAGCATAGAGCTCCCAGGCCTGCAGGACTCTTCCACTCTTCTGCAGCTTCTGGTCCAGCTCTCCAGACACCACAGACCAACTGCAGGACAGGAGGGGGATTATTTGTTTATTGATTCAAAAGGTGGTTCAAAGGTGTGTTTTTCTACATGTACTCTGTCTCACCTGTCTCTCTGTGTGTCTAGCCGTTCAGTGAGAAAGATGGCGGCAGGAGGATTTATGACGTCTTTGAGGGAGGAAACAGTTTGATTCAGTTCGTCCCATTGTGCTGTGGAAGCTTCTGTCTCCTCATGAAGAACCTTCCAACACAACATGTAAAACCTTTATTATCAGCACATATGAACCAGAACATTTTTTCACATGCTCTTCACACATTCAAGCCAACAGTTTAAGGTTATAAGGTCCATTAAATATACCTGAAGCTTCTCATGGACATCTCTGTGTGCCTGCAGGCAGAGCTGAGGGCTGCTGTGATATTCAAGAGTCTGAGACGTCCTCACTGCTTTCAGCGTCATCTGATTTAGTTGCTTCGCCGCACAATCCCACAGCCGCTGAGCATCAGTCAACTTCTGTTTCATAGAGTCCTTCTGTTAAAAAAAAAAACAGACAAGATGATCCAATACGAGAAAAAAATAAAGGTGCATTCAATTCAAAAACATCAACAACAGCTTCGCAAAGTTTGAGTAGAGGAAATTGCATATTTCATACAGCCGAGTACACTAACAACAGATTTCACTTCTTAACTCTACAAGTGTTATTTACCTGTTGCATGAGAGCTGCACAGCGCTGAATGGATTTCTCAATCTGAGAGATAAAATCACAGCAGCTTTTAACTCCTCCATCAAGTTTGTCTCTTAACTCATGAAGCGCCTCAGACTTCTGTCTGATCTCGTCCTCAAGATCCTTAAAATACAGAAAAAACAAGGAGATGAAAATTTGTGGCTTTTTTTGCAGAAGCCCTCCTGGTACATGACTTGCCTAGACTGTAATATAATACTTTTTTTTTTATCAAGTGTTCTTTTCTTTGATACAGATGTTGCAGTGCAGATGTGACGTCTGACCTGGCAGGTGTTGATGCTCCTCTGCAGCTCCGTCCTGCTGCTGGGTGTCTGAGCTGACTGGATCCAGAGGTTCTGATCCGCGATCCAGCTGTTGATCTGCTGCAGCCGAGCCTCCCGCTCCACTCTGCTCCTCAGCTCCTGCTCCACCTCTGCAATCTGAACACCACAAACCACCACAGCAGGTCAGGGCCATGATTTATAAATATGAATGAAGAGAAGAAAAGAAAATGACATGTTGGACAAAACTTATGATAATATATTAGAAGTATCTTGTTGACTTTTTTTGTGTAATAATGTATTAAATCATGAACATGAAAATTTAAATTAAGTACTCTGTATACATTACACTGAAGAAAATACAAATTGTGTGTGCTAGAATTCAAATCCAAGCCTTGATGGCCAGAACAGAAATTTCAGATGAAAACTGGTAGTTTATACATTAAAAAAAGAAATGTATACATTCAACAATTACCTCACACTCCACTTTAAGCTAACAAGGACTAGGTGTGTTACATAGAAGGTGAGTCATTTACTGATGATGACTATGTCATACAGTTTTAAGTGGTTTTGTCTTCTGACCTGAGAGTTGAGTGTTTCCTTCAAACTGAGCCACTGATGGTTGAGACGACCCTGCTCATCCGCAAACTGGTTGTGTACATAGCGCCCCCTCTGGCCCGCTTCAGTGATGCATGTTTGTAAAGGCGGGTTTACAAAGTCCAGAGTGGCCTGATGGGCTGACATCTCTGCTTGACATTCCTACAAAATAAAATGTAATTGATGGAGAGAGAAAGAGAGAGAGAGAAAGTCAGTCATTGAGATAAACTTCTACCAAGGCCTCAGGACTGCACTTATGCAAAGACCTGATTATTATTCCCCTTAAAAACATTAAAAAAAAGAAAAATCTGAAGTAATTATGTTTTTTTTAATGACTGTTTGAAGTAGCCAATCATCTTTTTCTACCTTGCAGTACTTCAGCAGCTGACTCAGATCAGTGTTGAGTGAGGAGGTTTGGTTTATTCTGCTACGATGCTCCTCCAGCCGGCACTCAGCAGCTTCCAGCCAGGACTGCAGCTCCAGCAGCGCCCCCTGCTGGCTCAACGTCTTCATCCATCGCTAAGGAGAAGCAGGGGATGACTGTCATTAAGTCTTTGCTGTAGTTTGTCTTGGCTTGTTTATTTGTGCAAAACATAAAGTATAGTACGAGATGCATTTATTGGAAAAGTAAAATTAAAAAATTAAAAAAACTTACAAGAAAGCAAAAAGAAGTAGAGGGAGGGGGGGAACTAAGAAAGAGAAAATAACAAAAACAGCAGGAAGAAGAGATGGGACACAAAAAGAAAAAGGGGAGATAGGGATAGGAAGAGAGGACTGAAAGGTGGGGGTAGTGCATGGAGGGAGGAACAGCAAGCAGATGTGTAGTAGAGGACAGATCCAGACAGACTGACAGCTGGAGGAGAGAATGGCTTCACACCAATGAGGACGAGAAGAGTCCTCAGGATGGCTTTGTGCTGCACGGTGGGGATGTTCAAAACTAATTGGTGACAGGGAGCGTGCTGTGTGGTTTTAGAAATCTTTTAACTGCTCTGTACTGTATTTTTGGCCCCGGGGAAGCACATTTAGGATCAAAAAACGTTTCAACCACATTTTTTTTTTTAAACTCCTTTTACTTTAATATTTTCATATACTATATGGAAACAAAGACTTCAATGCACGCATGGTGGCATCTCAATAATCATAAATCAAAGCCACCCAATGAAAACTAAACATGTATGTGCATTACAGCATGCTACAGAAGCTGTTGCTTTCAGTGACATGCTAACATTAGCAAAAAAAAAAGAAAAAAGCAGGCCGCACCCCACCCCACTCATTTCCACTAACTCTCTGATCTGGGCTGCACATGGACTGTGAGAACTTTCACATTTTCACTCTCCCTACATTATTTATGTACCCACTCCTGCACTGTGATTTCATACTGTGATTTCTTTAATATAACTCATACTGTTTTTACACTCTGTCTTTTACGTGTGATGTGATGTGATGTGATGTGAGGGTTTCTGAACTTGTAAGCAAGACACATTTCTGAGCCAATGGATAATCAAGTGTTATCTTATCTTATCTTATCTTACACACAATGACATCCCCTGCATGCTAATTTGTACCAGGTATAATTTCACGCTGTCAAACTCCCTAATCGATCATGTTAGCAGCTATCATTTTGAAAGATAAGCACTAAGGCAAAGTGTAAAGCATAAAGAAGTTTTTATCTTATTGGACAAAGCCACTGGTTTAAGAATCTTGTGGTCAAAATGCTTGAGCAGTTTCTAAGGCAACCCAACCACCAAGCTGGGGTGATATTAAAAAAAACAAAAAACTTGTGTCTGTCCTGAAGGCAAAGTCACGTTGAACATACAAAAGAAACCACATACCGTCATATTTGATTATGTCTAATGTGATTCTTAAATTATAAGAGGCACTTGTGAATCATCATATGTTTTATGTTTACTGTATAATCACCTCCAAAACGTCACTAATTACATAAAGGGTTCTCCTCACCTTATGAAGAGCTTGTTGGGTGACAGGAACATCCGCCAGCAGACTGGACCAGTCCAGCTCTACCTGTCTGAGCTGGGATTGGATGGAGCACAGATCTTGGTCTGCAGTCTCTCTGTCCTCTGGATTTCTATCTGAGCCTTCATCTGTTTCCCTCAGATTGACCAGCCGTGTTCCAGCACCGATCACAGCCACCTTCAGTTCAGATTTGGCCTCCAACTCTTTGGTCAAAGCCTAAAAAAAAGATTCCCATATTTATACTGATACTAATACCAATGTTTGAAATAACATTTTAGCCCTTTGCCAATCCGATACAGATGTTTTTTTTATTAGTTCTTTGTGATTTATTGTGTCTGTTTTTCAAATAAGCAACAAGATTTGATGTATTCACTGGAACATGTCCTACAAACCGCAGAGGCGGTGTAAGACTCCCACACTGCTGCCACTTCCTTTCACATTTGGCTATGAAAACAAATCTTGAGTTCATCCAACAGACGACTTCTCCTGCCCAATCAAAAACCTCTTCCCTGAATCGCCAACTCATCAACAATCACTCACCATAAACTGCAGGTAATAGTCCCGCCTCTGTTCAACATCCATCTCCTCATTGGCTGAACTTGTGTCAATCATGTCTCTGGCCCCGCCCATCCATTCAGCCAGTGCAGCAGAGTCTCGAAGAAACCTGTTTTTTTGATGGGAAATAGGAAAATTGTGATTAACACAACAGAAAACAGGTTTCATCTGAATCATTTAAAGCAAATTACATCGTAAATAGAATATATATGATTTTTATGGATGCTTTTTAACCCATTAACTTAAAAAACAACACTAAGAGGAAAGGAAAACAACTTTCCACCGGTCAATGATATGGAAAATAATTTAATTTAAACATTTCAATAAAGATGTTTGCCACGTAAAATTCTTAATAAACACAACTTTAGTTGTTTGGAGTTCCCTGTTTGTCTCTCTTTCTCATCTCTTACCTGTTCCTCAGCTTCCTTTTTCTGTCTACGTCGATGCGTTCATGCTCCACCCTCTTCTGCAACACTTTCCAGCGTGAGTCCAGCTTCCTGGTGGACGCTTCAACTCCTCTGCAGCCCACCTCGTGCAGCCAGGTCCCCTTCTCCAGCATCTGACTCAAACGTGCTTTGTTTGCATCCAGAACGAGTCGCTGCTCCTGTGAGAAAGACAAAAGTCGTATAATCCTCTCTTCCACACGAGACGCCGGGAGTGAAATTGATGATTTCACACAGTGACAGAAAGAACGATGAAAAATTCTCAAACAGATAACAGTTGTACAATCACTACAGATAACCAACAAGCACAGAAACATTTCCAAAATGTCAAAGCTACATATCAGCCACTTAAACAGCTTTTTATTGAAGAGCCTGCTTCTGAAGTTTGTAACTGCATGCTAGCCTACAAACGCTTACCAGTTAGCTTGCTAATACTACCAGTTTTATATTCAGCAAATGTATGACTTCTTTCTACTTGAGTATAAACAGGGCAAAAAATCGAATTATGGAACTTCTAAATGAGAGATAGATGACTCATGTTTATGTATTTGGTGCCTGAAAAGAGAAACGTTAAGCCTAGCATGATGATTGGTAGCTAGGAGAAAAAAAAGCTAGCATAGCATTGCCAAATGTTCAAAAATACACTTAACAGCAACTGTAAACTACGATAAATAGCCTACACTTATCAGCTATTTTAAAAAAAAAAATCTTTATTGTATAATCTGTACATATACAGCATTGCTAAAACGTATAGTAATTGTTAAAAGTGAAAGTATAGTTTCTGGTCGTATCTATTTTTGGTCGATAACAGCTGGGAGTAATCACATCCAGCAATCAATTTACTTCACAGACTCCATTTTCTTTCTAATGTATTTGTCCAAATAAGAGTGTGAATGTTAAAAAAAAGAAAAAAAAAATTCTCCACATTATCATTGTAATCAATTACAGCTTACATGATTTAAATGATAGTTAAGCTCATGAATGATGAGCCTGGTAATTTGAAACAATTTCTTGAGAGTCCATTTCAGATGAATAAGAGACACTTTTCGAATCCCACGAAAGAGCAACAGGGAATATGTACCTAAATGAATTCTAGTTGGAGGTCTCCGCTCAGCTAATAACTCACATCAAAGCCAAGGAACATCATGTGCTCCTACAGAAAACAACCCATTCGCTTGTATTTAATTCAGCCAATTAGGTCATGAGTGCCGTGCAAAGAGCACAACATGGAGAGCACACCCAACAGTCTCCAAATGAACAGAATGAAATATTGTAAAAAAATTTTTTTAAAAAAGAGCTCTTTCTAAATAAGTATTATGTACTGATGTTAAGGGAGAGCATGTGTATTAATAAAAAAAAATACCTGGAATACAGAGAGCTTCTCTGATACCTGCTCCTCAGAATCAGCCCCAGCGAGCAATTTGGGAAGAGAAGTCTCAATCCCTCTTAGCAGGGAGTCTGACCAGGCGCTGTCCTCCTCCCACTGAGACCACATCTGAGACAGACAGAGAAATGCTGTTTAATTCCACCTGTCTCATGATTAAGATTGAAGCACTTTAAAGCACAACACAATTATTTCATGTACTTGATTCCTCTATAGTTACTTCTGTATTGTAACTTTTCTGACACTGTATTTTTTTCATATGCATGTTTTATTGTTCTATTTCATTCTTAGTGATTCTGCATATGAATAAAATGCACAACCTGTAATGTTTCCTGCATCCTGGTCCCTCTTCCAGTCCGTTCTGCTGAAGTCGAGTCACCTCATCCTGCAGGCCCATCACTACAGCCTCCCACTCTGGAGGCCGCTCTCAGGTATTCTCTGGGTCAGGTACTGCAGGGTCCTAAAATGATGGCCCAGGAACTGGAAGAATTTCTGACAGTACAAAGGGTTGAAACATTTTAAGCTTCATATTTTCAGTTAACAATTAACTCCTAACAGTATTGCCTCTGTACTGACTGTATGACTGCTGAGCTGCTGCTGGAGCTGAGCTCTGTCGTGCAGCTCTGTGTCAGGCTGCTGTGAGAGGCGTCCAGAGCCCAAAGCGATGAGCTCCTCCAGGCTGTGGACCAGGCGCTCATACTGCTGCTGCAGCTCCACGCTGCTCTTCAGCTCATCACAGCAGGAGCGAACACCACCCAGAGATCTGTCCAGCTCACCCTGCACATAGAAGGAGAGACATTTAATCTTTAATTAAGATTGAGAAAGCACACTTTGCCAAGTATTAACAAACATTAACACCTGACACAGATATGACAAAAAAAAGCAGCTAGGATACCTGCAGCCGCTTGGCCTGCTGGATTTGAGGTGCAGCCAGGTTGTGTCGGTCAGTCACCTCAAGCAGGGAGCTCACCTGCTCCACCTGCTGCTGCAGAGACTCCTGCATCTGAGTCACAGTCTGCGAAATAAAAACACGTGTCACAAATAAAAACGCAAATTCCGAAATATCACTCAAGAAAACGTAAAGTCTATCAACACTGCTCTGGGCATCCATAAAAACATTGAACAAAACCCATCATATCTGTGTGAGGTGACATCTTTAAGTGACTTATTTCAGCAGACTAACCGCCCAAAGATACTAAGTTTACCATCACATGCAACATAATGTATGCATTTTCTGATAGAGTAGCTGCTGCATGGAGAGTAGCTACTGATTGCATTTCTGTCTTAAAAGTCTTTATAAGAAAACAGTACCTGTAGTTGATTGTTAGGGTCCAAGGTTCCATTAAATGCATTAATGTTTTGGTGTACAGTTGTCTGGTTAGAGGTGAAGGCTGCATGCAACTCATTTAGTTGTATCTGTTGGTCAAACAAAACACTGCTTCTTCAGTAAAACAACAAAGGTTTTTTTTATTTCAAATACACAGGGAGAGGTTATAAAGACTGCAATTTAAAGATTTAAAGGTTTATATTTATGATTATTGCAATATGTTAAATTAGATAGGGATAAGATATACAGTAGGTATAGATATAAGATATTCATTATGTAAAGGATGTGAGTTATAGTTTAGTAGTGAAACAATGACAAAAGACAAATTCATACAGATGAAAACAAATACAGAAAAGAGATAAGACTGGATTCTACTTCACTTATAATTCAGCTTAGTTCAGTGTGTTCTTGTTTCTACTTGTGCAATATCTGACCTGTTGCTTTGCAGTTTCCTCCTGCAGCTTTCTGAGCTGCTTCTCGCTGCAGCTCAGTGCAGCCTGAACCACGGGAAGGACTCTGCACACATCATCTACACACTGCTGAACACACTCTGAACCAAGGGCACGGGCCACTTTTGGTCCCTGAGAGGCCAGCTCATTTCCAAGGGTTTCCATCTCTGTAGACAGACTCTGAAAAAAAAGCATTCTATAAGCATTAAATGTTCATGTGAATACCTAGTGATGCTACAATCATGAATGAACCGATGGTATGGAAAGGCTCTTTGGTTAAAAATGATTTTAAAATGAGTCAATCTGCTCCTCGTCACATAACAGATCAAAAGTTGGCAGCAATGCAACTCTTAGCTGGTTTATTGTGTGAAAAACCCTCAATTTGAAATAAAAGTCCCACCTGCAGCTGCAAAAGCCTCAGCTGTGTGTCTTCCTCCGGTGTCATCCCAGCAGGTGAGAGCAGCAGGTTATTGATGGAGGACAGAGACAGGGACCGCCGTGCAGAACATGAAACAAACCCTCATCCAGAGTCTGATAGGAACCGTCCTCATGGGAGGCCTGTGGTCAGAAAGGTTATTTAAATCATATAAAAAAACAAGGCAAATTTCTTGTTTTATGCAAGAGTCTTGTCATTAGGTTTGTTATCATTTTGTTGTTGTTTAAATTCTTTGAGTGCTGATGCATTTTGAAGAGGCACCAAACCTCTTCATCAGTGAAAACTCAGACTGACAATCCTTCCTCACTTTGTGATCACAGATCACAGAATGACAGGAATTTGAATACTTGACTCAGCTGTTTTCTTCTTGTTATTGATGCTTAGGTGCAAGCAGCAAAACTTCTTTAATCCTTCAGTAGACAAACTGAATATGTCATTCTTACATTACAGTGAGAACAGATTAATCAAAGAGCAAAAACACTCTATTTGCTTTTATCCGTTGTTGGTCTGATATTCACTCCACCGGGGGTACTCCTTACATCTCTGTGTGCTTCCTATGATATGGCAATGCATCCCTGGAAGAAGGAGGGAGCCTGCATGGAGCTAGAAATGTCAGCTTTGAGGGTATCTGACACTTCTGTCAACAAGTTCTGAAAGCTACGTACAATATCTGTGAAGTTTTTACATTTTAGTTTACACATTTTGGAAAACAATGTTTCTATGTCAGATTATGTTTCCTCACACATACAATAATTATCCAAGTTTACAATTTATCAATGAAACACTGATATTAGATCTATTCCTGGTGTCTGCTCACACCCATTGTATCTGTAGCTGTATTGGTGTTAGGTTTAGTAATCAGAATCAGAATATATATATCCAAAGTGGTATCAGTGTCAGTACTGGTATTAGTGTAGATATCACTCTATGTACAGGTTGAGTATATACATGGTATACATGGTGTGGTAATGAATATTGTAATATATATGATTGGGGGTTTCTGTATCTGTGTAGTTTAAATACATGTTTCAGTATTGGTATATGTATTTGATTTATAATCAGTGTTTTTATGGTTATTGTATTGGGACTGATACGTGGGGGCATCTTTAATATGTAGTGTTAGGTTGGGTAAATATAAAGGTTCGATATGATGGAAAACAATACTACTAAATCAGTGGTACTCAGCCTTGTTAGACCTAAGAACCACATTGACCAAAAAATATTTCAGCAAGAGCCACAAAAACCTCTTTCTTTCCTAAAATATGTGTTGGAAACACAGTGACATGAATTTTAAATAATTACTTTTTTATTTTTTTCTCCAAGTAGGACCTAAAAGAGCCACAACTTGTCCCGAGAGCCTCGGGTTGAGTATCACCATCCTAAATGTATACATTAAAGCAGCTTTTCGCCTCCAGCCTATCATGTGAATGATTTTTTAAATAAACGTGATAAAGATCCCACACCTGACTCAGACGCTCTGTGGCTGTGTGTCCAGGTCTCTGAGATGGCTGATGTGAGTTTGAAGCTCTTTCAGTGCTTGTGTGCCAATCATACGTCCTGCTGTTCCATCACCATGCCTCACATATGAGTCTGACACCTTCAGAAGAAGAGAGAGAGTAAAGAAGCTAGAGAGACTCTGAAATGAACATGAGTCCAATCAGGCCCTGCAGGAGGCCCCAAAACACCAAAGAGACAACAAAGTGCATTCTGCTCAAAGGAGGTGATAACCAAGCATGGCGAGAACAACCATTTTTCTTTTCTTTCTTGTGTTAGGGAGTGATAATCAAGCACTTCAGGCATCACGATGAAGGTCTTACCTCAGAGGGAGGAAGCAGAAAGCTCTCCTCCACAGCCAGCAGTCGGCTGTGAAGGCGATCCCACTTCTTCTGAGCAGGGTCCTCGTTCACATCAGGCTCAGCAGGAGGCCGCCTGCACGGAGAGAAAAGAGGCTGAAAATGAACGTCTCTTTTTTTCTTCCTTCCTTGAATGCGTGGGTTCAAATCAGACCTCGGCACGTTGCTGCGTGTCATCCCCCACTCTCACTCCTAACATTTGTCTGTCTATCTTCTCCTGTCCTATCAATAAAAAGGACAAGATGGCCAAAAAAAAAAAAAAAAACCCTACGAGAAAAAGATCTTAAAAAGTAATTCTAACTTTATTTACATTTGAATTTTTACACAACGATGCAGTCCAAAATGACGCTTACATTTAGAGAAAAAAACAGCAAAAATGGTAGGATATGAAAACAAAAATAAAACCAAAAAGCAAAATAAATCTGAAAGAAGAATCCAAACTAAAACGAATATCTGTCAAGTATTAAAGTTTACTCGTTACCGTGGTGACGGAGGGCTGTGTTCCTCTGTTTCCTGGCTGTAGAGTCGGCCTCTGCTGCCCTGCCTGGCAATGGCCCGGGTAAGTCCTCTCTGTTCTGTCAGCTCCTGCTCCAACTCCTGCTCAACAAATAGCAACAGCCACAAGAACGTTACATGCATGTTTTTTTTCTGCAACAGTGTCAACGCACCAAATTACATTTTGGATACATTTAGTTGTCATAATGCACACATTTCCTGCTCATTTCCCCGAAGACAAGAGCCCTCTTGGCTGGTGTTTATGCAAGATTATTGAGGCACTGGCATACATGAAAGTAGACATGTTCACCCAAGCTTGAATACTATAAGTCTCCTAACAGTAAAGATTGTCATTGAACAAGTTTAGGGTGTTGTCGCTGGTGTTGGATCTAGGTCTCAACCTGACAGTGCTGTGTGACAGGGTGGGGCTCAGCTGGGTGTGTTTGCCAAGCATATCAGTGTGCTATTCTGGCACCACACTAATGTTAAAAAGGATAAAGAGCAAACCTGTACTTTTGTAGTCAAATTGATCTTTTAGTGATGCATGATCCTCACAGAAAAGATTTTTTTTTCACTTCAAGCTGTCCCTTATGATCTGCATCATGAGCAGTTAGTGGAAATGTGTACCTTCTGCTGCTGCAGGCTGCCCTGTCTCAGGAGTTTGTTTTTCGGTGAGGAGAAGATCTCCTGAACGCTGCTGCTGCTGCTGCGCTTTAACTTGGACTCCAGGGGGCGCTCCGACTGGTGTTCTGACTTCTGAGGAGAAAGAGTTGAAGAAGAAACAGAAGAGGGCTATCATCATTGGTGTGATGAAAAAGTTCAAGTAAGGTCTGAACAACATTGGAAAAATACTGATAAAAAATATGTTTTCTTTCTAAGGTATATGCCTATTTAGTGATATTCTATATCCAAACTTTTGTGATGCATTTATTGCAAATGTTTCTATTGGTAAATTGATCAAATTCAAATTCATTGTGCAGCCTTGTAGTTGAAGTCAACAATTCTATTGTTTTGGTTCTCAGGAGGAACCCTTTAACCAGCTGCTTGTGAGTCTGTAATGGTTTATTTGCAAACTAGTTAATAATTATCAGGGAGCAACTTTACAACATGTGCACCTGTTGTCTAAGGACACTAAATGAGAGACAGTATAACTTTAGGGATTGGACCGCTACATTGGAAAGGAAGATCACTTCATCGGTAAGTTCATCTAAAATGAATATAAAAGACAAGTGGGTAAAAAAAGTTACTCCCATCCAGATGTCCCGTATTCAGACCATAACAAGAAATAGTAGACACTTTAATCAAATGCAGGAATGTAAAGTTTTTGGTATCTTGACAACCAAGCATGAATTAAATTCCAGATTTAAGATAATGTGTAGGAAACTTCAATGACTGAAAATTACACAGGCCAAAAATATAAGTCAAACGTATTTACAGAAACATGTTATTTTTATTCCATAGAATGTATAAAACATGGACATAGCTCAGTGATGTCACCAATCGGTTTACTGAAGGCGAATTTTGAAGCCCAACATCACGGTTGCCATATTGAAAATGCTATCTTTACCTGACTTTTGGTCAGCCTAGTAACAGGGAAAGAGGTGGAGTAAAGGCGGGCCCTAAAGTCTCCTAGCAAACAGCTACAACACGTTTGCACTCTGATCAGCTACGGCCTTAATTATGCACAACTCTTATCCTTCATGAAATCAATATGGACAAGTTGTAAAAACAAATTCCCCTGTACATTTTTTTTGTAGCAGGTCGTGAACATGTTTATGTTTGCTGTCAAATGGCCGCTTGGTTTTTAAAAAACTCCTCACAGTAGCTTTAAACTATGATCCAGTCATGTACCTGTTCCTGCGGCTCTTTGTGAGCGGTGACTCTCTCCTCTCCCTGTCGTTCTTGCAGCAGCTGTTGGAAACAGACCAGGTTTGCCTTCAGCAGCTCCAGTTTGGATGAGAGAAGTTCAGCTGCTTCCTGCTGAGACCCCACAGCTCCCGGTTCCTCCTGCTGCTGGTCGGAGGGCGAGTCAGTCGCTGAGAGACCGGCGATCTTCTGCTCGATCTCCAGGAACATCTCCTGAACATCAAGAAACACACACTTTTGTCAAACAATTAAATATTTAAAAATAACTTGTGAATATCTATGTTCATTTTGTTTGAGAGATTTATGTTCTTTACTGAGGTCAGACTCAGCACATATTCTGATTTAAGTTATATTTACATCTGTGCCGTGACTAAGGCTTCTCCTCAATGCATTTGAATGGAACAATAGATGCTATCAGTGGCTGTTTGTTTGTCCTCAAAGCTTCATTCAAATGTGACCTGACTGTGGGAAGTGTGTAGCCTCTGAAACTTTAATGAAGGCTCAGGTTACTCTCTCAGTGTCAGCAAAGTGAATCATGAGAGGAAAATATCGGCTAAAGCTTTGAATTGAGACATGACAAAAAAAGAAGGGCTGGACTCTTATGACTGAGAGCTTTTATAACGGAATCAATCATTCAGATCACCAACCGTCAAATGCTTAAATCATTTGTAAGTATTTGACCAAAATCTCATTTTAAAAACTTGTAAAAACAAAAATGTGTTATTTGTGAAAAAAAAACGGATCAAGAGTCAATGATGCAGAGTGTCCACTGTAGCTGCTTCTTTCTTTCGTAGCCTTACTTCATGTGTATGCTTGGTTTTCAGGGTTCCCACGTGTTAGTGACACCACGGCTCTTAAAAACATGATTTCTGACTTTCCAGTTTGCACACCACCCTCAAAGCAAATACCTGCAGCTGGCATTCAGGTCGGGTTCATTGGTGCAACAACTTGAAAGTTTACACAGTTGATACAATCCATGTAACTAAAGCATTACTGTGGACCATTACAGGAAGAGTGATGACTCAGCCAATGAAAAAAAGTAATGCAATTTAAACTTGATAAGTTTGAAAGTCATGAGTGTGTTTAGTGAGTCAATCCTTCACTTTCTCCTCCTGGTTTGAACGAACAGTCACGATATGTTCAGACAATAAAGCCGACCGCAGAGGTGATAAAACACAGCAGGTGACAGTTGATGAACTCTGATCACTGAGACTCAGCGGAGAGGGTTGTGACCTGACAACAAGTCAGACTCTTAACATAGCTCTGTGTAATAAAGGATTAATTCAGGGCTGATATTTAATGCACGTATTGAGACATCATTCAAATGAAATAATATGCACCTGAAGTTATTTATGTATTTTAAAGCGCGCTAACAGTGGCTGTTTGTATTTATTTCACTGCTAAAATACAAGGTTTGTCAGGTAAAGGATACAGATTGATACAGATGACTTATAATATATGCCATTAAATGTCTTTAGATAGTTAAAACTTTCACTTAAAAACAATGTTATACTACGAAAGATCTCCAGCAAAGCAGCATGAGGGGAAACTTTAACCACTAAGATGCCCAATCGTCCACATCATGTACTTTTTAACTTTACATCGGTCATGATCCAAGAAGATGTTACAAGGTTTACAAAGGAAAAATAAAAATTTTGATACTATTCCGGGATCACAGTTTGCACCTGAAGTGACATGGAGTAACTTGAGTTCCTGTAAAGTCATTTGTAGTCATTTTTAGCTGACCAGACCGATGGTAAACGGTAAACAGGCTTGAGCTTGTATTGCTCTTTTCTGGTCTTCTGACTAGTCAAAACGCTTTTACACTGCAGGTCACACCTACCCATTCACACCCTGGTGGCAGAGGCTGCTATGTAAAGAGTACCATGAGGATCAATTTGGGGTTAAGTGTCTTGCCAAAGGGACACAGCAGGCATGTGGCTCGAACCCCCAACCTTCTGGTTGAGAGACGGCCGACTACAAACTGAGCCACAGCCGCCCAAGAGGAACTATTATGATCTCAGAGTGTATATGCTGGTTTTTAAACTAGTTTAAGTTCTTTGTTCATGACTTAACTCTGAATCAGTGCATCTGCCATTTAATCCTTGCTTTTATTTATTGATGTTATTGATTCCATGACAAAATGAAAACATGCATTTGAGCTTTGATTTTGTAGTTTCTCTGTCAGGCGAACCATGAGCTCAACTATCCTCTCCTCTTTAATGTAGCTCCTGTTGATGAAGCTTCATTATTTTATTTTTTTTGCTAACCATACAATAGGTGTATGTTTTATTGTGTTCCATGCAAAACTGAAACTGCACAGTATAAAATATATTTTTTTCTCTCGAAACCAATAGGAGATGGGAGACATAATAAACAGCTGGGAGTATGTTGACACCACTGTAAACATACTTTTAGGAACTTCTGGTCTAGAGCTGTTATTAGTATTTTTGTGGTCTTTTGACACTGTTGCAACAGTTTGACAAGGCCCCTTCCCCCTCCAAGAATGTTCTGCTCTGTAAAATGAACACAATGCATATAATAATGTAAGAAAATAGGTGGACAAAGTTCAAACATTTTAGGAAAGCGGAGGCACATTTGTCTGAGACTCAACCGTTTTTACAACAGATTCTTTTTGCATGCTTTGCAAGTTTAAAAAAAAATAAAGTTGAAAGAAAAGTTTTCTGTAACCTAGATATCTAAACATTTTCATAATCAAAAATCTATTTCCTCTAGGTCTAGCATACTGTTCATATCTAGACTAACTTGTCCCTGTAAACCCTGGGAGTGACCCAGGTATACCCCCTGGTGGGGGCGGAGCTTACCTCACAGATGAGGAGTTGCTGCTCCAAGCTATCCTGCATAGTCATTGATCCACCGCAAGCAGAAGCAGAAGCAGCGGGTCCTGCAGCTACCAGGCTCCACTGGGCTTTCTGCAGCCACAGCTCCAGCTGACCGACCCTCCCCAGGCATGCATTGAGGACACCTTCAGCGGGGCGGGGCCCAGGTCTTGGGGGCTCCTCCAGGGCCTGGGACACAAACACAACACACCCAGCTGAACCTCTCTGCTCCAGGGTTGCAGGTTGAGAAGAAATAGGGAGGAGAGGAAGCTGATCTGAGCTCTCTGTAGCTTTAATTAGACTCCACCTGAGCAGGTTGTAGCTCTAATATTAATCTTAACAGGTAACACTGGCCCCTCATTCTTCTTCTAACAAAACCACTTTCAGTCTCTTCCCCCTGCCTGGTTCCATATCTCTCTCTATCTCTTTTCCTCGCTCTCTTGTCTTTCTCTCTCTGCTCCACCCACCTGTGGCAGAAACCACTTCCTGGAGTGACGTCAAGGCTCCAGTGACAGCGACGCTTTATCACAGGACAGAGAATGACAGAGAGAAAGAAAAGAGACCTCAGGCTGCAGGGGTGGAGCTGAGACAGAGGGCCTGGACAGACGAGCTGAGTAAGCAGTAAACACAGAAACACTGGCCTACTTCCTCCTAAAACTGTTACAGCGTGTTAGCTGTCAATCATCTGGTCTTCTACCCTTAAAAGGAGTTAATCTATAGGAGTTATTTTCTTTTTTTTACTATTTTGACCCCCCCGCCCTACTCTTTAAAGTAAACAGAATTTTGAAATGGGCAAGTTCAAACTCCAATTTTTTCTTGTAGAGGATTTAAAGCAGGCTTAAAAAGAGGTGAACACCAAGAGTCAACAAAACCTGCCTTGAATGGCATCCAGCTTTGATGTCAACTGCACAAAAGCCTCTTTTTTTTATGAAAGGTCCTGAATAAGTTCATAGTTTGAGTCAACTGTTATACAGTTCTACATACTAAGGAAGCACAATGACAGAATGATGTACATTTTGATGACTTACATTGTCATTTGTCATTTGTCACTTCAAGAGCTATAATGGTCTAAAAATGAAGTGTATGTGATGGGATTGGACCAAGCAGGAAAATGGGTATCTATGAAAGAGAATGAAAATGACTGCTGTTCCTTTTTTGGTACTTTGAAACTTGTCTAAATATAACGTGTGTGTTTTTTTTAACATATTGTGATGTGTAGAGTTGAATTCAAATCGTACCTCGTGGCTCTATAAGCGTACATGTACAGCTGTAAGTGCAAACATAAAAAAAATAGCACTAATGGTAAATGCATGGAAACAAATTTGGCATTCTGAGGGAATAGATTAAACTTATAATCAATCTCAAAATCATTTTGTAGATGTTTATTTAATTGCTTATATAATTAGACATCAGATTTCTCAATTCAGTGCATCAGCGTGTTATTTTTGTGCAACCAGGCCTCGACTCTGCATCCACTCCTGCACGGTTAGAGGGTTAAGAGGAGGACGGTGCTTTCTTTATTTGTGTGCATCATGCTTTTAGCAGGGCAGCAGGATTTTACTTACAAGGGGCAACACAGGCTTTCATATGTGCGGGATAACTAGCACAGCAATTTTCTGTTTGAGGGCTAAAGCTGTTTATGTTTTAAGGGGACCGGGACTTATTTCAAGTGTTTGTCGTGACAAATCTCCACTGCTGCCTACCACACTGCTTTCTGATCTTACAAGAATAAAACCTCAGGCTTCCTCCACATTTGTAAATGAATGTTTGTCTGGGTCAAGAGTGAATGAGTAATTGACCTTTATGCAGCCAGTAGGTATGCATGTATGTGTGTGTGTGTGTTCTGTTTATGAACTGTGTGTGTGTGCGTGTCTTCATCCCCTGTGGGTCCACCCCCCCTCTGTCCCTTCATGAGCTCCTGACACAGAGAAAGAGAGACGGAGGAGTGGATAACTGATGTGTCTTTATTTGTATTTGTGCTCTTGTTTGGATATGTAGACAGAATGGAAGGAAAAAAATGTAAAAAGGTACAAGTATACAGAACATGCCATGTAATGTAAGACATCTCAGTACTGCTGCTTCCAGGTGAAACCCTTAAACCTCAAAAAAATAATCTGGCACCTTGTCTGGCGCTGTTACTGTTTTTAGATGAAATGCTGAAGCCGTAAATGAGTAAATGAAACATAGTAACATCATTTTTGATGATTTGAGTACTTATATGTTAACACTAAAGTGATACCTGATTTGGAGTTAAGTGGTTTTCACCTGCCCACAGCAGTGTGTTAATCAGTATTCATGTCAAACCAGTGCATTTTCATGGTCAACATTCATCTTTATAAAGGTACTTTCTGAATTATAAAATCTCCAACAGTTCATTATAATGTTCAGCTCATGGAAATACAAATTGCAGATGCATATAAGCAAGCAAACAAGAGTTTATTTGAACAATTAGACTCTTTGTTGGCAAAAGCTCAGACAACACATAAAGGAGACAATCCAAGGAGATTAACTATTTTCAATTGCTATTTCATATACGATACATAAAAAAACTTGGTTCACAGAATATGCCTATAAGTACATTTCTTTCTGCCTTTTATAAAAACATCGTAACCAATCAGATTCAAGGTCCATGCAAAAGCTTATTTCAGAGCAGAATGTTAAAAAACCATCCACCTCACATGCTAAATACTATCTATACTATACTGTCTGCTCGCAACTTTGTGGTGAAAGAGTTCCCGTCACCCTGCCAACCACTTCTCACATAGTCTCAAAAAAAAGTTCTGAGTCATCTCGAATCACACATCTCAGTGGTTAGGACTTGTCAAAGAATAAGCAGAATTACTCTGAGGATAGGCGAGCTCAGTAGTCCTTTATGTAAACACACAAATACTTGTTTAAGGGACATGTATATGGCACACATCTTATTTAAGGACTCAGTCCCATCCTCGACTTTATTCTCCGTAACTCAATACGAAACACTGATTAGAAATCAAACGTCAAATGTAAACAAAAATATCCCAAACTCTTAAATGTCAGAAGCCAATACCTGGAATTTATCTGCCATGTAAATGCACTGAGGGATGAAAATGAGGCGCTTTCTAGAAGATGAAAAAAACATGGGGGTCTAGAATTTGTTCTAAGGGGGAAAAGCTTTCTAGATTCTAAAATGAAGATACTGTAAGTGTGTTTGGTTGTTGGAAAAGTCATCTAGAAAAGAGTCAAAAGCACGATCTAGGCCTTGTTCTACAAGATTCTAAAGAAAGACATCAAACGAAGACTGGATTCTAGAGGATGATTCGTTCTATTATGAATGTAGGAGATATTGGGAGCTTTAGGTTTTCGCTCCAGAAGACGAGTATCATAAATCTGGTTCCCTCCCAAATAAAAGGTTATATGAAAAGTCCTGATAATGTTGTACAAGATTTTTACGAGAGCCATATTTTAAGACTGGATTCTGGAGGAGACTAGAAGATAAAAAGTCAGATCTAGAATCAATTCAAAGATCTAGAACAGATTACAGATTAAACTTGTGTTCTATGTTTGATTCTAGAGCTGTTCTGAGATCTAGTCGCGTTACAAGATCACTGGTTCTAGACTCACACAAAAGCTCAGTTGGATTTACACGACATACAGAGCTCAGAGAATAGGCTGTTAAAGAAACGGGTGTTCTAGAGTTTGGTACGAGAATAATGAATGTTTCTAGAAAGACTGAGCTTTAGACTTGTGTCTTTCTAGAGCAGAGGAGTGCCATCAGGTTATACATGATGCTTTGAAAATCTGGTCTGATTCTGGAGAAGTTTTAGGGTTGGTCTAAAGTAGGGTTAAGAAGAGGTTGGGAGCGCCATGATTATGGCTCAAAGGGATCTAGAAAAAACAAGTTCATGGCTAATTCTAGAAGAAGTGGAAGGCTTGATTTTGCACACTGCTCTAGAAGAAGCTAGAAGTTCAAAGCTTGGTTCAAGAGGAAGAACAAGGTTCTAGTCGGACAAGCTCTAGATCTAGGAGACTACACATTTCTGCTGGGACTCGGCTTTGGAGACTTTTACTGTTGTGGTTGCGGTTGTGTTTACCATGCTCTCGGGCAGCGACTGAGTTCTGACTGTGCCCACGGGTTTTGATAAAGCTTCAGATGAACTTGCTTCTGCGCTGTCAGAGGGGGTCTCAACATCCTGAAGAAACATGAGCAGGGTTAGAAGATCAGTCAGGTCAGTCAGTTACATACACGGATCATTTAGTCCACAACAGGATGACAAATCACACAGTTACTGACACACTCGGTTACAGACTAATATTAAGGGATGTTATTGACGAGGTTTTGTTATAATATCTTTTTTAAACTGTTGTATTGTAAAACTATTAGTATGTCTCTTATTGGTACTTTTTAAATGGGATTAGTTCTTCAAATCCAATGATTCTAAAACTATGACAACTGGCATCAATAGTATAAGAAATAACCACAAGAACCTACAATTCCGATGAATAGTGTGATAAGGGTGTTTATATTGTATATTTTTGTCTTGGTTAATAAACCCAATAAACAGCAGATAAACTCACCGGGCCTCATTCACCAAACGTTCTTAAAGGGACATCTGATCTTCAAACTCACAAACGTAGACATTTTTTCAGAAGATTCTGACATTCACCAAAGTTTTATTTTCTGTGATTTGTTCTTGCTGAGAAAAAAAAATCTTAAGGAAACTCTGAGTGCTGATGTGCCAATGCAAAATGATATGCTACTGGGTTTGTACTTGATTTATGTATGACTACATGATTTAAATAGTCAAGTGTTTTTTTCTGATCCTGCCGTGTTTGTTCTTAACTGCCAAATGCTGAATTATGAATACAAACAAAGCACTTGGGTATGTTTTTTTTTCTTCTTTTTAAACACTTCTTCACACAAATAAAAAAAAAAACACCTTCACTCACATGTATTGAAATCACAACTCTGTGACATGTTGCATCATTTTACAGCGTCAGCTTTTAGAACAAATGTCGGCCTCCGTCAAATCGTATTCATTTAGAAAATACAAAAGAAATGCCAGTGTCTTTATATTAAACAGATGTATCTACTTATAGAGCATCTTTTCTATCCACTACTGATGCTTCTAAATATCACGTCATTAAACCACTGCATGGTGGTACAGTGGTTAGCCCTGTTGCCTCAAAGCGAGGAGGGTTCCTGTTTCAATACCGCGTCGGACAGGAGCCTCTCTGTGTGGCGTTTACATGTTCTTTCTGCGCATGTTAGATTCTCTCAGGGTACTCCGGTGTCCTCCAACAGTCCAAAGACATGCTCGTTAGGTGACTCTACATTGCCTGTTTGTGTGAATGTGAGCGTGGCTGGTTGTCTGTCTTGATTGGCTGACGAACAATCCCACCTCTGGCCAATGACAGCTTGGAACAGCTCCAGCTCTGCAGCGACCCCAATGGTGAAAGTGGTATAGATAATGGATGGATGGATAAATCAGCCTGTTTGGGTTTCATTTCGAGCAGCGCCACATCCACTTTAGAACTTTTTCAGTATTCCTAACTTAAATACCTGAATTCAGGCATTCCTGACATCTCTCTACTCCTCTCTCTGATCCAGTGATTTATGTGTGTATGTGTGCCCTGCAGTATTATGCCCTTATATGGGCATGAAGACACGTCATTTACACTTTTAAGAACACAGAAGCTAACAGTATGGCCGTTTAAGAACAATGTTTTTCTGAGGAACTTTTCTTAGGAACTTTCTCCTAAACTTTCTCAAAAGAACATTTAATACATTTCTTAAGAAGATATTGGTGAATGAGGCCCACTGATTATTTTTTCGACTTTTCAACCCTGACTGCGTCACACAGCTCCCAGCCCGTTCCTCCTTCTAAAGACATCAATATTTTAGGAGAGGTCAAAGATCATTTCTTAACCGGAGGCAGTTTTAAAACAGCTGCGCGTTTTTCATCAAACAAAAAAGGGGGTCACATAGGGTCATTACTGGTGTCAACTTTAAGACATGGATTAGGTGTGCTATTAAAAGTTTAGCTATCAGCATTAATATGCAGTAATCTATATGTTATGATAATGAGTGTGATGGATGTGGGGTTATAACATTTATCAAATCAAAGAGGTTTACTGAAGAAGATTACAGGATTTGAATACACAGGAAAGACTTGTCAGTGGTATATTCGGCTCTGATGGATTGATTTGTTAATTATATGATAACAGAAAGTCACCAGACGTATCCTGTTTTTTCTGTGTTTTCCCCCTTGTTCTAGTCTTTTATATTTGTATCTATTGCTGTCAGTTTTGTCTCCTGTCTGTGTGTTCTTTAGTGAAGCACTTTGGGCTCCATGCTTTTATGAATGAAATGTGTTCCATACATAAAGCTGAGTTGTGTTGAGTTGAGTAATTGAAATATAGCAGATGATGATGTTTGGTACTGCTGATGGTTTAGTTACCTGTCTCGCTTCCTCAGCCTGTTCAGTCCTTAGTTCAGTGGCTTCATCGGTCTCTTCAGGGGACCAGACCATGTGCTCCTAACGTCATGAAAGACAAATGTGAATTATTTTTCATGAAAAGACAACCAAAATGTAAAATGCCTGAAAGAGAGAGTATTGTTCGTAATTGTTTGAGTTAACAACGTTCATAAGGGCTGTCACACAAACGAAAAACACTGTTCAATACTGCCCTCTAGAGGGAGAACAAAGTCCTAAAAACAGATGTGCAGGGAGGGAGTAAAGAATGGAGAACAGAAATGGAAAGTGAAGTGATTAAAGGGAATTATTCATACATGAGTGAAGGGTTTTCACGAGCTAAAGCACCTGCTATGATGAGTATGGGGAAATAGAAGCAGAGATGAGGAAGGTGAAGGAGCACATGGCCAGCAGTGATAGGGAGAGCAGAGTGACCCAGGTCAAAGAGGTTCAGATCTTTTAGTCAGTTAAATTGGAAGCAGGTTTTTCCAGATGTATTGCATTAGGATTAGTCAAAGGTCTCAGGTGTTATCTCAATCTCAAATACTATTTTACTTTATTAGCTTTAAAGAAAATCCAGCGAGGCAATACCTCCCATATGGAGCCACGCTTTGATTAGTTCCAAGCAGGAAAAAAAAAAAGACATGACCAAAAGGATTGTGGGAAAAAGGAAGCAAAGGTTTTTTTTTTTTTTGTTTGTTTTCACTGCAGCTCTCTGTGTTTGTTACCTCTGGAGAAGAGCCCAGGAAAGCATCCCAGAGCCACCACAAAACACCTCCTCCACCTTCTTCCACTCTCTGCTCCTCACTCCCTGTTTTCTCTCTGGCTTCTTCAGCCTGGAGCACGCCTTCATGCTCGCGCTGCTAATGACACGGAAACACGCTCATGTGTAGAGTTACAGTGGGGGGGGGGGGGGGGGGTTTGGGGGGATTTGTGGGGGTGGTCAAAGTGCATCTGGGACACTGAGCTGCAGGCTGGCAAATATCTATCACAGCTTTTGACTGCCGTAGTTCATTTTCCTTAAAGCATGTTTCCAATGAACTTCCTAAAGTCACTTACTTTATTCAGGGACACTTGACACAGTGTCAGTAATGGCAGACGTCTAATGGAGGAGGATAAGAGCCGGTTTAAAAAATACTTTTAAAGTTCTGTCTTTAATCTCAGAATTTAAAATCTGGATTTGGACCTTTTTTTTCCAGAATGTTGAGATTAAAGTTGGGATTCTGAGGAAAATAAAGGTCAGAATTTTTTAAAAACATGTCAGAATTCTGACTTTAAATCTCAGAAGCCTGATTTCAATCTAAAGTTCTGTGATGAAACAAATTCTGAGTTTAAAATCAGGACTAAGAAAAAAAAAAAAAAACTCAGTCGCCCTGAACCTTTTCCCTACCTGCTAAATCTAACCTGACATTTATTTACAAACTTTAAATCAATGTCCCATCATCTGCACTTCTACCAGTGTGTGTGTGGGTGTGTGTATATACATATATGTGTGTATATATAAATCGAAGAGAAGTTTTAATGGTGGAAGAATTATTACTTTTAGAATAAAAATTTTGTGTTAAACTTTTACTAAATAGAAAATCCAGCTTGTTAGTATCAATAATGTTACATTATGTTCTAAAAAATCAAAAGAGTCATCTTCCACTGCTATAGGTGGTGAGCATTCAGTTTGAATAACACAGGTATAATAATTCATTCATGGTAATTTAACAGTAATCAAAAACAGGGTTTGTTTGCATTGTAAAGAAAGTTCAGACCTGCAGTACTTTTCCTTTGCCTTCTTACCTCGGTGCTGTCGGTTGTCCTGGACTTCCTCTGGTCAGCGGAGGAATGCTCAACAGTCAGGAGAGCGGCTCCGGATCTCTTCAGTACGTCCGCTTCAACGTGAGCTATCCTGATTCGTCCCTGCTCCATGTCTTCTTTCTGCGCGACAGCACAAAGAAGAGTTTATGTCAAAATATTCCTGACTTGTTTTCTATAATACCTTTGACTTTGGAATGGCCAATAATCTTGGCTGTGAAGACGATGAAGCTGAAAATCGGCTTTCTCCCCATGCTTTTTAAAGATCACATGTTTTTAACTCATCTCAAAAAATGACAACATCCCAAAACTCTAAAAACATCAAACACCTCTCTTAATTTGGACAGTGAACACAAATGTACCTCATCCTCATTTGAAGTAGACTTCAGGAATTTAAGCGGAGAGGTCGTTGACGGAGCTTTGGCTTGAACTGGAGTCGGAGGCTGCTGAATGAACAGAGCAGGGACCTTCTACGGAAAGAGTAAAGCAGGAGGTTCAGTGACAGCCACTCCTAGTTTTATGCATATATACGTGACTAATTGACTGATTGATTTTCAAACCTTCTCCAGTTCAAGCAGAAGAGTCTGCAGCTGGTCCACGACAGTGAAGACGACCAGAGTCTCCTCGGCCTTCTCTGGAAGACAAAGGCCGGGTTTGCACTTCTGGATCTCCGCTATGGTCCTCCTCATGTTCTGGATCCTCTTCTCAACAGCCTGCACACAAAAAGAGGGCATAGCTATTTTTTGTATTTCTATTCCAAACTATCACACCGTGTTGATATCAAACGAAGACGCCTGATAAAAAAACTCATGCGTCTTATTAAGTTTTCTACACCTCACCTTGAGGCTTTCTTCTCTGGGGCTGGGGAAGGTCTCAGGAGACGTTAACAAAGTCTTAATCTCAGCCACGTTGTTCTCCATTCGCCTGACTTCACTCTCGATGGCTTCCACCTCCTAGACAATAAAACAAATCCACATATTTGACTATTTATGATTCTTAAAAGTGAACAAAAAGGGGGACGGGCATCAGATGTCCAGGTAAAGAGAGATAACACGACACAAAACGACTCACAGCAGCAGCGTGCTCCAGCTGAGACAGAGGAGCCGTGAAGCCGTCTTGAACGTTGGCCACATCACGATCGGCTTTGACCAGCTGCTCCTGCAGAGTTGTGACGTCGCAAACCTGCGACATCTCGTTCAGGACGGAGCTGAAGCCCTGCAGGGTGTTCCTGATCTGAGCCGAGTCATCCAACACCGTCTGCAGAACAAGGACACGGTGATCATTTTTCTTAACTTCTACTCACAACATTCTCCTTTGAAGTGTTGTTAAAAATGACATTGAAGTGTTTGTAGACTGTAATAGCACTTTATATTGCAGAATAAAAAAAGGAGAGTGTAGACAGTTTGTAGTAGCAACCTTCAGGGCTTGAACATGGCTGCTCAGGTCTTTAGCGACGGTGTAGGTGCAGGGAGCAGCGAGCCACGTCTGAGCTTCTGACATCCAGCTTTTAGAGCTCTTGATCATCTCCTGATGCTCCTGAAGCCACATGTGGATCTAAACAAAAACACAAACAATACGTCTGTTTACAACCCCAATCAAGAAAACTAAGTGCGTGAGCCTTCAATAAATAAATAGTGATAAAGGATCATACATAGCAGGACTCAGATTTCCAGTTCAAGGTACACCTTTCACTATGAATGTCATGGAGGAGTAATGGGTGGACAGAGTCAACCCTCCAATGTAACGCCATCAGAGGTGTTACAGCATGGGACCATGGGATGGGCGGAGTCAGCAGGGGAGAGCAGCACTTTTCTAAAATATTATTGCTGATGTGACGTTTTCACTTCCTGCAGCCAATCAGTAAAAGCTTTTTGTTTTATGCAGTGTCTGTTACAGTGCTGCCTCTAAGGCCCTAACTGTCTCTGAACGGCTGAAAATATCTTCTGTTAACTGCTGTTCATAAACAAACCCCTATAAAACCCTGCTGTATGTAAAGCATGACAAAGCATTATAATGACAATATAATAACAGCTACAACCTTTAAACTGCAGCCAGTGTAAAATAACAACAGTGACAATGAATGGTGAAACCTTTAAATTAAACAAAAGGAAAGTTATCAGAAGGACACTGGATGGAATTATCTCAGACACGGATTACAAATCAAAGCTATCATACATTTCTGAGGGATGTAATCTATCACGGAAAACGCACCGCTGACAGCAAACAGCTGGTAAAACCCTCTGCTCCGCCTCAGCCTCCACTACAGTATGTCCCACCTTTCAAAACTATAAACCCAGAACATCGCATTTTATGAAGGATTTACACCTTCAAGGAGCTAGGTGTAAGATTTCAGTTATACCTTATGCCTGCATTGGAACTATCTCAGCTGGTGAATCACCTGAATGTTGGTAGTGCGTTAACTCCATAGTAAGCTAGAACTTGCATTCAAACCAGGCTATGTTTGAACTCATGCATAGCGGGTGCAACCAAGTTTTTGATGGCAAAAGGAGGATGAGCTACATTTCGAGATAACACCTTCTGAGACTGGGGGAAATTTTATACAGCCAATTACACAAGAGAGTCGAATTGACTAATATGTGTGGAAACAGCAGCCACAAACAAAGAGTTTCAAAATGACTTAGATACATAGTTCTGATAGAGAGGAGGAGGTAACCTGTAATTACACACTATTTATTCAACACCAGATAAATCTGAAGACATGATAGCTTGTAATTATAACTCAAGACATCATAAGCAGAGATTTAGACCGGTGATGTTTCACATTGGAAGATTCAGATGTGATAAAGAAGACTGGAGGAATACTAAAGGTGTTTCTGACCTTGCTGATTTGGGTGGTCCTTTGCTCCGCCTGCTTGGCGAGCTGGGAGTGGAGCTGCTGGACCTCCACCAGCCTCTCTGTGAGGATCAGCGTCTCCTCTGGCTTCTCCAGGTCCTGCATGTCCACCTCAAGCGCTGCCACACACGAGTGCCACACGTCCAGCTCGTCCCACACACGCTGAGATGAGGCACGGAATGAAATTGAAGAATTTGTGAAGACTTATCGTTGATTTCTTTTTTCAGTCCTACCATTGGACTCCAGACAGACTTTATAACGTAAACACATTTAATGATCGTACCTGTTCTTTACCTATTTAGCTGTTCAAGTATGTATGGCAGTATGGATGGATAACAGAGAGTTTTACTCTGTTTTTACAGATTCAAATGCTGATAGGGTTCTATCTTCTTAAATTTCTCAACCAAGCTTCAAAAATCCAATTTATCTAGCTTTATGAAAATACAGCTTAATGAGGCTATAAGAAGAAAGACGAACCAAGACCTCCTAGTATAGTTGAATAAAAATAAAAATATCTTCCTTATTCCTCCCTTTATCTATCCAAGTGATGTAAGGCAGGTGGGACTAAGGTATAACTACTTTCAACAAACTTCTATCATTGAGTCTGCAAATGTTACAGAAGCAGTTTTGCTCTATTTATTCTCAGCTACATGACGCATTTGTCACTTCTCACCTTCTGTGTGACCTTTGCTTGGGCCACAGAGGGGCTCCTCTGTTCGAGCCTTTTCTGAACTGACCTCAGGCCAGCCTGGATTTCAGACAGCTTAGCACCCAGCCTGTGGACGGGACCACTCCTCTCCACCGCCTCTCCCACCTGAGGGATAGATCAAGAACAAACAAAAATCAACATTTACGCTATTTCCCATTGTTTTTGGTCAAAATACAAGTCTGTGTATGGGCTGGCATCTTCTACGCATCCTTAGAAGTTCGATTTCAGATTGCGAAAGAACGCTTCACTGCGCTTCAACATTTTGAAGAAATTGAAAAGCTATTTGGCTCAGAAAACAACGAGACTACCACAAAGGTATCTGTAGTGACGTTACTGTCCAACACTGATTGAAGGTTATTTTCTATGCCAGACTTATCCCAGGACAATCATTGGATGACTTTCTTTGTCATTTTTGAGTCATATAAATATTAGTTTTTTTGTCAAAGCAAACAAAGGAGAAATCTGAAACTTTTATAACATCCAATCCTGCATTACAAAAACACCTCCCTCTAACTCTTCCCAGTTGTCATTTCAACCAACTACTCTACTTTTCCTGACTTTGTATACTTGGAATCTCTGTCTTTTTTTTGTTCAAATTCAAATCTTCACTTGTTTACCTTCACTTCCACTTTCCGCAGGGACTGAGTGACCTCCTTCAGCTGGCCGTCGATATCGACCGGGACCAGGGTGTACATGTCCGAGTACTTCATCCTCAGGCCCTCCATGATGCGCTGGAGCAAAGCCTTCTGGGTACACAGCTGGCTGTGAACCTCCTGAAAAACAGAGAAGATATGTGGTCCAGAAAGAGGACATGGAGTACCAACAATAAGAACGGGACACTGTGTGTTCTGAAGCCATACAAGAAAAATATCAATATTTACTGATTTGTTTCTTTTTTTTTTTTTTTAAATGACATTTCATTGAAAAGCACAAACATGACTGGTGTGATAATAGTTTCTCAGAACAGAAAAAAAAAACATGGCTCCTCGGAAAAACACTTGTAAGCAGATTCATGACAAACAGTCACTGCGACCACACGTTCCTCAAAGCAACAACACCAGCACAACGTCTGTAAGCAGGGCATGTCTTCATGTATTAGTGTTTTATCTCCAGCACTGTAAATCTCGTATCTCATAGCACTTTTAGACACAATCTCTCAACACCTCTCACTGAACAAACTGTCTGTGAGCTCTCTGTGATAATGTTTATCTGTTAGCGCTTTATCCCTCCTGTGCTGCTCTGATCAGACACGGCCTACCTCTCCAAAGCCCTTCAGCTCCACGGTACTTTAAGTCAACTCATTTCAGTTCTAGAATAAAAAGACTAACAAACATAAAGGTGAGATAAAATACAGAGGAGACTACCTGCGTCTGAACACGTCCGATGCTCTGCTGAAGAGAGAGGGAGGTGCATCTTATCACTACAGGACACTAGGCACGTTTGTGTGTGTGCGTGTGTGGTGTGTGTGTGTGTGTGTGTGTGTGTGTGTGTGTGTGTGTGTGTGTGTGTGTGTGTGTGTGTGTGTGTGTGTGTGTGTGTGTGTGTGTGTGTGTGTGTGTGTGTGTGTGTGTGTGTCTGTGTGTCTGTGTGTGATACAATAGAGGAGGAGACAATTAGGGGGGAGACGGTTTCTTAGCAGTTGAGTGTGGGACAAGTGTTCAAGTGTTTGTGTGTGTTCTTGTGGGTCTATGCTTCAGGGAATACATTTGCATTTTAGAACAGATTTGTAACATTTAAAAGTTTTATGGGAAATAACTAATTTCAATAAAGTTTAATCAAACCGAGGGGCGAGGGGCTAAACGGCCGTGTTGGAGTGTCTTCTCTGGTCGAAACAAAAACAAACCGGAATCTAAACTTAGAAGGAGGACATACTGGTTGTTTACAGAGAAGCCAGCACTTCAATGTGGCATGTTTCCTTAATGTCTGATGATATAGTAAGGCCATTTTATGATTTAATTCAGTAGCTATCTTACATATTGGTCCTTTAAAAAAAGAAAATTGAAAGAGTTAGTCAGGTCCTTGCATCGAGAAAGGGTCTCCTCGGGGTTAAGACCTTGTTTCAGGGTTTACATTATAATTAGGTTAACATTGAAGTGGGGGCTTTGAGAGAGTATTATGTGATCGAGGGGCCTCTCAAGAATAGGAGTAAATATGTGAATGTGTGTTTGTGTGTTTCCATGGACTGACTTGGCTACAAAGGCCACCTGGAAGATCCACTTACAGTGCAGAACAAAAGGTGTCTGCTACGAGAGGAGGGGTGAGGGTAGCCGACTGATGGGGGGGGGGGGGAGTTGTGGCTTGTGGGGTAACTAAGGGGTCTGTTTAGGTCTTTCATCGGCTCAGGCCCGCTGCAATGGTGAGGTATGAGTGTGTTACAGGAGAGAAAGCTAGAGTGGATGAGGAGATGCTGGCCTCTGCTCAGGTTTCAGGACAAAGGGCGGAGTGATTCTGCAGGTTGACGGGTTCACAGAAGGGAACTCTAAACAACGAAAGCCTTCAGGACTCAGGACAACCCAACCGTTAGATTCAGACTTTTCATAACTACCAGACACTTGCGTCAAACAGTTAACAGCCACTTTCTTTCACTATATTTATTTGTAACTTCTTCAACATCATATACATATTGAATGTTCGCCCCAAATAATGGGAGCACAGAATCCCAAAGAATTCTTAGAAATACTTTGAGAACTGCTGCGCATTTATTTCAGTGCAAAAACAATGACATACATTCTTTTTGGGGATTCTGACCTGTAGCTGTTTTGTGCTGCGGCTCTGCTCCATCTCTGACAGAAGACCGTCTGCAGCCTCCAGCCAGACCTTGACGCCCTGCAGCTCCTCCCGAAGCTTTTCTCTCTCCTCCAGTTCCATCCTGGCCGACTCCAAACCCTGCCTGCTCCTCTGCTTCACACTGTGAAGACACACAAACATAGCCGACAATAAAAAACAGCGGTTCAACAAATTAACAACACCTAAGCTTAAATCTATAAAGTGAGAGTCTGCACTGAGAGCATCCACAGTTCATCTGAAAGCAGGCGAAGCTGCACAAACTCTGGCACTGCAGTGAATATCTGGCCCCCTTTCCCTGAGTGTTCATCCAGGCATGGGATGGCTTATGGGTAACTGAGTTTTCTTTTGTGTCAACAGCCAAATACCTGCTTTACACTTTTTTTTTTTCCTTCACAAATGTGCATTTAAAAGAAAACAAATATTTCATTTAATTTCAAATCAGATCACATTGCATCCCAAAGCGTCGCATTGCGTCGTTTCATACAAAAGCTTACCATATCAGATTGATTCATATCTCATAGTATCGTATCATATCATGTCTCATCACATTGCATTTATCTTACCTGCCGTATCGTCCCTGCATCGCCTGCAGTTTCTGACAGATAGGAGTGGAAGGCGCCTGCTCGAGGTGGGCGGGGACACCCAGCAGCCTGGCAGTGCGCAGCTCCAGTGCGGACAAGGCACGGTGTTCGCAGTCCAGCCTGTCCTGGTACTGTTCCCAGGACTGCAGCAGGTCCTGGAGCTCCTCAGTCGAGGCTTTAACCCGAGAGCCATCAGGAAGCTCCGCCTCCACCTGTCCAGGACGGCTGAGGCTTTCTCCACCTGAGAAGAGGAAAAAAGTAAGGTCTCAATAATGTCTAACAGGAACAATAGTATGTGAAAATATGAGCAGCCGTTAGCGATTCATTCTGGTGTTTTACTTACACTGTCAGTGATTTGGCTCCATTCAGTGACCCTCTGTTTACTTCTGGTTTTCAGCCACAGTGTGCAACGATGTACTCTTGCTAGCCGTTTCCAGAGAGCAGTCACGCTGGCCTCCCTGCCTCCACAACAGCTCTGCTCTGGACACCACTCCTTTAGCTCCCCCAGACGCCTCTGCAGTGACTCCACCTCCTCAGACAAAGCCTGTTAGTCAAATACATTTTCTATTAATAAAGGTAAGGAAAGATTAAGATGTAAGGAGAAAATCTCAAAGATGTTTCAAAGTTCTCTTTGTCTTATTGCACAATTACTTTAACTCAACGTTGCAGTAATATGGCAACCTGGGAATGACATTTTTTTATACGTACTTCAAGCTTGGCTTGCTGGTCAGTACAGCCAGCGAGACAGGTGACTTTTTGACAGATGAATTGTGAGAGGCTGTTCTCTGCGCTGTTCAAAGTCTTGATGATTTCCTCTTGACACTTGGTGAATTTTCGGTGGTTTTCTGCACATCTAAAACAAAAACTCTGATCCATTAATGTCCACTAACAAGAAAATATTGCTTCACTTACTGTATATGCCAAAGAAAAAGAAGTTCAGAAATCAGACTTTCATCTTGGGATTTTTTTTTTTGTTTATTTTTTGTTTTACCTGCTTAGACAGTCCAAGTGCACGTGGCCTTTTGCCTGGAGAGTGGACATCCTCACCAGGAGCTGGCTCAGAATGTTCTCCTGTAGCTGCTCTACCCTCTGGGGGGACACGTAAGGATGCAGCTCGTTCTGGCTCTGGAGCTTCTCAATGTGCGTCTGGAATTGCTGCTGCAGTGAAGCCAAAGCCTGCTGCGTCTGCTCCACCCTCTCAGAGCAGAGGCCAGCAGAGCCGTGTGGCGGCAGCAGGGAGACCTCAATGTCTCTCAGGAATTGGACTGCCTGTCTGACAGCGTCTGTGTAGTTTCGGAAAGACTCTCTGGCTTTAGAGATTTCCAGCTAAAAAATCAAACAGGACATAACTTCTTATCAGAATCGGGCGATCACATTCCAGCACTTTTTTTTTCTTTTCAATCTATCCAAAGTGTACATCAGCAGAGGGCACTTAAAGCCACTTATACTGGCCTTGCCCAAAACTAAACATTTTCTGATATTTTCAAGTGCTTAAGTATGTGTGACAGTAGTCATGTTTGTCTGAACTGACCCTTACTAACTGGATCCCACTTGGAACAAAGGATAAATCAATATGGCAAAATAAAGATTTCTGTATTTTAAAAATCTGGCTGCCAGAAATTACCGATTTGTTACCCTGTGTGCAAACAGATGTCTACTTTGCATATATGTGCACATGCACCATGGTCTTAACACTGTGACTGTCTTAACAGTTGATTGGGATCCTACAAAAGTAGAGCATTTTCTTTTGCACTGTTGTGTTCCTGTATAATTTTCCGTTCTCCTTTTTGTCTTTGATAACCCATTTAGGATGGAGTTTCTTTTGTAACTCTGCTGTTTGAATGCAAAACTGAACATAGATTTAAAGGAAACACATAGGCAATGAAAAACCACAAGAGGGGAAACAACTCAACTGACCATCTGTTTGTCACTTTCATTGAGGAGTACTTTCTTCAAGACCATCAAATATTGGGATTGTTTGTTTCCCTTGTTTTGCTCCAGAACCTCCAAAGCTCTCATTCTTGACTCGACAGTCTTTTTCAAATACATGATTCTCCGGTACTCGTTGTCAATTGCTGTATCATTTGCCTCCAACGTGTGGTGTTTCTGCAGCTCTTGTTGGGTATTCTGGAGAAATGCCACAGCGGCTTGCCTCTCTGTGTCCAGGTCCAGTTCCCTCATCAGTTTCCACTCTATGATGCTGAGGTTGTTGTATAGCATCATCTCCAAGGTGTCATTGCTATCCTCGTTCTGTTTGAGCCTCAGTCGTTCTGCGTTAAGCTGGGAGGGGTACAGATCAGCAGAGATCAGCTGGAGTTTGGAATGAGCCTCCTTGGACAAATGCCTCATCAGTGGAAACTGGACCAGAAGGGTCTGACAGACTTTGTACTTCTCCACGGGGTCTTTCCTGTCATCTTTGGTCTCGTGGACCTGCTCCTCGATTTTCTCCCTGAGGTCCTCTACACACTGCCTCATGTTCAAGTATCCCTCATGATCTTTGGCTCTCGATTCCAGGGTGACCGTTTTGCTGTACAGCTCAGAAATGACTGAGTAAAGTTCCTTAGATTTTTCTTGGGGAATCCACGGTTGCAGAAGGTCAACCCGGGACTTGTGCTCCAAAATCATCTGTTTGAAAGGCTCCAATGCTTGTAGGGACTCTCGGGTGATGGGAAACCTGTTTCTATTCAGATCTACGAGTATCTGCCGCAGGCTTTTTTCAATGGCTACCAGCTCTTTCTTGCTTGACTCTACAGTCTCTGTGAGTTCGTCCAGCTCCTTCTTGTTGGCCTTCTCATAGCTGCTAATGGCTCTGATTTCCTCTTGAAGGGTGGTAAGCTTGTCAAAAAGCCTGCAGTTCTCTGTGATGCTGAGTTCTGAGGCAAGGTCTTTACTCTTCATTAGAAGAGCCTCACAAACAGCAGACTGCTTCTCAGCCTCTGCCAGGGTAGCTTGGATCTGACGAACTCTGCGATCAAACTCAGAAGGACTCCTGAGCTCATTGTCCACACTTCTGGTAGCCTCTCTGTTAAGATGAGTCACAACCCAGGAGTCCAGGTCGGCAATCTGCTCTGACAGCTTCTCTCTGGTTTGAAGTCCTGACTCTGTCTCTCTAACAGCCTTTGCTAGCTTATCAGTAGTCGAATTTGAGAGTTCTTCAAGGGATCCCAAAGATTTGCGCACCATTGGCACCTCTTCGGCCTGGTCCAGCTGAGGAAGGAGCTCTGTCACCTCCTCCACCAGCGACTCCAGCTGGCCCTGTTTGGCGAGGACCTCAGACTGCAGCTTCTTTAGGTCTCTAAGCTGTTGGTGCACCTCCTCAGGCAAAAAAGCCACCCTCTTCCTTCTGCCCTCAATGTCACTCTCTGTTTGCTTCGCCCAGGCAAGTCCATCCCTCATCACTACAATGATTTTCTCCATGGTGGGGTTGCTGCTGTTCTGCGTTTGGGAGGACACCAGTTCCTCTGTGTGGCAAAGTTGGTCTTTGACCCTCTGAAGGTCCTGCGCTATCTTTTTCGTTTCTGTCTCCCAATGGGAGCTGAGGAGCAGAGCCTGTAACTGTTTCTGCAAATGAAGGTATTTCTGCTGGGCAGCTTTAACTTCAGCATTTGCCGCCATCAGTTTCTGGGCTTTATTGCAATCCCATGGAGCACCTGAGGAAGGCTTGGCTTCAATGTCTTTGCTTATAGCCTCCAAACCTTCCTGAAGACTTGATATCTCTGACAGAAGGCAGCTGGTCTCTTGAGAATGGATATTTATGTTATACAAGGATCTCTCCACAGCTCTTTCTAGGCCCCTCCATTGCACTTGCAGGTTCTTGTAATCAGCCTGTGCAGTAGCTCGTTCAGACCGACTGAGGTGGGGGCATACCTTGGTATGGGCCAAGAGCATTTGCCCAAGCACTGTTCTGTTCTCCTCCATACTTCTCTGTGAGGAGGACAGTCGCTCTGCCTCTTTGAGGCTGCTTTCCTCTGTTGACCTGAAAGAAAAACATTCTTGGCATTCACAGAGGTACAACATGAAAGACATGACTATTATAGCTTTTTTAAATCATTTTTTTTGTCTGGCTGCTTGCTGCATGTATTTTGAAGTAGTGTTTAAGAGTTTTTATAAGTATCTGCAATCAAAACATCAGATTCTGATTAACAATAATCCCAAACAGTTATTGGTGGAAGACTCTGTGCCACGTATATGTATTAGGTAACACCACTAATCATTTAGCACAATCAGTTGGGATCTTTAGTAAAGAAATTATAAGTCAACCATAGGTAAAAACTCACGTTCTAACAACATCCAGTTCTGCTGTTAATTTCTCCAGGGTGGTTTCCACTGCTTTGGTCTGCCTGCAGTAATCCGTCACGTCCTGCAGCTGGGCCTCTTTACTTTGGATGATGGCCGCAGCATCCTGAATAGCAGTACTCCACTGGTCCTCCAGCTGCTGCAGGGCATCCGTGTTCTCAGCATCAGCTAGTCTCATTTGAGAGAGCAATGACACCTGTTCTTCAGCGGTCTCTCTGCATTTCTGTACTCGGCAACGGACAGTAAATATAGAAGAAATGTTTTAAAAGCCAGTAGTTATCATGGTATTTTTTAAATTCAGCAGATTATAAATGAAAAGGGCCTGCAGCACAAGTACTTTGTTCTGCCAATATATAGTTAACATTTCAATGGAACAGGCTCCTACAGGTACTCATAACAGATGTCCATTACTTGAGGCACTTTGGCATTGATACCTATGCTTTTCAACATGTTGTCCAACTCCACCTGTATCTACAAATCAGGCTGCTGCAATAAATTATTATTTTTATCACTAATCTAATGAGTCATGCATGCTGTCATTCTGTTTCCCACCTGAGCCTCCTCAAGCTGCTGCGCCATGGCTGTTGGGTTGAGCTCAGCTGGTTGGTTCTTGCAGCTCAGGACTTTACAAACCAGCCTGCTTAGACGAGTTTCCAGATCTCTAGTGGATGTAATCAGACCCTCTGGAGCATCCTTAGTTGGTTTACCCTAAGGACACAGAAACAAAAAAATTGGTTTTGATGAGGTCCAATAATGAACACAAACGGAAGCTAATATGCTCAGTCCCTTTAGAACCTACAGAAGAAGTTTCTTTCCATGTACTTTGCCACTGAAAGTAGGAAGTGAGTAACATATAATTTCCTTTTGTTTTAAAATTGCTTTAATTTTCTTGTTGTTTTATGTCATTATACAGCAGTGCTAACTTTAAATGCTAATCCCACCTGTACTTTCATTTTGGATTCCTCAGTGAGCGGACTGCTTGGTCCTGTTCCCATGTGTAGCTGTATGTCTTTGAAGATATTCCTCATGGTGGATCCTTCAGGCTCCTCCAGAACAAGTTTCTCAGTCTTCGCAGCACTTGCCTCAGCCTGAGATTTCTTTTCCTGCGGCTGGGATCCTTCCATCAGGGATATCGCACCCCAGTTAGTGACTGTTGAAGACTGCTGGACTGCCTGCAGTGATGTTGGAGACACTTTGTCAGTCTTGTACACCAGCTCCTATTGTGAAAACGAAACAAAAGTATTAATGCAAGAAAAGCCATGAGGTACAGCTGTATTAAGTTGCATTTGAGCTCAGAGCTGTAACCTGTCTATCCCATCTGAAGTATTGGATTCCTCTGGTTTAAGTGTGCTAAAACGTATCCCTTTACTGTAGCTCATATTCCTACCCTGAGGCACTGAAACTGTCAACAGTGCTGATGTTAAAAGTCTTGCGTTGGAATTATTTGCTATAAGTCACACAATGTAGCTGCTTTTGCCATTTTAACAGCATCAACTGTAAAAATCTTAAGAACTTTGAAATCTAGGTATTTTCAAACTTTTACAGATGCACTAAAAGTATCATGCTCAGACGTCCATGCACCTTTGAGGAGAGTTAAAAGGCATGTTCAAACAAGTGTGAGACTGTAAATAATACAAAATGTACATATGACCCTTCCCTGGAGCCAGGAAACTCTATAATTATCATCTTTTTTACAAGTTATTGTTTTTCCCTCTCTCTCTGACTATTCAACTTATCATTGAAAATGTAATATTATCTTCAATTGAAGGTACAAAGCTATTCTGCATTCTTAACATTAACTGTGCTACTGGGGTAATTTTACTTTATCATCCTCACCTCCATGACATGACATACCTGCGGTGATTGCATACTCCTCACTTCCCCACCAGTGGTTGTGGTTGTTGCCATTGGAGCCTTTTGTGTTTCAACTTTGTCCATCTTTTCCATTCCCTTCTCCTGAGTCGTCCTCTCCTCTCCCCCTTTCAGTTCTTTTTTCTTTTCCTCTGCATCTGTTTGGACTCTGGATTGAGGTAGGATTTCAGTAATGGTTTCTTTCACTTCGACCCTGACCGTCTTGACTGCAGACTTCTCAGAGAGAAGGTCAGGGGTGGATACCTCCTTGCCTTCTTCCACTGCTCCAAACTGGCTACTTGATTCCACCCTTGGCTCCTGTCCTCTTGTGAGACTTTTGTCTTTTTTAGCAGCAATGGGGATTTCTTCTTTTTCAGCAGACTTTTCATCAAGGCTTCTCGGTACAACATGCACATCACTTGGGGACCCCTTTTCCTGTTTTTCATCCACAGCACAATCCCTGACATCTTTTAGGCTACCCTGTGTGATTTTGAAGCGTTCTTGCTGAGTCACAGTTGAGCTTGGTTTCACTTTGTCTTGTTCTGATAGCTTAAATCAGGCTGTTTCTGGATGTTCTCCATAAAGACAGACTTTTCTTTCATGGTGTCAGATGCATTCTGCTTGCCCTGTGTCACCACTTGAGAGGGCTGTCCCTGGGTCTTCACTTCAACCATGGAAATATTTACTGCAGTCTTTTCAGGCTGAATGTCAGATGAAGTCAGCTCTTTATTTCCAGGAACTTTTTCGCTCTTAATGATTGCTTGACCTACAGACTTTTGGACCAGACTCTTGGCCGCATCATGAATGGCTTTTGGTGGCACTTTAGCATGCTTGTCCTGTACATCATGATCCTTCACCTTTTTGGGTCCTTCCTGTGTGGTTTTCACAAGTTCCAGCTTAACTAATGTTTCACCGGGTTTTACAATTTCTTGCTCCACTAAACCTTTCCCTGCAAGTTTTGTCTCTGCTTCACTTGGCTGCACAGCTGCAAAAGCAACAGAGGTGGACTGGGAGGGTTCACTCTGAGGGACATTCGCTTGCTTTTCAGTGACAACTTTTTTCAATTCTACGATTGTCTTCACTGCTGCCTTTTCCGTTTTAACTTCAGGAATAGGCTTATCTTTATTTTCTGGTGCTGTGTCTCTCTTGATAGTTGTTTGAACAATATCTGTTCTTGGCTCTTTTGCTATTGTGACCGATGTGTTTTCCTCCTCTAAACCCGTCATGATATCTAGCTCTAGGATTCGCACATCAGGCCCCATGTGGATTTTTTCCATTCTAATCTTTTGGCCAGATTCATCGTAGACCTTAGGTTCATCAGGCATACCAAGCATTGAAACTTTAGGATGCTCCTCTTGGACCCCTTTTTCTGCCTTAGATCTGTCCTGTGAAGTTTTCTTGAGCTCTATCTTGGTTTCAGTTTGGTTTGTTTTTCTAAGTCTTGCTCATACAAGCTTAACTCTATGAATTCTGTTCCTGCCTCATTTGATTGTGTTGATTCTGAAGCGGGAGAAGTTGGTTGAGGAGCAGAGTCCCTTAGAGCTAGATTATCTTTACTTTCAGTGTTGCTTTCTTGCACCTTTATCTTAGTAACATGAACTGCAGATTTCTCTGGCATAACAATAGCAGTGGTAGCACCTTTGTTTTCTTGTAATCCATCACGGAGAACATGTGTTTGTACAATATCTCTCATTGGCTCTTTTGCTACTTGAACAGGAATGTCTTCCTTCTGCTCCTGGCCTGCTGGTAAATCTAGCTGTAGGACTCGCACTTCAGGCTCCATCTGTATTTCTTCCAGTTTACCAGGCTTCACTTCCCAGCTCTTGAGTGCATCTTCAGTGCCATGTGCTGATACTTCAGCATGGACTGCTTTTTCACCATGTGGCTTGTCCTTTTTGGTTCTATCCAAAGGCATCAGCTGACTCACAGGTTCATTTGACTTTATGTCTTTTTTGGATGAGCTTATTTTAGAAGATTCCATATCTGCCTTATGAGGCTGCCCCGCTGCAGAAACAGCAGAGGTAGGTTGAGTGGAGCCACTTTGCACCAAAGGCTTTGCCTCCAACTGATTAGACTCTCGCCCACTTATCAGGGTGGACCCGGTCTCAGGCAGATCAAGAACCAGACACCTTTGCTTAACCTCAGTTGTGATTTTCATTAGCCCGTCATCTGCCTTGGCATCTGCCTCAGGTGGTGTGTCAGTAGGCTTGGTGAAAAGTGGTGGTCGGGTTTGAGGTAAAGTACTTGTGTCTTTTTCCTTAGGCAGGGTAATGGTTTGTTTTGGGGCTTCTTTAGGTCTGGCTTTAGAATCCTGTAACTGGGGCTTAGTATCAACTTTTCCTGAGGATTGTACAGAAATGGTATCAGCCTTTTCTAACACAGGTTTACTTTCACTGCTGATCAATGGCTTAGTATCAGCCATCTGTACAAAACTGTCAGGCGTGTCCAGAATCAATGTAGCCACTTTTTTTCCAGGGAGCTCTTGAATGGTTCCACGTACCTCAAGAGTAAGCATTTTACTAACAGGACTGACATCCTTAAGAGCCTCTGCAGGTTCAAGTTTCTGAGGGATACTTGATTCATCAGTATCCTTAATTGGGGGATGGATCATTGATTCAGTTTTGGTTGGTGGAAGATTTGTTGTAACAAGTTCTGAGGATGGTTTTGAACTCTTTGACTGATCCTTGGCAGGGGAAGGCCTTGCTTTGTCATCAGCAGTTAGTGTTGTGACAACCTCTTGGGTTGAAAATGGCTTTTGACTATCTGGCTCATCCTTGTTTTTGGTCAATTCAGTGTTACCAAGCTCCAGAGAAAGTTCAAGGCTCTTTGACTTTTCTTTGGAAGATGGAAGCATTCCTTTTTCCAAAGCAATTGCTTGAGTGATTTCAGTCGGTGTGATTGTCGTCCCTTGAGTTGAAAATGGCTTCTGAATCTTCGGCTCTTCCTTGGTCTTAGTCAAGTCTGCTGTAGCAAGCTCTGGGGAAAGTTTAAGACCTTTTGTCTTTCTCTTGGTTGGTGAAAGTGTTTCTTTTTCTACAACAGCAATTTCAGTTGGTGATTTGACCGTTTCTTGTGTCGGTGATGGCTTCTGACTGCCAGGCCCTTCTGTTGTCTTTGTCAGCTGGGTTGTACTGAGTTCTGGTGATACTTTCACAACCTTCGACTTTTCATCGGCAGGTGACACCTTTCTCTTTTCCTCAGTCACAATTTGAGTTTGTGCTGTGACCACTCCTGAAGTTCTAGTTGGCTTCTGACTGTCTGGCTCTTCCTTGGTCTTTTCTGGCTCTGTTTTAGCAATTTCTTGGTAAGGTTGATTTCCCTTTGCCTTTCTTTTGGTTGGGGATAGCTCACCTTGTTCAACAACAGTAGTTTCAATTATTTTAGTTGGTACTGTGACCACCACTGGAGTTGAAAATAGCTCTTTCTTGGTCTTTTCCAGCTCTGATGTAGCAATTTCTGGGGAAGGTTTAAGACTCTGTGACTGTTCTTTGGTAGGTGAAAGCTTTGCTTTTTCTGCAAAAGTGATTTCAGTCATTTCAGTTGGTCCTATGTCCATGCCCTGAGACAGCGATGACTTCTGGCTGCCAGGCCCTTCCTTTGTCCTTGTCAGCTGAGTTGTACCGATTTCTGGTGATACTTTCACAACCTTCGACTTTTCATCGGCAGGTGACACCTTTCTCTTTTCCTCAGTCACAATTTGAGTTTGTGCTGTGACCACTCCTGAAGTTCTAGGTGGCTTCTGACTGTCAGGCTCTTCCTTGGTCTTTTCTGGCTCTGTTTTAGCAACTTCTTGGTAAGGTTGATTTCCCTTTGCCTTTCTTTTGGTTGGGGATAGCTCACCTTGTTCAACAACAGTAGTTTCAATTATTTTAGTTGGTACTGCGACCACCACTGGAGTTGAAAATAGCTCTTTCTTGGTCTTTCCCAGCTCTGTTGTAGCAACTTCTGGGGCAGGTTTAAGACTCTGTGACTGTTCTTTGGTAGGTGAAAGCTTTGCTTTTTCTGCAAAAGTTATTTCAGTCATTTCAGTTGGTCCTATGTCCATGCCCTGAGACAGCGATGGCTTCTGGCTGCCAGGCCCTTCCTTTGTCCTTGTCAGCTGAGTTGTACCGAGTTCTGGTGATACTTTCACAACCTTCGACTTTTCATCGGCAGGTGACACCTTTCTCTTTTCCGCAGTCACAATTTGAGTTTGTGCTGTGACCACCCCTGGAGTTGTAGATGGCTTCTGACTGTCAGGCTGTTCCTTGGTCTTTGCTGGCTCTGATTTAGCAACTTCTTGGGAAAGTTTATTTCCCTTTGCCTTTCTTTTGGTTGGGGAAAGCTCACCTTGTTCAACAACAGTAGGTTCAATTATTTCAGTTGGTGATGCAACCACCACTGGAGTTGAACAAAGTTCTTTCTTGGTCTTTTCTAGGTCAGTTAGAGCAACTTCTGGGGAAGGTTTAAGTCCCTTTGACTGTTCTTTGGTAGGTGAAAGCTTTGCTTTTTCTGCAAAAGTGATTTCAGTCATTTCAGTTGGTCCTATGTCCATGCCCTGAGACAGCGATGGCTTCTGGCTGCCAGGCCCTTCCTTTGTCCTTGTCAGCTGAGTTGTACCAAGTTCTGGTGATACTTTCACAACCTTCGACGTTTCATCGGCAGGTGACACCTTTCTCTTTTCCTCAGTCACAATTTGAGTTTGTGCTGTTACCACCCCTGGAGTTGTAGATGGCTTCTGACTGTCAGGCTGTTCCTTGGTCTTTGCTGGCTCTGATTTAGCAACGTCTTGGGAAAGTTTATTTCCCTTTGCCTTTCTTTTGGTTGGGGAAAGCTCACCTTGTTCAACAACAGTAGTTTCAATTATTTCAGTTGGTGATGTGACCACCACTGGAGTTGAACAAAGTTCTTTCTTGGTCTTTTCTAGGTCAGTTAGAGCAAGTTCTGGGGAAGGTTTAAGACCCTTTGACTGTTCTTTGGTATGTGAAAGCTTTGCTTTTTCTGCAACAGTTATTTCAGTCATTTCAGTTGGGTCCTATATCCATGCCCTGAGACAGCGATGGCTTCTGACTACTAGGCCCTTCCTTTGACTTCTTCCTGACCAGTTTACCTTTGGTTTCTTCCACAACAGCAGCCTCAGTTTTCTGACTCTCAGAGTTATCTATTTCACACGTTTTGGTCTTTTCAGAAGGTTTTACACCTTTCACCTTTCTTTTTGTTGGTGAAAGTTTTCCTTTCTCATCTGCAGTAATTCCAAATGTTGATTTGGCCCCTGCAGGAGTAGTAGTTTGCTTCTGACTCTCATCCCCTGCCATGGCCATTTTCAACTCTGCAGTTTCAAGTTTTGGGGAAAGTGTCAGACCCTTTTCTGAAACAGTAGATTCAGCAGATGTAGTCAGTGTTTTGACCAGCACTTGTGTTGGAATTAGTTTCTGACTATCATGGATGTCCTTTGAAATTCTCCTGATTGGTGTAACTCTGGTGTCCTCCAGAGCAGCCTCAATAATCTCGCTCTCTGGCTTTTCAATTACATGCATTTCCTTCAAATTTTGACTCTTTGAATGTCTTTTGGGTGGCAAGAGCTCACTTTTTCCCAGAATGTTTTCAGTAACTACTGTGACTTCCTGTTTAGCTGAAGGGGGCTGCCTTTCTTCAAGTTCTTTTCCATCCTCTTTTGACTCCATATCAGCGTCTGAAGTTGTGGAAAGGTCAAAACTTTTTGACTTCCTCCTGGTTGGTATGAGCTTTGTTCCTTTTAGAACAACTTCTTCAGGCTGCTCTAATGACTTCAGCCTGTCAGGCTCTGTTGCATCCTTAGTAGCAAGTTCTAGGGAAAGTTTTCGACCCTCTAACTGCTTTTTGGTAGGTGAAAGCTGACCTTTTTCTGCAACAGTAAGTTTACCTAGTCCTGTGACCACATCTGCAGTTGAAGACTTTTGATTGTCAAGTTCTTTCTTAGTTTGTTCACTGTCTACATCAGGTGATCTTAGGTGAGCAACCGTCTTGGAAGTTGTGGAGGGGTCACCGTTCTTTGACTTTCTTCTGGTTGGTACCAGCTTTGCTTCTTCAATAACAGCAGCTTTATTTTGGTCAACAGAACTCATAGAAGGTTTCTGACCTTCTAGCTCTTGACTTGTCTGAGGTTCCTTGGTGTCAGCAGGTTTAAGAGGAAGGTCAGAACTCTTAGACTTTCTCTTGGGTGGTATTAACTTACTCTGTTCGGCATTTTCAGCTTGCTCTTGACAAACCTCTGGGATGGCAGAGTCATTTTCTGGATCGTGTTTGGTTTCCTTAGGCTCCACACTAAGGGGAGCTAAAGTCTCTGGGACTGCAGAAACCTCCAAACCCTTTGACTTCCTCCTGGGTGGTACAACTTCAGGTTCAGTTGTAACAGGGAGACCAGGGAATGTATCTGATACATCTAAAATAATTGTTGCTATATTCCTTGTTGCTTCCCCAACCACGGCTTCAGTTTGCAGTCTGGAGCTCAATGAAGGCTTCTGACTTCCAGGGTCCTTCGTAGTCTCTTCCACCTGATTGGTCGCATGCTCTGGGGAGAGGTTTGGAGCCTTTGACCTTCTTTTTGTTGGAGAAAGCTTAGTTTCTTTAACAACAATAGTTTCTGTCTGCTCTGTGACTCCCTGTGGGGTTGAAGAGGACTTCAAGCCGTCAGGTTCTGACTTGTTATCTTCAAGTTCAACTTGCTGGAATTTGTAATAATTTCAGCACTCTTTGATTTTCTTGTGGTTGGTAGGAGCTTTGTGTCTTTCATAACAACATCTTCAGTTTCTGCTATCAAACTCAAAGCAGACTTTTGACTTTCTGGTTCTATCTGTGATGCTTGCTGGTCAGACTGAGATGGTTTTGTACTCTTAATCTTGGACCTTCGTTTGGGGGGGGAAATCTTACTTTGCTCTAAAACAGCTGTTTTGGTCAGCCCTTGAACTAACTCTGTGGTTGAAGGCTTCTCAGAGTCAGTGTTGCCCGTGATCTCTGCAGTTGTTATCTGCTCTGATATATCTAGAACAATGGTTTCCACATTCTTTGCTTCTTTCTCAGCAGCAGTTCCTGGAAAACCTTTGAGGGACCCTTGAGTAGAAGTACTTTTCACCACTTCAGGCTCCACTTTAGTCTGTGTAGTCTCAGTAGCAGTGATGGAAGTCTTGGACGTTTTCCTTAGTGGTACAATTGTAGTAGTTTCACTAACAACAGCTGCAGGCTGCTGCTTGGCCTTTTGGACTTGTAACTGTTCTTCAGGGGAGGGTTTAATTTTCTCAACTTTAACAGGCGCAGTTTTGGTTTGTGGCTTTGGACTTTCATATGGTGCCTTAAAAGTTTTTGAAGCATCTGTTGGATTCTGAGATTTCTTTTTTGTAGGTTCAATTCTGTTTTTTTCCACAGGAGTAGTTTTTATTTCTTCTGTGACAGCTGCCACAGTATGTATTGATGTTTTAGATTCAATTTGCAGCTCAGCTGAAACTGGCAAATCATCCTCAACAGATGAAGATTTTTCCGATAAAGAACTGCTTTTCTGTACTTTATCTTGATGCTTTTTCTCAGGTGACTGCTTGTTTTTTCTTGGTGGTGCCACTACAGATGTCTTTGTCTCCTCTTTTTTACCAGGCAGCTTTTGTTTACTCTTTTCATCAAGTTCCTTGAAGTATAAAGAATAGCATTGATTAATACAAAGGTACTCAATGTTTTTTGAATATAACATGCAACATTCAGTGAATACAGGACATATTAAATATTTACATATTAAAATATTTACAAGATTTAAATACCTTAATTTTTTGGCTGAGAGAAGTTGTATGTGTGTCGGCTTTTTTGAGTGTCTCTGAACCGTCTCTCTGTAGTTTCCCAATCAACTCAGGCATTAGACAGTCTGTTAGAAAGTTGTTGTGAGAAAGTGCCTCCTGCAGGTTGGCATGCAACTTTGCACCCTCCTCTAATGTTGCCTAAGACGGAGGAAGAAGGACAACAATGTTAATGTCTGAAGTCGAAAAAAAAACAATCTGGGATTTTCTTGAGTGTGCACAAATAGACCACTGATGAAAGCTCCCCCACATTTAAATGTGACACTTCACAAATCCCTTAACTAATTAAGCCTTTTTTAACGCTTGGCAAAATGGTTAAAATGTCAAAAGACACACCTGTGCAGAAGAACTGGACTGTGATGGTTTGCTTTGGTTCCATTCCTGCAGGTCGTGTAGGCAGTCCATCAGACAGCGAGCTGTGTTAGTAGAGCAGGTACCCTGGTGCTCAATCAGCCTGGACTTTAGACTGTAGACATAATTAATTCGTATTTAACACTTTTCGAAATAAGGGCATGCATTAAACTTTAAAAGATGAATAATACAAATACTTTTGCATAAAACTGTATGCAAAATGAACAACTGCAAGCACAAAAAAATTATAGTAATATTCACAGTAGGGTATAAAGATGATGTTGGTCATACTGCGTATTGTGTGAGGTTTTGCACGATGTAATCTTTTGATGTTCTATGTCATCGATGGAGAACAGAGTGACCTACTAGGGCATTTATATTTTTAATAAGAATAACTGAAAGCTATTTTTTTTCCTTGAGGGATACCAGCTGATAATTCATCATCTTGAATCAGTTCAATAACGCCATATACAGTTCAAAAAGCCCCAGTGGTGGAGTAGTGAGTTGTTTCTGCATGCCATATGAGTGAGTTAGGTATGCGTCAGATAACCTCTTTACTGTGTACTTTCTTGAAAACATGAATCCATCATATGGTGGTGAAAAACATTAGTTTTGACTGTCTTAAGACTAAGGCACCAGATTCAGAGCTTTAATGAATAACACAGTATTTTACTGTCCATCTATAAATGGAGTAGCGTTACAACACAAAGAAAACTAAATCAGTGGTAAAATGTGGCACCTGTCACGCTGCTGGCATAAGGACTCCACCCCAGTGGTAATCTCTGCTGACAGCTCATCAGCTGCGGGGGTAGCTTTCACTTCCTTATCAAGGTCATGAACCTTCACACCCAAATCTTCTAGGGACTTCTCGCAGTTCTAGAGGAAAATAATCATCACAAAAGTAACATTTACAAGTCTGCTACAGTAAAAATCACACTAGTTTCTGCCACATTTATGTTGTGAGCTATAAACTTCAACATTCACTTACTGCACATAGTCAAGTGAGCCTAAACATTCAGCTTGAATAAATGATCAGTAATAACCTTGAGGCTGTTCCAGTGCTGTTGCAGCTGAGCGATGTTGTTCTGTGGTTCGCTGTAACTGAGGGCCTGGTCCAGAGAGCGGAGCTCCCACTGCAGGGCCGCAGCTCTCTCCTTCAACCCAAGAGCCCTCTTGGCTGCCTGATCATCCAGCTCAGCGAGACGAGTCTCACAGGCCACCAGGCGCTCCCTCACCTCCTTCTCTGAGGTGGTGCAGAGGTCATGTAGATGGCCGACCTCCAGGGTCAGAGCAGCCCTACCTCCTGGGGTGCAGAGGTTCAGCAGACTGTCTCTGGCAGAGTCCAGGTCCTTCATCTCTCTCTTCTCCCTGTCCACTGTTTGGAGCAATGCCTTGCATCAGAAGGGAGAAAGTGTTAAACCAAAGTATATGACTTGAGAAAGAAGTTTTCTAAGACTTTGTAAAAGGCCTTGACTATAAGATTTGAGGTTCCAAAAGCTTAAAACATTACAAAAGTCAAATATTTCAGGGCATTGGTTGGCTCTGAAATATCTATGTATTGGGGTTAATCAACAAGGTATTGTCCAATCTCTTTGTTACAACAAAATGTATTCTAACCTTCAGATTGTTGACAGCACTGTGCAGGCCCTGTCTGTCTGCAGGAGGAGCCTCCAGGGCTTTGACGTGCTCCCTCAGCCAGTCCTGAGCTGCTTCATGCTGCTCCGCCAGCTGCGTGAACTGCCTCTCCGTCTGGATGCCCTGCTCGCGGTCAGCTACTACACCCTAGAAGGTTACACAGCAGTTTTAAATTCACTGAGTAACTTGGCTGTCACTATGAACTTGAAATATGTATGCAGAAAACCACACCTTGTTTCATGATATAAAATTACAGTTTTATAGTCATCAATAAATATGTGCTCTATAACAAAGTGTAAAAGATGCCACTTGTATTTTCTACTGAATATTGAACAACGACTGATGTTTTAATTATTCCTCAGATTTAACAAAGTTATGTCATATTCAGAAATATTCTCAAAGTGCAACAAACAAACTAAGGTCAAGAAAAAACAAATACATATTGATGTAGTAAGGGGAAATAAAGTGTAACTTCTTTGTATCCTATCAACTCCTGTCTTTCTTTAGGATTACTTTGTATTATTTCATTACAGTGTTGAACTCACAGTTAGCTCTTTCAGCATGACAGGAATGGAGTCCTCTTTGGCTGCCAATGAGGGATCTGACAGACCAGGGTCCTTGGTGATCTCAAACAGCTCTGCAGACTTCAGGGCAACACAGAGAAGATGCATCACATCTTATGGTTTCAACTGATGACAATCATCTCAATTGTTTTGAATCACACTCGCTCAGTTTAAAAATCTCTGAAAAACAAATGGTTGAAAATGCTTATCCTGTGTCGTTGTTACCTGTTTGCGGAGGCCTGAGAGGACGGGGACCAAAGCTGAACTCTCGTCCAGCAGGGTTCTGGCCTGTTCCATAGTCTGCCTCCTCTCTCCCAGGCCAGGCCACGGGAACACACGAGGCAGGCTGGACGTCTGCCTCTGAAGATCTGCCAGGCGAGCCTCAGCCTTACTGCGCTTGTTTTCACAGGACACCAAACGATCCACAACACCCTTCAACTGTCTGATGGGGATTAAAAACAATCGAGAACAGTAAGAAAACAAATCCGAAACCATTCCGCTTTCATTTGTCCATCAAATTTAAATGCTCAGACTGGAAAGAGACACATTTCACATTACATTACATTTTTTTGGTTCAACACTCTCCAATGTGTTTGCAACTAACTGAGGCCTTCTTAAAGTAAGACTATAACATGGACTTTGTTCTGCCCTTAGTGCTTTTGCATTTCAATGCACTCAATTCTCATTATTATTTCTGTCATTGGTTGCTGATTAAAGGAGCAATATGTAACTCTGACATGGGGCGTTTAAAATGGGTACTGCTGAAAACATTGGATAGCTGTCTCAGACCGGCTCTTCGTACCTTTGTGTGTCCTCAGCAGCCTGCATGACCGTCCTCCATTGCTGCTCAGTGTCTTTGATTTTCCGCTGTACCTCCTTCTTCTTGTCTCCCTCCAGATCTTTTTGCTCACACAGACTCTGCACACGTCTTTTCAGCTCCGTCACTTGAGAGTCACCATTAGACTTGGAGCTCAAGATGACCTAAAGACACAATCATGCAGTTTTATATCAGACATATTTAGCTTTATAAAACAGCTGCAATGTACCCACTGACCAGATATAACATTTTCCTCACAAAGGAAAAAGTAATACTATTTGAAAATACTTAGTGAATTCTTACCTGTGCTTTATTCAATCTGTCCTCTAACTGGGCTCGGTTGCCCTGAGTACCACTCCCTAGGGACTTGGCCTGTTTCTGCAGTTCTTCAACCCAGGATTTGGTGCTTTCTGCCTGGGTACCAAAGGCCTCCAGCTCCCTGGAAAGCGAGTACTGGACCTCAGCTTTCTTCAGAGTGCTCTCAGCAGACTGCAGGACCGTCTTCCACTGCTCTTCTGACTGTTTCACTGTCTGCTGAGCCTCTCGTCTTGTGTTCTCCTCCAGGTCCTCCTGGTCGGACAAACTCTGACTTAGCCTCCTCAACTCACTCAGCTTGGAGTCTCCCTCAGGCTTGGAGCTCAGAATAGTCTGAGGATTAAAAATAGATGATCAACAGCAAATACTCATCATTTAGCAAACACTGACAGAATATCAATCAAAAAGACAGCAAGAAAAACACATTTTTGCAGAGGTTAAAAAGGCATGCATAAAAAACGTTAAATATTAGAGATGTAAAAGCAGAATGTGTACTAGTTACACATTAAAAACCTTTGGCTCGATATGATTTTGCAAAGCCTTTTAATTCTTCAAACGGACCTGTGCAGTGATGATCGTCTTCTCTGGATCCGTCTGACTGTCCACAGAGTCGAGGCTCTTTCTCTTGTTTTCCAGCCAAGCTCTGGTCTTTTTCTTCAGGGCTTCATATTCCTTTAGCTGGCCCTCCACAGCACACTGCCTCTCAGCCTGATCCAGGGCTTGTTTGGCATTTTGCAGGACTCTGGTCCACTGCTCCTCAGAGCCCTGTACTTTTTGTCGCACCTCTTGCTTTTTGTTTTCCTCCAGGTCTTGAGCACACACACTCTGACCTCGTCTCTTGAGCTCCTGGAGCTTAGAGTCTCCTTCGGGCTTGGAGCTTATGATGGCCTGGAGAAGAAGATGCAGATGTCATGGTCATGTCATTTTGGCATGTGAGGACTTCATGAAAAACAATAATGATAGGAGTACTGAGACTGAACCAAATGTGACCCAAAAAACAGGTACAATAAAAAGAGTGCATTTTACTTTATCTGTCCATGTATCTTGACCACTGCTCACCTGAGCTGCGTGCAGTTTGTCCTCAGCTTTGGTTTGGCTGTTCAGTGAGTCCACTTGTTGTTGGAAGTCTGTAAGCCATCTGCCAGTATCCTGCTGACTGGTATCAAATTCTCTCAGCTGAATAGGAAAGATAATGACTTAATGAGGCGGCTCAAAATGAACCCAAAGACTGCCCTGAAACAGGAATGTCGAGGACAAATGTTTGAACCTTTTTTTATACACTTCCACTGTGTCAGTGTGTAATAATATTTATTTTATATAAGATATATTCTAAGTTCTATGCTATGCATTCACATTGGATGAAGAGTAAAGCTGTTCAAAAGCTTGAGAATGATTAATACATGACAGGGTTCTTAGTCACAAAAGCCATTTCACTAGTTTCAGTTATAAGTTATAATTTACAAGATTTGAGAACTTTGTGCATTATTTCATAGGTTAAGAAAAAACTCAGCTTCTATGAAAAGACTAAAGACAGGCAAGACGAAAACTGTAAGTTGCTGTTTTGTTTCACAGGTAATATATTAAATATGACAAACTTTTTCAGTGGATACATTTCATTGGTAGCTAAAGATTTGGATGATATTTCACAGTTTCCTCTCTTACCTCCGACTTCACCTTCTCAGTCTTCTTGGTGATGTCAGCTCCTGCAGCATCTTCAACTTGTTTCGCGGCCTGCAGGATCGTCCTCCATTGCTCCTCTGTGTCTTTGACCGTTTGCTGAACGTGTTTTTTCCTACCCTGGTCTGCATCCTGATGGTTACAAAGACTCTGGCCTCGTCTCCTTAGGTTGTTCACCTTACAGTCACCGTCAGGTTTGCAGCTCAAGATGCTCTGCAAACATCACACAACATAAATTGCAAACTGGGAGCTGATCCATTCAAACTGTATACTTTTGAATCAAGGAATGAAGGGGCGGGTGTGTGGGACTATGATGTGTATCAGAAAACTACAAATTAGTAGATGAAAGTTAAATTAAACTCAGCTTTGCTGATGTTTTTACCACTGCAAAATGAGAGGTTTACTGTCAGGCTGGTGGTCAAGGAAAGTCTTCAAAAAATAGCATTTCTGTTATGAGACTAAAAAAAGAACTTTTTCACTCCAGCTGCGTCCTGCTTACTCTTCAGTAAGGCTTGGAGCAGTTAGATTAGCTTGACAATGTTGATGTTTAGCTAACTAATGCTCTGGTTTTTTTTGTGCTAATGCTGATGTTTAGCATGCTAATGTTCTTGTATATTGTGATAATCATAATGCAAATTAAGCTAACGTTTATGTTTAAGGTACTACTGTTAATTATGCTAAAGTTATGTGTAGGGTACTCTTAATGTAAATTATGCCAAAGTTGAGGTTTAGCATGCTACTGTTTGGTTAATTATGCTAATGCATTTAATATTTAGCTAAATTTTAGGATTCCAAAACTTATAGAGCTGTTCAGCTTTTACTTAAAGACGGTTAAATTCAAAACACTTTCACACGTATTTCTACAGATTCTTGCATCATTATTTTTAAAGCTACTCTGGCAAATTTCAGAAAGCTAATCCTTCTAGAGTAAATTAGCTTCAAACAGACCTGAGCTGTGCGAGTCCTCTCTTCAGCTGGTGTGTGACTGCCCGCAGACTGCAGCTTCTGTTGTTTGTCTCTGATCCACGACTGAGTGTTTTTACTCTGAGAGTCAAAGTCGTCAGAAAGACCTCGGAGCTCCGCCTGTCTGGCGGCCTGAAGAACATTTCTCCACTGCTGCTCAGCATCTTTTACCAAGTGATGAACTTCTGGTTTTCTGCTCTCCTCCAGATGCTCACTCAGACTTTCCCCTTGTTTCTTCAGGTCGAGCACCTTGGAGTCTCCTTCAGGTTTTGAGGTCATAATAGCCTTAAGATGAGGACACAAATAGGATTCAATTATTTAACTAAAGAAATGAAAACAGTAAGACAGCACATCTATGACTAAGAGCTGTACTGATTTTTCTCCTTATTAGTTCTGCAAACTATTTTAACACTTAATGCATGGGTGCCTCGGCTCTAACTGAGAAATGCCTTTATTTGCCAGAATGTGTAACAACACCAGGCTAGTAAAAGGGGCTGTGCTTTAAATTGGGATGGGTTTTTAAAGTATATAAAGGAGTAAAAAAAATATAGTAAATCTATTACTTTTTTCTGACTGAACTCACCTGTGCGACCTTTAACCTTTCTTCAAACGGCATATGACTACCGAGGGACAACAGTTTCTGCTTTGGCTCTTTGATCCAGGACTGGACACTTTCACATTGTGATTTGAAAGCATCAAAGTCCCTTTGGGCAGCAACTTCAGTCCCAGTCTTGTCGAGAGCATCCTGAGCAGCATGCAGGACTTTCTTCCACTGCTCCTCTGTGTTCCTGATGGCGTCCTGAACCTCTGGCCTCCTGCTCTCGTCCAATCCCTGGCTGTCACACAGAATCTGGCATAGTTGCTTCAGATCCTGGAGCTTTGCATCTCCATCAGGCTTGGAGTTTAGAGCAGCCTGAAGACAATAAGTATGTGTTTTTAGGAGTTCATCTTTACCTGTTCATCTTTACCTCCAACAAAAAGCATTCCATACTAGCTTAGGAAACAGATCATTTTATACTTACTTGTGCAATCGGAAGCTTTTCTTCAACTTTCATGCAACCACCGATCGACTTCAGGTTCTGCTCTTGGTCTCTAATCCACATCTGAACTTCTTCAGTCTTGGCTTTGAAAGTGTCAAAGTCCTTCTCTAACACAGCTTGTGTTTCTGCCTTGTCGACAGCCTGCTCAGCTGTCTGCAGAGCACTCCTCCACTGCTCCTCTGTTTCTCTGACGGATTGCTGAATGTCTTGTTTCCTGTCCTCCTCCAGGTCCTCACTCTCACACAGACTTTGGCTTTGTTTCCTCAGGTCGTTCACTTTAGAGTCGCCCTCAGGTTTGGAGCTCAGGATGGCCTAGTCACAAAGGTGGGAAAATTATGAAACTGGTATAAATGGAAGTATTTAAACAGATCTTGAATGGTTTTCAATAGAATTTGGTATTCATAATCATTATCCCCAGATGAAGAAGGACTTGTGAGGCACAGGCTATCTCATGACATAAGCCTATGTAACAGCTCCAAACTATATTGCATTTTTGTTTGCATGTTTTTTTGTTCTTTAATAGAATTTATAAGTACTCTGAAGAGAAGTTGATTTTTCTCATTTCTATTACTCTGAATTTGTCTCAAAAAGCTTAGCTTTCAAACTCCTTTACACCGACCTGGGCTTTGTTCTTCAGCTCCTCCTTCTTGGTGTCTTTGCTAGGGGAGGTGAGGGGCTGCAGCAGGTCAGCTATCCAGGTCTTTGTGCTTTTAGCCTGAGTACTAAACTTGTCATGTTCTCCCTCCAGCGCGCTCTGGCTGTCCACCTGCTTCTGCAGCCTGGCCTTCAGGTTTCTGTAGCGTTGTAACAAGTTGTCCCCGTCCTTCAGGAGGCTTTCAGCTCTGACGCATTGTTTACGTAATGCAGCTAGACAATCTCTGAGCGAGTCGGCTCTACCACTGTCAGAGGGGAAAGCAGAACAATGCATATGTTCACAACAGGCCATTTAAAGTGTTTTGCTTAAGACATAATAGCTCTAACACAAAAAGCTCTTTAAACAGACAGATGAAAGTGTAACACAATATGGGAGATAGGTGAGATTGTTCTGTACAATTGTTGATTTGGAAGTTTATCTTGTTTTCTATATTAAGCCCACCAACATCACGGTCATTCTAAGTTATCAAAAAGACTTTAAAAACCACAAATTGCAGTGTTGAGCCAAAAAAAGGCATATTTTAATGATAAAAAGATTTCTGCATTTTGCATATTTAATTCTTGACTCAAATTATACATATATACAACTGCATGCAGTTTTTTTGTATTCAGAATGATGAGCTATATAATTACATTTCCAGTAGACAAACCTGTTGAATATTGGCCTTTGTCTTATCTGTTAAATCAATGGAACATGATTGCCTTTCGCGATACCATGTATAAATAACTTGTGTGATAATGTGTGATATGCTCACTTCAGTGCATTTATATTTTTGCACACTCATGCAAATGAATGTTAGAGCTTGACTAATTCCAGTTCTACGTGTTTGCACATTGAAGATCACCTCTCATCCTCGAGCTCTTTGAGGAGAACTTTAGCTTTGTCTGATCCCACAGACTGTTTTTCCTTTTTCTGCAGCCAATCCCGGAAGGTATCATGTTGCTTCTGCAGACTACAAAAGAAAAGAAAAAGGAGGTCAGAATTAGAAATATAAAACATGTTTTTACATAACATCTGGTACAACGAAGCAGAATTGCATTAATTAAATTTTTTGACCAGGTGTTGAGAAAACCAAAGAGGTAAGTACCTGCTCAGGTCACTGAGGAGTGACTCCATTTGTGCCTGCCTGTTGAGGCAGTGCGTTCTGAACGTTCCCACCTCCTCCTGCTGCTCCTTCAGCCAGTCGCTGAACTCAGAGAGATGCTGGGGAGGAACCTTCCGACTGCCTCTCTCCAACTGATCTTTCAGCTGTTCCAGACGTTTCTCTGCATCCTTTGCTTTTAAGAAACACTGACAGACAAGAGAGAAACTAGGATCAAACCATCAGCCAACAATCTACGGCAGCTTTCTACCAAGGACTTTTCCATCAACTTACAGCGAGTCTTTGCAAGGATGTTTCAATGTCTGTTTTGCTCTCAGGATTCTCAAAGCACTCGTTGACAGACATCTGCAAGTCCTGGAACCATCCAATGAATGACTGCTTTTCATCTGGAGAAAAAGATTTGAAAAATATGACCACATTAGTGAGAAAAACTTAACCGGTGAATGATATATCAGGGGTTTGTTTCTGTTTGTATTTGGAGCGAATCAGCATTCACCTTTGATGACCTTGAGCATGCCTTTGTCCCTCTCTTCTCTTTCAGGTGGATCATGTCTTTGGTTCTGGAGATGGCCTCCCTGAGCCGGCTGCAGTCCACAGACAGAGACTCCAGCACCTGAGGACTAGCCACGCTGGAAACAAGGACGACCTCCTTCATCACAGCCTCGGACTGCTCCTCCTGAGAGTCCAGTTCATGACTCAGATCCTGGTGGGGACAAGACGGCAACTTTATTTACTCAGTGGTGGAATCAGAGAACGGTGCTCAAAGTTCAAACTCCCAAACCAGAAACGTATTTGATAGGTCATGACATCTGGAATGAAACAAGACCAAAACCAAAAGTTCTGTTTGTGCATTAAGCCATAAAGGTTGACATATTTAGAATATTTAAATTTCCATTTCTACATTTCTTAATGACATTCTTTTTTTTTTGTTTACAGTTATTTGTATAAACCTCAGGGCCTGGTTGTTCAAAATTAATCAAACAGCATGAAAGCCATCAGGTAATATTAAATCTTTAAATCAGGTGGTTTAAAATAAAAAACAAAGGATTATGCAACGTTTAAGATCAGATAATCAAATCCTGGTCTTGACCCATATAAAACCTCCAGTTTGTGTTGTTCAAACTTTTGAATAGGAGTATGAACAAACTATTAGGGCTGGATTCTGACTGGATTACAGAGAAAATAAATATAAATTGTTAAACTGAACTACATATTTGGAAAGCAGTAGATATTTTTTTACTTTTTAAGAGACATTATCATTATTGCACCAGAATGCTGTTTTGCTTTGTGACAAAGTATATAAAGTTTACATGAGGGTTCACCAAGACCATCAATATTAACATAAATTATCTAATTAAAAGCAGCTCGCAGGATATTTCAGTTTGTGTGGTTTTGGTGCCCCCTGTGGACAGAGTATGTAATGTGGTGTCAAGTATAAAAAACACTGGTGATCCGGATTTGTTAAACCTTCAAACTATGTATCTAAATGAGATTGATTCAATTTAGTTTCTGTTCAACGCGTGAAGTCAACTAAACAAAGCATTAAATCAAATTGAGTACATACAGCACGGATCTTCAAGTTTGGCCAATCAGCCGTCTCTACTAAGCTACACATTTTTAGATCTCCATCCAGACTAAAACCAGAGAGTGCTGAAGCTCTGCTGAATTTGATTCTAAGATGAAATTATGTCTCAAATTAACTCAATCATGTCCCCAACACACATAAACACATGAACTCTGTTTGATCATGTTGTAGTGTATCGATGTGTTACTATGGTGTTGTTGATGTGTTGCTTTGGAGATATAGGATGTTGTGTATTGTTGTGTAGTTGATGTGTTGTCTCTGTCTCCTGCCTAACTCTGGTACAGCTAATAGGCTGTACACTATCCCAGTCAAAAGAAACAAATTGAACAGCTGTGTACCTGTATCTCTTTTTCGTCCTTTGGTTGTGAAGCGTCAAGATTACCCAGAGAACACTGGATGCCCTCCACAGCCGCCTGACACTCCTCCATCTTCTCAGCCAGGTGCATCTTCACAGCGACCAGCTCCTCGAAGACGTCCGTGCAGTCAGTAAACAGCTCCTTCACCTGCTGCATCCTCTTCCTCAGCTGGGTTTCCATCACCTTATTGGAAGATTGTCAAAAGGAAACGGACAAGTCAATAAATGTCGAAGCCATACATGGGTAAAAGCATTGAGGGCTGCTACGTTAGAAAAATAACTAATAGATGAATTATTGTTTTTTTTTGTCACCTGCAGCTCCAGCGGTGCCTCCTGACCCTGCAGCATCTCCTGGATCTCTGCAGACTTCTTGTGGAAAAGCTCTACGTTCTCCTCGTTGGCATTTATCTCGTCCTATGAAGACATCAAGTTCAAGTGTGTCACGACAGTACTTAAAAAAGTTGAGGTTGCCTAATCTCACATTGAAGCACTAAAAACACAATTTTATCCAGGAGTCTTACCCTCATGGCAAGTACTTGCTGTTCATTGTGGAAGGGATGGCTCTCAGCAAAGAGCGCCAGTTTAGCCCCCGCCCAGCCATCTACCTCTCCCCCCACCATCAGCTGCTTCTCCCACAGCTCCAGCCCCACCCGGAGGTTATCGATGTAGGCATCTGTCTTCTCTGTCACCTGAAAGGGCACCAAAAGTCAACAATGTTAAGTCAAGTAAAGCTTAATACAGAAGCTTTACAATCAAATCAGAACGACCTCTGCACCTTTGAGGTTGGTATTTAAACATTTCACTCAGAAAGATCTCAGTATGTTTAAAATGCTACATTAACAAAAGTTATAAAGTATTTTCTAAACTGTTTCTTTATTTGGACTCCCTTTACTTACAGGTTAACTACTATAACTTAAATTGAATATGTTGAATCAAAGTACACTGTTTTTTTGTTCATTTCTATATAAATAAGAACCATGCAAAGATGCTTACATCCAGCCAGTTGTCCATGAGTGTGTCAGCCTCTGCTTCAAAGGAAGCCTGGCTGCAGTCTGGGAACTTCTTCATTTGGTTCTGCAGCTGTCTGCAAGCTCCCCTCATCTCCTCCATAGGCGCCCCAAGACCAGCAAGCTCCTCCTTTACGTCACCAACCTGTGAACATTCACATGTGGCTTCATCACTTTAATTCCCGGTGTGTCGTAGTATACTGAAGACCATTTTTGACTCAGAAGAAACCGTTTTCAATAGAATCATATTTTTCTTGACTAACCTTGGTTATACTTCTCTGCAGGTTTTCCTTCCCCATGTAGGAAGCCTGATCGCTGATGGCTTGCTCTGCTCTCTGCATGGTGTTGCTCAGGTGACTGCGGCAGCTCTGGAACTTTTTCAGATTTTCCAGCAGTAGGTTGTACTGCTTCTTGCTGCCAAAGGGAGAAAATAGCAGAAATAGTTTTAATCTATGCTACCTTACTGCTAAAACAAAAATAGACTACAAACTGATATCATCATTTAAAGAAAGCTAAATGAAACCACATTGATAACTGATTGAGGTAAGCTTGATAGCTAGCTTTAAATACGATCTGTTCAGGTTAAAGGTTACAGTTAAGCTGTAAATGTAGCTCAACTTCAGCAACCTTATTACACTGAGGTGACTAAGAGTCACTTACTCCTAACAGTTTGATTAATTTGTAAACGATTTGTTTAGAAACTTGTGCTGAACATGCTTCTCCTGTTGAACCTACCCATCAACAAAAGCTCTTTGAGTCTCCTTCCACTGGCTCTCCAGGTCCTGAAAGAGGTCTTCCCCTCCTCCTTCTTTCTCTTGAAGTTCACGGAGGGTCTGCAGCTCCTTGTGCAGGCTCTGCACCTGACTCTCACAATCAGACAAGGCACGTAGCCTGAAACATGCAAGATTGCTGTTAGATCATTTTAGGAAATAAATTATATTTTGAATAGTGCATGTAAAAGTCTTCAGATGTGTCTTCACTCTGCATTGTTGTGTTAGTACGCAGTACGCCCACTCCGATTAACAGACCCTTGAGTGAAAAAGTTGTCATCAAAAACCCAAAAGCAAACGGGCAAAGAAATGAACGGGATGAAAAGGCGTTTAAGTTGGATGCCTACTTGGACCAAATTACAAAAACACCTGGAATTTAATGAGCTGTTCTCGTTGGATGCTTTTCAGAGGATGTTAAGGCGGAGAGGACTTGGAGGCAGATACATCTGGCTGTAGATGATCGCCCTCATATATATTTATGATTGTAAGCAATCTTGTTGTTAAATAAATGTATTATAGTCATGTGCATTGTATTATATTTGTGTGTATGGTTGTGGATTGTTTGTGTTAATTGAGCTGCTGCCTGTCTTGGTCAGGACATTTCTTAAAAAGAGATTTTCATCTCAAAAATAATTAAGATGAAAAAAGGACATGAAAATCACAGTTTTTACCATCGAACAGAAACTCTTAGCATTACTGCAACTGGCACATCAAAGTCACCTTTGTTGCACAGCAGGCATGGTGGGCTCCTTCAGGCCTTGCGATTCTATTGTTTCCTGCAGCTTCCTCAGCTCCCCCAGCAGCGTCCTCTTCCTCAGGCCCAGGGATCTACTCTGCGTCTCCTTCTGGAGGCCCATCTGTTGGCCGGCCAGTCCACTGTCAGCCTCCTCCAGCCTCCTCAGCAGAGCAGTCACCATGTCCAGGCAGGAGGCCGGGACTCCATCCCTGGTGACGGTCAGCCTGGCCCCTTGAAGGAGCTGATCCAGCTGAGGAGCCTTTTCTTGCAGACTGTCGATGCTCTGCCGGATCAGAGCCAGCTTGGTGCGACAGTCCTGCAGTACCTGAGAGTCGCTGCAGGGGGCGCCTTGGACTCCTGAGATGTCTTCATCTACAGTACGCATTGACATGAGGAAGCGGTCGAGGGCGCGGGCGGATGCTTCGCTCTTGCGGACCTGCTGTCGAAGCTGATCAAGGCTCGCTTTGTGAGTCTCCACCACGCGGGACAGAGGGGGGCAGTCTCTGGGGCCCAGATCACTAGATTCAGCGTCCAGACGTGAAAGCTGGTCAAGCTCACTCTGGATGTTGTCATCCAGTTCCTGTCACAAAAGAAGACGAGAAGAGAGGATTGTGTGAAATCTAAGGACTCTGGATTTAGGGATTAGGTTACACCATTGAATTTATATTAATATGGATAATGCGTCTCTGTCTGTCTCCTTCTGTTGTTCAAAAGTGAAGCCAAAATACCCCTACGACCGGAAATGTAAATTGCAAGTTGAATCAATGGACTCCAGTTCTTTCCACACATTTCTGCTACTTTCCACAAGTTCTGGCCCTATTTTTTAAGAAAATGTTTGGGTTTCTTTTGCTGTGGGTTAAGAGTCAATCATTTCTTTAAGTGAAAACTTTCTTTGGCGGAAGTTGACTTTCAACTTTCAAGATTTGATGATATAGGTTGCACTATTTTTCAGCATGGACTTTTATCCAAACCACTGTTCAGAGAAGACTCACAATTGATTATGTCTATATCTGCTTACACTTTAATGACAGATTGTAAAAGTTTAACGCTAAAGAAAGGTATTTGAGCGTGAAAGAGGACCTTGATATCTTTGAGAATGTTGGTGTTGGCCAGGGTGAAGCCGGTGATGTCTTTGGGCTGTCTCAGGTAGCGGTCGAGACGGTCTGTGAAGTCCACCATGTGGTTTTCAGTGGAGTCTATCTGCCTAAGGGCTGCGCCCAGCGAGCTGCCTCTCTTCTGCAGGTTGGACTGCTGGCTGCGCCACTGCTCCTGCAGCTCTGCCTTCTCCTGCTCCAGACCAGGGTTACCGCACTGGAAGCACTGGTTTGCATAGTCAGACCACAGAGACTCTGTCTCCTGTCTCAAGAACTGTAAAACAAGAATATCACCTCATGATTACTGGCATGTTAAAATGAGTGATTCACTTTTCTACAAGATGTTTAAAGATGTCACATTCTTCGAAGCTTTCGTCGTACCTGTATTTCTTGGAGCCTTGTGTGCAGGCCTTTGAGTGACACAGAGTCAGAGGGAACATCTTTGATGCTCTGTTCATTTTTAGCCAGTTGGGCTTGAAGAGTCTTCTTTGAATTCTCATATCTGGAGATTTTATGAGTTAAAGAAGACAGTTAAAGTCAGCAAGTAGACTGGAATATAGTGGCTAAAAGGATGTAACCAACATTAGATTATCTAAGCCTGAAATGTGCTTTAATCAGTATACCTTTCAACAGCCTCCTTCTTGGGGACTTCTTCCTCTACGGACGTCTGCTTTTCAACCTCCTTCCTCTCCACACTCACAGTCTTCAATTTCACTGGAGCCACCTGAAAAAGATGTCGTCTTTCTTTTACACCTTGACAGTTGCTCAGAGGCATCCGATGCAACCTTAGCAGACAGTTTATACAGGACGTATAAATGCAGAAAATATTGAAATGCAAAGAAAATGTGACTGATGAAGTAGTACCATTTTTTAAACCATTTTCCAGATTTGTTTTCAAAAAGCTTAAGTAGTAGACTTTAAACTGAAGAGTAGAGTGTTTGAATTAACCTTTACCTCAGTTGAGACCTGAGGTTTGTCAGATGGTCTTGTAGGTTCTTTTTGTGTGTTCAGTTCCTCACTGAAGGAAACAGGTATCCTGCAAATAAACAAATGAGCATCGTTTCTATAAGTTTTCCTTAATATTTTGTTTTTTTACGACTGAACAAGACACAAGTTGTATTTAAATAGCGCAAAAATAAATTTAGAAAAGCAGTTAATAAATCACCTAGAATCAGGGAGTGGTGCATCTTGGTCTCCGCTGAATTGGCGCTGGATGGCTGCCAGCCTGTTCTCACACTCCCTGAGCTGAGTCTGGGCCAAGCGGTGAGCATCCTCAGGGCTCAGGGTGTCACACAGATCTTTCAAGGCCTGAAGGTGCTGCCCTGCCTGAGCAAAGCTGGCATCCTCTGAGATACAAGCCTGGAGAATGTTGATGGAGTGGAAAAGTAAGTAATCAGGGATGTAATTTACTGGTTTAAAACCAGATGATTAACAATACTAATTTGGAACAAGTTAAATTTAGACACTTAATAAAGCTAATCTGCAGCCACACCGGCCCGTAGAATGCTGTTTTACTCTTCGTTTGAAAATGTAACTTCTGGGTTTCCACTGAAGAGAATTACATGTTTTAACTTTATTTCGATTCTTAAGTTACTTTTCTGTGTATACTTGCTGTGTTTGACTCTTCCCACTCAAAAAAATACAGTAAAACAGCATTCTCTTAAAGTGCAACTAAAAATAAGTAATGCAGTTACCAAGTCCCATCATCAGACATTCCTTTGAAGCATAAAGAAGAAGGAAGAACAAAGGTTAGATAAGCAGAGGACAACTGGCAGAAATCCCAGCCACCAAAGCAGCTAATGGCGAATAGCTCTGAGGGTCCAGCTACCTGGGCTTGGTTTTCTAATGGGGAGCTTAAGAGCATCTCACACTGCAGGACGGATTTGTTAAAGTCTTTCCTTGTTAATTCAAAACGTAATTGTTTCAAAAAGTCTGAGATCTCAGCTCTCACGGCCTAGGAGATAAAATAAAATAAATTCATAGCAATCAAAGATAAAGTAAAAACACGCTATTCAATGATAGGTTTTTATGTGAAACCTTTTTTTCAATTTGCTGATATTTGCTGAAAAACAGTTTTAGTATATTGATGGCATAAGCATAGGCAATTATCTAACACATTTAAACCTTAAACCTAAAAAGACATAGTCCCATTACATTTAAAAAATGTAAACAATCCCCAGCAACTACAATCCCACACGTTAAAAACTGCCCCAGTTAAGTCAGTTCGTGTCCTACCTCCCACTGTGTCCTGACAGACTGGGTGTAGAACTCCATGTCTCTGAGCTCTGCGGGGGTACAAAAGGCTTCCATGCCCTCCGCTGCTCTCAGGAACTCCTCCAGCAACTCTGGGTCCAGGGTCCTCAATGTCTCCTAAGGGCAAAGGCATGAATTAAATTCCAGGCTAGAAATTTGAAAAATCAATGTACATATCACATACAATTCAGAGCGTTATAACATCACCATGTTTAATCTATATTTATAAGAAGGCTGTGTTAAATAACAGATTCTGTTTGGCTAATTAAACATAGCAACCGACTGATTTACATCAATAGCAGACTATAATAGTTGTCAATAAGAGCAATCTGTTTAGTAAAGCAGATGGTTGCTAGGGCCACAGCTCTTATCACAGACTCTGGTGGACGAACTGAAATCCTATCAATTTGCGGAAAAAAGGAAGGTTCATTTGATATCCGTCTTTAATTATGGAAAAGTAGAAAGGAGAGTATAACAACCAAGGAAGGAGGTCAAGGTTAAAACACAAAAACTCAGACTATGACATAGACATCTAGAAAACTAAATATGGTAAACTAAGTAAAAAGGGGACGTGGTATGGGGTGTGGAGTTGTTTTAGGTCTGCTGAATGGAAACCAAAAATGTCTGTCTCACACTGTTGAGGTGCCATTCTGCAATAACAAACCACTCAAAATACATGATCCCTGACTAATTCTTTGACTTCCAGGTGCTCTAAATTGATGGTTATTTTGCAAACTTAATAATAAAATGTACTTATTAAGTATGCTATTACACAACAGAAGTGATTCATAGTGATCATGTTTACCTCTTTCACGGATGCTTGTTCAGCCGATACACGTTTGTCTTGAAAAACATTGATGGTTTCCATGATGTGCTCCTGCAGACAGTGCTTTGCCTCCTCAAAACCATTTCTGGCTAAAGCCTGGGCCTTGGCATACGCCTCTGTGTAGGCCTGTGGTGGCGCCTGGGCCAAGGCTGGAGGTTTAATGCACAGATCTGGTGACTCAGCCTGAGACTGAAGCAGGACACCGACCTGGGAGATGGGAATAGTTTTGGCCTGTTGAGGATTGGGTTGTGGAGAAGACTGACTTTGAGGTTTTGACTGTGTTTGAGTTTGAGGTCTGGCCTGTGGGGGTGACTGAGCCTTTGGTTGTAATGTAGTTTGGTTTTTGGGTAGTGTAGGTGACTGATCAGGAATTTGGGGCTGTTGTGGCAATTGTGCCTGTGGTTTAGGTTGTGGCATTGATTGGGCTTTGGTTTGGCTTGGTGACTGAACTTTGGGTTGAGTTGGTGATTGAGCCTCTGTCTGTAGTGCAGTTCCAGATGGTAACTTTGATTTTGGTTGTGATTCTGCCTTGATATGTGATTCAGTCTTGAGTTGTGGTGGCAAGTGGGGGTCAGGTATGGATCGGTCAGCCATGGTTTGAGTTGTTGACTGAACTTTGGGTTCAGTTGTTGACTGAACTTTAGGCTGAGTTGTTGACTGAACCTCTGGTTGAGGTGGAAATTGGGCCAGAGGTTTGGGTTGTGGAGCTGAGCCAGCCTTTGGTTGGGTTGGTGACTGAATCTTCTGTTGTGGTTGGAGCTGGGCCTGATTTTTTGTTTGTGGAGTTGGCTGCTGGAAATGTATATTGAACTGAGACTGCTGAGTCTGGACCTGCGGCTTTACCTGTACTGATGCTTGTGCCTGAATGTGTACTTGAGGCCTGAGCTGAGGCTGTGATGGATTCTGAGGTGGGACTTGGTGTCGTTGCTGCAATTGTGGTGGTATTTGTGCTTGCATCTGAGGCTGATGGTGACGTTGAGTTTGAACCTGTGAATATTGCTGAGAATTAGGCAGAGGACAGGGCTGGGGGTAAGGCTGAGGCAGAAGTTGACGTGGTGCCTGACCCCAAGTCTGTTGCTGAAATTGGCCTTGTTGTGCCTGGATATGAAATGTATCATAACCTCTCATCTGAGGTTGTTGCTGCATTGAACTCTGGGATTGTGATTGAGTCCAGGATTCGGTTTGTGGCTGTATCTGAGGCTGACTATATGGTGGCCTCATCTGCGAATAGCCAGGAGGCCCAATCTGAGGTACTGGCTGGGGTCCAGTTTGGGGCCACTGTAGTGGAACCTGACCTGTTGGATAAGCCTGAGAATGTTGAGCTTGACTCTTTTGCTGGGGGTGTGGTTGGGGACTTGGATGCCTCTGCTGGGTAATGGCCTGGTGTTGTGGCTCCTGTTGGGTTGTCCACTGCTGGGATGGAGACTGACCCTGGGGGTAGCCTTGTGGGTAAGGTGGGACTTGAGCAGGACCCTGAGGATGCTGGATGGACATTGGGGATGAAGCTCTTACTTGAGTCCACGCAGGAATTGGGCTTTGAGAAATATGGCCTGGGTGCTGAACTGATGGTTGAATATTCAGGGGGTACTGAGTCATGGGATGAGGATAGCCCTGAGGCTGGAGTAAAGTCTGAGCTTGGGTTTGTTGTGTTAATGTTTGGGCATGACTTGGCTTGGCAATTGGAGTATGGGTTTGAGTCTGGACCATAGGAACAGCATGGCTTTGAGGATGGGCAATGGACTGGGGATGGGTTTGGGCCTGGACCATTGAATGGACTTGGATTTGAGACTGCATGGTCTGAGGATGAATTTGAGTCTGGGGCACTGACTGAGCATGGATTTGACTTTGAGCATCAGTTGGTGGCCTAGGGGAGGGAGACCTGACTGGAGCCCAGGATTGTGGATGACTACGTAGCTGAACATGTGATGGAACAGGAGGTGGAATTTGGCCTGTTTGTGGTGCTTGCAAAGGTGAAGAAGGTCTGACCTGAGCCCATGCCTGAACTTGAGCAACAGCTTGGTTATGGGCCTGGGGTTGCATAGGGGGTTGGGGTCCAGTAGGCATAAATGTTTGGGGCTGAGTCCAGGGCTGAGTATGAACCTGTGCCTGAAGCTGTTGTGTTTTTGGTCCCTGTGTCTTCGTGGGACCATGTGGTTGTGGAGGAACTTGTGCCTGCGATTGACCTTGGCTCACTATGGTTTGGGACATGATCTTTGTTGGTTGCTGACCATTTGTGGTGGACACACTTGTGGACTGCCTTGCCTGAGAAACAGACTCAGTTTGCATATGGGACTTATTTTGGACCTTTGTTTGTGATTGAAGCTGAGCCATAGTTACAGTTAATGGTACAGCCATGGTCTCTGGTTCTGCATGTCTTACAGTAGGCTGTGGTTGTTTTTGTTGTTCCTGTTTCTGTTGCTGCAGCAATTGTTCCTGTTGCTGTTGTTGCTTGTCTTGCTTTTGTTGCTGCTCAGTTTGCAATTTTCCTTGCTGTTGCTGTAGATTTTGCGTCTGCTGTGTTTGGTTTTGTTGCTCCTTTTTTTGTGGCTGCTTGGTAGCCTTTGCATTTGCCTCAGGTTGGGATATGTCTGTTAATGTATGCTTTGTTACAACCTGAACTGAGGCCACTGTTTCTCTGTCTGATTGTGGCTGTGCCTGTCTTATTTGAGTTAGTTCCTGAGTAGAATGCTGTTCTGGACTTGGAGCAGGACTTTCAGGCTCTGCTGAGGCTGGCTTCTGAAGCCATGGGCGATTTTTCTTGGCCTGAGCCTTCCTGCTTTGAAGCTCCTGAGAACTGAGAGGTGCATTCCTTACAGATGAAGGTTGAGATGAGGTCTGCTCCTGTGGCTCTGATGTCTGTCTGACTTGCGTTTCAACCTGGATATGAGTAACCACATGCTGCTGAACTTGAGCTTGATGCATGTCCAACATTTGATGCTGCACCTTATCTTGTTGTTCATGCTTTTGCAACTGTTGTTGTGCTTGTGTTGGCACATTTTGCTGTTGTTGTGGTTGCTGTTGCTTGATTTCCTGGTGATGTAACTCTTCATCCACCTGTCTGTTTAAGTGTTCTTGCTGCAGTGGCTGTTGCTGGGGTATAGATCCTAGTCCCTGAGAATGCGTTTGTTCGTGCTGAACTATCTCTTGCCAGGCTTGAACTGTGCCTTCTGGCGGCGACTTTGTCCTTGTCTGCATTAGAGCTTGTGCGTAGGTATATGGCATCGTAGGAGAAACCTTTTTTTCATTGTATTCCTGCACCACTATCTTTGGCACAAAGGTTTCATGACTCTGATGAGTGACTAATTTTGTCTCCTGAGTGTGCTGCACGTCGTCTGACTGTCTCAGATGTTGAGGTTTTCCTTTAGCTTGGATAAATTTTTTTGATGGAGGAGAACCATCTGGAGGGCTTCTGCTTCTATCTCTTCTTGCTCCTAGGCTGCTCAGCATACCTACAGCTTCCTGGAATTGAATTCAGACAAATAAGAAAACTGAAATTGCAATTTTACAAATACGGTATTCTCTGATATTCTTCAGCTGTGTCCTTCTGGTCTCAAGTACACAACATGCAAAACTCAAATGTTTTCCAATTCAATTAGCAAAAAGATGACTGACCTGTGACTGTGCAACAGCAGCTCGCACTCTGTCCTGCATGGCGGAGGCATGGAGATACTGGACGGGAGAGTTCTTCTGATTTGTCATCACCATCACCTGCAGATCCTGCTCCTCTGTGACCACCTGACCTTCCAGCTGAAGACCACGGGAAATCAGGACCTTGGGGAATAAGTGGTACTGTATTGAACAACCTTCAGGATTCAATTATTAAGGTACAATAGGTTGTTTTCGATCTAAAGCTGTTTCAGAGTAAGCAAAATTTAGATCCACAGTCATTGTAAAACAACCTTTCAATTCTATAATAATCTTACCTTGGCTCGTGGGTCTTGGCCTCGCTGTTTTGCGCGCTCTGAGGCCCTCAACAGCTGGTAAAGCTCCCTGGCCTCAGTCTCCCAATGCAACAGTTCAGCCAGGCGACTGTCCAGACCTGACACACTGTGTTGCAGTTCTGCACAAACCTGTTCTGCCTCAAACAAGGTCTTCATTACCTGGTGATATCAAGGGAAATGATTGTAATGAACAGAAAAACGTATAGTACACTGTACATTCAAAAACAGGAGCTGCCAGTGTCTATTTTGTTACAAAATGTTATAAGCAAATAAAAACAAAAAGACTTGCATGCATTTAAACACAGATTTAAAAAGGATGTAAAACAAATAATACATACTTCAGGTACAGCGAGCTTCACTTTCTGGAACTGATCCAATGGGAATTCTTGGGAGGGAGCCAGAGCCCCCAGATCCACTTCTTTAATTTTCCTCATTAAGAACTGAAGGGCAGAAAGCAATCAGTCAATTCTAGAGAGACTTATCTGGTCCCAATTCTCACAGGTGTCTAAAACACTAAGCTCTAGATCAGTTGTTTCGAGTAAGTTGTTACTTACTTACTTACTTTTGCACGTAAATCATTTTAAATTAATACTTTAAGCACAAAGTTCTTTGAAATCGTTCATGTGATAGCGTTGTTCAGACAGTTAACGGAGTTGAACAGCTATAACTGTTCTCCCCTCTGTATAGGTGTAAGTTATCCATTGATTAGTACCTGTATTCTCTTTCTGTAGGTCCGTAGGGGACCAGCCATGGCCTCCACAGGCTCTTTTAGAATGAGAGTGGCCTCCTTGATCATGGTTTGGATGTCCTGGGGTCTGAACTGCACATCAGCACTGGGCTCAGCTGTGCTGTCCTGGAAAAAGCACAAATATAAGTTTTGAAAAATCAGGTGAAATACGAAGAAAATGTTCAATTATAAAACAAACAATAGAATCTTGAAATTCAGATAATGCTCTCTCAGATAACCAAATCAGATAATCTTAAAGGACGGATTTGAGGATAGAACTATAGCACACCGTTTGTAGATCTAGTAATACCATCATTTCAAATAACACTTGCTTCCTGTATTCCATTACCACCATGGACATGATCAGTGGTGATTCTAGAGTCTGTTGGGGCCCTAGGCAAAAATCAATTGGGTGGGCCCTCGAACCAGTGTTCATCATCGTTATGCCTGCCAGTGTCCCGAGGTGTGCTCCTCTTCCTCTTTTTTTTTGTTAAATTAGGACTATGTGGCTTTCAAAGCAGATGGTCAGAACAAAACAAATGCTCTATTTGGACACACCTCCTTCATCCCTCACTACTCCCTTCCTGTCTCACCAGCTAATGTCTTTGAGTGGCAGACAAGTGCTGAAAAACATCTGAGAACAAGAACAAGAACACAGAACTGAGAACAAGAAACCCAGAGGAACTTTGACTTCACTCTCTTTTCTAGGAAGTCATTACTCCACAATATATTTACATAGGATACTTTAAATTTGCCCCTTTATTAATATTCAGAATGTAGCATATTAAGCCTTCAATAGTCAACATGAGGAATCAGTGAAGCTGTTTTACAATACACTTGACTCCAACACCTTAAAACCCTGCATTTATAATCACTCTCTTACACAATACGTTTAGGTGGAGTGCAACTTTCCTTCTGAAGCCACTCCCTAATAGCACTGCGTGAGAACAATGGTGACAATGGGACAATCATAAGTCATCAAAATCCCTGCTGTCACTTGTATGTAAATAAAGGAAGATGAATCTAGGCCACCAGTTAGAGGTAAAACAAGTCTTCTTACTCTGGTAAAGCTATAGCCTGAAAGATACTTTCATAAATAACAAATGTAGCACATGCTTATTAGTATATGCATTCATTTTAAGTTAGAGACGAAGACACCAAAAAGGAATTTGACAAAACATGAAAATCAATTGTTTGTTTAAAATGCACAATTGACAATTCTTCACTGGTTTGCTGATTAGCTGCAGTAATACAACAGTAAATAAGCGTTGGCTGCTCAGGTGCATGTATAAAATATGGCTCAAATAAAACAGCATCAGGTTTAGTTTTTCCCACCAACCAGGTTTTGCTTGTCGTGTAACTTACAAACGTGTTTCTCTTGACAAACTCGGCCCAGTGCATGTTGAGTCTGCGCAGCTCCTCTGCCAGGCTCCTGCTGGTCTGTGGGTCTGTGGACTCGATGAGGAAGTTACCCACCTCATTCAGGTGGGCCTGTCGGGAGCCCCACTCAGCCAAAGACTCAGGTCTCACCTTCACGAAAACATTAGAATATTGAAGTTTGTATATGAAGATGTCTGACTGTGTGTTCAGGCTGTATTGTTAATTTCCTGTAGTCTGTTTTAAAATGTCTTTTAAATAGAAGACATTAAAAAAAAAGAAACATTCCCATTGGTTATCTTAAGGGTAGCTGGAAGTTCAAAGAAGTTTTTGTGGCGAGAAGTGATGAGAGACTGACACCCAGTGACATAAGGCAAGCTAACTAGTTAATGGGTCATGGTTTTCTGCAGCTTAGAAAACACTTTTTTTTCACGTTTCATTATTGAATGTGTTCATTTTACCTCTGCTCTGTGTCCATGGCTGTGTGTTACAGAGCCCTGCTCCAGCCACGCCTGCAAGGAGCTGTGACAGTCGCTGTAGGAGTCCCAGGCAGACAGGACCCGTCCCATGGTGCTTTTGGTTGTTTTCACCTCTTCCAAAACTACAGCTGTGTCCTCCTCCAGCTGCTTCACCTGCTGACTGACCTGGTTGTAATCTCCAGCTGAGGAGGAAAGCGACACAGCAGACAAAAAAACACTCAATCCAACAAAAGACTCAACAACTGGCCGGATCACCAGAGAAATGGTTTAATCAAACTTTAAGCAGCAGAAAAGTTCAAATAACCCTAAAATTCTAGATCCTATAAAAGGTCCTTAGGAATGAAAAGCACTTGTCACTGAAGGATCACTTACCAAGGGCAGATTTGCTTGAGTATTTCTCAGAAATCTGCTTCAGCTTATGAAGAGCGGCTTCCAACAAAGAAGGGAGCTCCTGTGTGTTCGACAGCTCCTATAAGATGTTTAAAGAAAAACGTTTTAGTCCAGAGCAGCATCAGACACACTCCTAACAAAAAGGAAACTAAATTAAGTGAGAGACTTCAACGTTAACTTCAAGTTATTGTACCTTATCAACACACAGGTTGCTCTATGTTGGTCCGGAGAGCGGCGCAAGACTAAAGCACATGCTATAACTTATAACTCCATGATTTACAGTTGCTAATGTTAGCTTTACAATTCTTAGCATTACCTTAAAATGTGCAGCCTCCCACCACTTCCTCAAAACCACTCTCTCAAATACATGGAACTCATTATCAAAGATACCAGATCTGATTACTCACATGCCATTCTTGCAGGAGCACCCTGACAGCCTCTGGGGAGATATAGGGTCTCTTCCAGACCCGGAGTTTTGTCTTGATCTGCCCCAACAGATCCAAAACTGTGTGCCGGTGCTCCCGGTACTCCAACCTGATCCCGTGGTATTTGGCAGACACTCTAACACTGGTGAACCTGGTACAAAAAAAGGGTCCATAAATAGTGTTATCAAAGTGATCAAAATAAAAGACCAAACTCGGTAGCCATTGAAGATTTAAAGCTATGAATTATTCCCCCCAAAAATTGAGGAGGAATCAAGCAGGGTAGAAAGAGTATCTTCAATCATGTCAACAACAAAGTCCCTATAGGACAACTTGAAACCTAATCACATTTATTATGATACACATCGCATACTTTCATGATTCCAAGCCAACATTTCAAAAAAAATATATATATATTCCTGACACTCATTGTGCTTCTCTGGTATCAGTTTATAGAAATCAAAGCTCTCCATCTGAAACAATATATGCTTTGCCTTTATTAGCACATGACAGAACGATATGACAATACTGAGCGTAAAGTGCTCAGTTATTTCCTGTGCTGAATCTATCCTTGTAAGGGGCTTGACTGAAGCTCTATTTCAAGGCCATTTATCTTAAGAAGAGCAAACACTTCATGTGTGACGTGCACACAATGTGACACTTCCTGTATGCCAACACACAGTCTGAGTGGGAAAGTCCCCTCACCTCCTCTTTAATTCATCCATCTTGTCAGTGGGAACCATCATGTTTCCATACTCATCCAGGTTCTGGAAGGACTGGAAGGTCTTCAATTGCTGAGGCATCTCCTCCAGGCAAACCTAAAGCAACATGAAGCAGTGAGTACATGCACATGCATATTTATGATTGAATATATCCAACAGATATATCCTAATTTCTGCTCACACAGGTTTATATTAAAATGCCTCAGACGGGAGATCTATTACAAGGAGGGACTTATGTGCCAGCTTGTAATGATATGTAGATTCTGTTTGCTAACTTTCCCAAACAGTGATTATGTTTATGTTTATTCAGAGGTTATTTATATCTTAGATGTAGAAAACTCTGCCTGAGCCAGTATATTTGTCTGTTTCACTCCCTTGTCCCTTCGTTTTGGTTTCAGGGTGCAGTTGTGATGCAGTAAATATTCACTTTGAGTAACTCCTGCTTCTCCCTGGCTTCGTCTGCAGCTCGGCCGTGGTCCTGCGGGTCGCCCTCCTCCTCGGCCAGAGCCCCCTCGGCTTTCAGCAGCCAGCGAGCCACCGTGTCCAAGGGCGCTGAGAGACTCATATCCAACTCCATTTTGTATTCACGTAGCTACACAAAAACACAGAGAGCGAGAGATGGCTCAAGTCAATACAAGAAAACTTTTACATTAGTGCACACAGAAACAACACTTTTGAGACAACATAAACTACTACCCAACATGTTCTAGTTGATTGATTGATTGATTGATTGATTGGTTGATTGGTTGATTGATTGATTGCCTGAATGTATGAAAGTTCACAAACCTGTCAACGTTGGAGCTAGTTAAGATTGTGTGGGTCAAAAGATTTGGGTGACACTGACCTTTTCAGTGAGGGTATCCCACGCCTCTCTGAGAGCCCGCTGCTCGTCGCTAAGTTTCGGGGTTCGTCTCATCGCTGTCAACAGAGGCATGATGGGACGCCGCTGCTCATTAAAGGACACCAGAAAGGTCTGAAAGACCTGAAGGACGGAAAAAAAATCAATCATCAGTGACACTGTTGTATCATCAACTCAAACAGAAGAAAAAAAACAACATACAGCAGGATACAGTTCAGATATGGTGGCGAAAAGTGATGTGGTATATTGCAATATGATACGCTGCTGTTGAATCATGATGAACCGAAAATGGTGGCAGTGGATTAGTTAGTGGGCACTTGGGTTATTAACCTGAGGGTCGTCAGTGCCAATACGGACCAACATGTGGAAATTTGGACTGGTGACTAGAGTGGTGCCAGATCACTTTCTGGGCACTGCTGAGGTGACCTTGAGCAAGGCCCAAGACGACCCCCAACTGCTAAGGGCATTGTTCGTGTGCAGACACCTCACTCTGATGTCTCTCCATGAATGCATATTCATAGGATCCTGTTTGAACATGTGAGTGTCTCTGATCTTCAATAACTGAGTAAAAAAATCTGAATTTCCCCTCAGGGATTAATAAAGTATGTCTCTTTCTTCTCATAATAATTCAATTGGATTAGAAAATCATGCAGAGGTGCTAAAAGTGCAATAACTGAATGTTTTGAAGTAGGCAACTGTGAAAGAAACCAACCATGGACTTACATGGTATCTCTCGGAGTAGCTCTCTCCCTCCGTGGAGTTCCATCCCTCAAGCAGCTCGTCGTACGCCTGAACCAGCCAGCAGGTCACTTCCTGTGCTTTCTGATCAGATGTCGTCTGGTAATGTGAGACAAAGAAAATAATATTGAATGAGAATGACTAAATCAGCCCAGGTGAAACCAAGTTGTTGATTTATTTACACAGTGTTGAATACAGTGTTGTTTAGCTTTGAGGATCATTGTTGTCTATGTGCACACTGAAGTCAAAATACAGAAACAGTTCACATACTGCGGTCATATTCTATCGTTATTGACATCTTAGACAAACTAATTGCAAATTTACACCCACCCATGGTTCCACGACAGACTGTATAAAACATGGACGTAGTCTCAGTGATGTCACGCTTTGGTTTCTAAAGAGGCCTTTTGAAGCCCAACGATGGCAGTCGCCATATTGGAAATGCTATCTCTACCTAGCTTGTGATCAATCTAGAAACAGGTAAAGAGGCGGGGTTGAGGTAAGCCGTTAACCAGAACACAAACATGTTTTCTGTAGTTACAGGTGAGCATGTAATAATGCAAATTTGTGCCTCACTCTTAGCCTTGCCAGTATAAAAACATATGACTTATAAATGAAAACAGTTTTCACAAAAATATAAAAATGAGCAATTGAGACCAAAACTGTTTATTGTACTATAGGTTATCTAAATGTTTAGTCCTGCAGACCCAGACTCAAGTGGACACTTAGAGAACTGCAGGGTTTTTTTTGCACTCTTGCATTATCTTAATTTTTTCAACACCAAAGGTAGCTGATGGGTTCCACATAACCTGTGCAAAACAACTGAATTTGTTATTTACATTCCAAATGGACCAAAGGATTTTTAAAAAACAGTTTCTGCAGAAATTAAAGTCGTTTTATTCTGCTTTATGCTAAAGTACTCTATCTAATGCTTCAATTATTGGAACTGATTCCTATATTTTTCAAAGATTAAAAACATGTTCCAAAGATCACACACTTTTGGAGTTAAGCTAAAAAATTCCCCAAAAGGCAAACACCAGTCAGCACCAGTCATGAGATACTTTTACACAAAGCAGAATGGCTGCAAGTGTGCCAAAATGAGTTTGACTTGCAGCAAGCCAGAGCAGAGAACCAAGCCCAAACAGGACTGTGTTTGGCTCCACGGTTGTTTTTAACATTTACAAAAGCCACATTCATCCACCTACTGCTCTCTTGAAAAATTAAAATTTCAGGCTCATGTTGCTCATAATTTTAATGCACTTTGTATAAATTGTCTATACCGTACAATTGTTTTAGTACAGAGTATCATTTAAGGTTTTCTGTTTGATTTGTGCTTAACTAAAGAAGCCTTAAGCAAACATTTGATTTACTCTGATTTCCTGTCATTAGGAGTCATTTCAGTTATTTTTTCTTAAGATCTTGACTTATCTATCTCATATCCCCAGAGTTGGAAAAGCACACAGTAAATATTGAAATAGGTTTAACTTATCCCATTAGTGTGGGCAATGGCAGTAGAGCATGACATGGTCTGGCCTATCACAGTCAACAGCCTATTGTTCAGTTATTTAGATCACCAGAAAATCATCCTGTTATCACAAGCTTTGTTGTCTTGGGATAATGAGTCATCTTGTTATCCAAAGATAACCAACCAGGGTTGCTATCTCGAAAAAAAGGTAAATATTTCAAGATCTGGACAAAGAAACTGGAAATTGCTTAGAAAATAAAAGATTTAGAAGGATGTTCTCTCAGGATTTCCTTACAAAACAAACAGAGCAAAGGCCCCTAAGCTTTTTAGATGCACTTCTCATTATCTCTTTATCTTTGCATTGCTTTCTCTTATTTATGTTTTTAATGCCGGTCACTTAGGCAAAATGGGTCATGTAAAAAATATGTTGTTTGTGGTTTGTGCTTCTCTGTTTACAAGTGGATTGTTTTCTGTTTTTATACATTTTTATTCATTGATTCTATTGTAAAGGAGGCTGAATTTGTGCAGCACTGGAGTCCAAGACAAATTTCTTCCACGGGGATAATAAAGCACATATCTATCTAAAATAACCACCTCTAAGGGCTAGACTAACAACATTCACACACTCCAATGACTCATAAAGCCACATCCAAACATGCTGGTATCTTGTCAGAAACCCGAACTAACAGGTGTTTTGACCAGCATGACCGAGTTCTGAGATGGTCCATACAGGCGATACCAGCAGGAGACTCGGTGTAAGGAGTAGCTGCACTGCAGGGCTGTGCTTTATTCATGTTATGGAGAAACACACCCTCGCTGTGGCTTTGGATTCCTTCACAGGAAACAGGGCAAACTAGTTTGATTTTGCATGATCAGTCCTGCTTTTAATCGCCACATGATCTCAAGGTAATCCTGCTCTTAGCAACTGACTTTTTACAGTGTGTACCTGCAGCGTCTCACTGATAAACAACTTTCCCTGATATGTTTTTAAGGATTCTTTTAAATACTAAAGCAATTTGTGGGTTCTATAAAGCTGATTAGCTGATTTTATGACACCATTGCGATGTGGCTGACAATTTGAAAAACAATGTAGGCATAGATAAAAATGATCAGTTATTTCATCAGCACAAACAGTGACAGGGGGTGTGGAAAAACATTGTATGGATTTGGGTTTGTTTAGCAAGTTATCATCTTTTTTTTTTTTTTTTACATTTTGCCACCCAACTCTATTCCAGATTGCTGACACTGAAAGTTGATTAGGTGGATAAAAGGTTGGGAATTAAACACATGTTTTCATGACTGTCAGGTCTACCTGTCGCAGAGGTGAAGCAGAAATAGCAGGGGTGTAGTGAACAGGAAGGCTGACAGGAGAAGAACTTTTAGGAAGAGTCAGGTATTGTGTCTGGGAGGGGAAAAAGGAAAAGAAAGAGAGGGAAAAAAAGAAAAGGAGGAAAAGGTAAAGAGAAGAATGACAAGAAAAGTAGAGCAATCACACACATAGACTGTACAAGTTTAGGCATTTATTTAGCCAACTTAGAGCTAATAAATGACATTACATGCTCCAGATAAAGTGCACTGGAGTCTGGAGACTATATTAAAAAAGCAGACGGAGAAATACTTTATAATACTGTGGAAAAAAAAAACTGCCTCTGGGTGATATCCCTGCAACAAATGTGTGATGAGCAGATTTAAAGGGATTCCTGCAACATTAGTGCAGTTGTGTACACATGGTGTGTACTGCTGTACTAAAATATTGATTTTGGCATCAATGCAAAACCATCAGCCAGATTCTGGTAAATAGACAGGCCGGAGCCTTTCAAAAAAAGAACCTCACTAAGCGCTGATTTGTGGACCAGCAAGTGAGATAAATACAGATGTTTGTTTAATAAATGAAAGAATGCATCATGTTTTATAGATATCTAATTTGCATACAGCTGCTGTTTTGACATTTTATCAGTGACTATATGCATATGTTGTGTTTGAAGTTTGTTAACTTTTTAGGTGGCATATCTATATTCTGCCCTGGGTGCTCGATTCCATTCTACCTTCAAACATATAGTTTTCAGACGGTTCATATTGAAATAAATTCATTCAAATGCCGTTGCAAGGCCTTTTAAATCTTAAACCAACTTATTCCTTGTTTAAACCTCCATGTCTAGACCTGCAAATGCAACAAATCACTGCGGTCTGAGCAGGACTGAGTGGTTAAATGGAGCTCGGCTGCACCCTTGCCAGTGTCAATGGACTGCAATGTTTAAAACGGAACACACCCCCTTTACTTCTCATTGTGGAACAATCACATTTTCACAGGTGCGATCTATTTCCACCGGGTCAAGTTAAAATACTTCATGGTGCGACCTAAATGCTATGTTCTTCTTTGTGCTGTGGATGCCTGATTGTCATTCACTTTCGGTGAAAGCATCTCTGTCATTGTACATATTCATCAGGACAATAAATGCTATTCTATCCTGAGCAATTACAGAAATAAAATCTTCCCTTTACATGTAGTTGCAGTGTAACTCAATGCCTTTGTAAAAACGATACCGACCTGCATCTCTTCCTCAGGCACCGGCAGGTCTCTGGAGTACTGCAGGAACTGAGCCACATAGGTCATGATGGACTTCTCATCAGGGTCTCGAACGTCCACATCTGCACCCACATCACAATCCTCCATGATCAGTGTCACAGTACAGTCGGGAAGTCTAGACTAACACATCCTGCAGCAGGTGGAGTTTAAAACTGGAATCTGAAGAATGGAGGTGTAACTTTTGTGTCTTATAACGCCTAATGACACTCTAACAGGCGGAGCACAGAGAAGACTGGGTTTTTATACGAGCACTGAAGTAAACAAGCAGCAAGTGAGTCAGCAGACCGTCAGATCGTCATCTCGCTCGCCCTCAGGCTTCCGTGGGTACAGCTCCAGTTACAGCACTCTGCTTGCTGCGCTCTGCACACATTCAAAAAGCTTCACATGCCACCACATAATCTGTGCTGCAAAGTATGTCAGTGAGACCGATCCGATGAATCTTATTTGGAAAAGAATGATTGTTTGTTTGTAGCAGACCAGAAGGCACCAAGGGAGTGCGACGGAGCGAGCAGAATACCAAAACTGAGCTTTTTAATGAAGGAAGTGGAGCAAACTGATTGTGAGAGACGAAGCCAATAAGTTGTAATAAAAAGTGAGACATGTGGCCAAGCTGTGTGAGTCCGTGTTGTGAAACTAACAGAGCTGTCAACATGTTTCCTGCATCAGTATCAGAATGGCCAATTGGTAGATGAAGCAGTCACATCATCTAAAGATTTCCTGCAAGAGCAGTGTGTGAAATGATGATGAAATAAAATAGACCTGCCAAGGAGAGAAGCTAACTCTGGTACAATGCATCAAATGGCAACAAGTATGTTGAATATTATACATGGTCTGTGTACAAATAAAAATAACGACATCAAATTAAACATCAACAAATATTCCTACAGTAGGTTTGATTAAAAATGGTGAAATGACATGAACGGAATGAAAATACACCTAAGCATCTTGATGAGCTGTTATTGTTTTCAGTCTCAGTCAATCATATTTTTCACATATCATCCCGTAGATTACAACATGTTCCAACATCAGCCACAGGAAAAGAAAGTCAAAATCTTTTCCTTTGCATACGTTCACATAGTCCTGCCGCTGGGTTATCACTGAAGCTAAAGTTACTCACCATCGGGGTCGAGCAGCCTGGGGATCCTCAGCTCTCTCTCTGCAATACGAAAAGCCTCCTCAAGGTTCTGTTTGTTGCTTCTGGTTCTGGCTTTGGACAGATCCACCAGATCGGGCCTCAGAGCATACAAGATGGCCAGGAAGACAACGCCGCTTCTCCAGCTGGCTTTGAAGTCTTTTACATTTAATGTACAGCCAGCTCTGAAGATAACAAAAGATTTTTTTTCTATAAAAACACAAGCCATTCAAATGTATCACAGACAGTAATAGCTACACCACTTATGCATTGTGTCTGTTTTGATATCATTGGTGCGGCATCGGGGACGGCAGTGGCTCAGTCTGCAGGGACTTGGGTTTGGGAACTTGAGGGTCGCCGGTCCTGGTGCGGATCAAGTCAGGAAATTGGTCTGAATTTGATATCAACATGACTCCAGAGTTCTGATGGAGCTCCATTACTTTTAAAAGATATTTTCAAAGCGACTTTAAAGAATTCTTTACAAAAGGCAAATTAGAAATAATGGCAGGAAGTGCGCGCATGAATTTGATACTATTTCAAACACTTAATCACCTATGATTAATCACCCATGCATATTGGGAACAATTATTTCTGAGATTTTGGCAGGTTAAGGGCTCATGTTTTGGTCTGTAGCCTGAACCTGGAAATGACCAAGAGGTCCGGGCTGTGTGAGGATATGACACTTCTTAAATCACATTCTTGGCCAACAACAAAAGAAGAGTTTCAGCCAATAAAGGGTTTATAAGTATTTCTCATGCCGTAGCTTTGAATAACACGTATGCATGTATTTTTTTCATTGATATTGTTCTGTTCACTCCACTCTTACTTGTGGCACTGCTCACGGACCCAGAGAAGCAGAGCCTTCTTGGCAGAGACCCTGAACTTGTTGTGTAGCGGGGAGCCTCGTGGAGGGACCGGGCTGCTGCTGGCCGAGCGGCTCGACAGGGTGGAGCGCGAGTCCAGAGTGTTCAAAGACTCCATGGAGGACTGACGAGAGCTGAAAGAGAGGCAGCTGGCCAACTCCTCGATCTAAGAAATAAACAACACACAGTCCCTGTTCAGTAGTTTATCAGCCTTTATGTTTGACTTTGAGTAAAACCCAAAAGCCAAAAAGTCCAAAACAATAGGGAAAAAAAAACACTACAAGACCGCCAAGATAAGGGAAGATAAAACACTTCTAATGCAGAGGATGACAAATGTAAAAGTTATATGTTATATTAAAAGGCTGTTGGAAATCCTGACTTCTACTGAACGTGATGTTGAGCTGTTTTTAACCAATCATGATTAAAAGATCTTAAAGGAAAGTTAGAGAAAATAAAAGAATGTTCTACATCTCAGAGAAACAGCCTTTAAGCCTCAGGTTTATTATTTTTTCAAGTAGAGAAGGAGAACAGGAAGTGGAATATTAATAAAAGTGAAAATATGATGCTAAAACACACACAAGGGAAACCAGAAGTTTACAAAAGTTTATACTCACATGATACTGTAGGATGATTGTCCATATGACACCAAGGATGATGGACGGTTTGCCATCCATAATGTCAGGAATGTGAATGTTGACTAGTTTTATCTGGGAAGAAAAAAAGTTGATTTACAAACCTGTTAAGTATTAGATGATTTCTTTTGTCTTACAGTTCTGAAGGTTCCATTTACCGATTTCTGCTTCAGAAAGGAGAGGGCTTTCTCGATGTTGCTCCTGTGCTGAAACATCCCCTTGCCTCTCTCGCGACTCTGTAAAAACACATCCAGAGAGTTGTATCATTAAAAACAAGCCAGCCGGCCGTTGGTTTGAAAGCATGTTAACGCTACACAAAAAAAGGGAAACTTACAATGCGCTGGCCGCTCATCACCTCCAGCAGGTCCAACAGTTTGGAGCCATCACGGAAATCACTGAACAGATCTAGGACCATGCATGGAGGCCTCCGCTGTGAACACACACACACACACACACACACACACACACAGACTTTTTATACCTTTGATACTTGTAAGGACACGGACAGATAATACCTTTACCCAGGCAGAAATCTTTTTTATTTATAGTATGAAGATACATTTTAAACTTTCAGGTCAATGGTTAATACATAAACAGGGTCCAATGGATCCTTAAAAAGTCTTAAATTAATCTTTTTTTTTAAGTTTAGGTTGATAAAATGTCTTAAAAACTCTTGTTTTTACTTGTGTTAATTTAAGATGGCACTTAGACACATGTCTGATTACCTTTTCAAAACCCACCCTGTCTACTTAGAATTAGAGGATTTTCTATTAGTCTTTCTTTGTGGATATGGTTGTTCCATGTGACAATCCACAGCATTTACGGCAGCGTGTTACCTACACATTCACGAATCTCGGACAAAGACAGAAGGAGAAGAAGATTTGGGAAATGCAAGCTCCAGGAATTTTGGATTCATGATGAAGAAAACAGGAATGAGTCGACTTGCAGTGTATGAAAAAGAAAAGGCTCTTAAACTTGGGGACAACAGGAATGAAAGCCGTTGAGTCTCACATGGAAAGCAACAACACTACATGGTGAAAATGTGGTTATTAAAGGTCCCATATTATGCTTTTTCTGGTTTTATATGCCCTTTAGTGTGTTTTCCAAGTGTCCTGTGCATGTTTAGGCACATCTATGTGCAAAAATTCAAAGTCCGCGGAAATGCGGCTTCTCTCACGTCCTCCTGTTAGCTGTAGCATTAGCTGCATGTAACGCTCGGTTCTAGCCCCCCTCGATAAAAATTTGTCAGTGCGGCGTAATTGTCAGTGTGAGATCACTGATCTAAGCCCATTGGCTCGTTGCGGCAAGCCCAGCAGCTCATGATGAAATTTCCGAGAAGCATGCTGAGCAACTGACCAATAACGACAGAGCGGATCGGCAGACCAATCAGAGCAGACTTGGCCCACGTGGGGTCTAACAGTGTGGGCTCAACAGAGTGCAGCTGACGGACTCAGAGCGTAGAGGGAGCAAGGAGGAGCAGTACATGAAAACAGACACTTTTTTTGTTTTTTTACTATTTTAATTTTTTTTAAGCTATTGTGAATGTACAAAAGTAGGTACATAGATTAAATATACGAACCCCAAAAAGGGCATAATATGGGCTCTTTAAAAAGGTCTGGAAAGTCTTATATTTGTTTTTAAAAATGGGGCATTTACCCTGAGAATCAAAGTTTTTAGAAAATAAACCATCACTACAAGAATTAGGTTATATTTTATAGGAACGTGGAAACATGAGTATTTTAGAAATTGTGTACCATGGTACATGATAGCCTAGCAGTGATGTCAAGCTGTACTATATAATGAGGGCAGAATTTATCCTTGCTTCTGTAATTGAAGCTGAAGGAATGACATGCTGCGTCTAACATCCAATCATAATCAATGAGTTCAACTTTAAAACATGTGGTGGTCGAGATAAAAACTACGCTGTTTGTTTCTGAGAATCTGACATTTTCAAGAGAGGAAGCCTTTCACACTGATGATATTGATGTGTTTTTGAATTTCATCTGACATGCCATTGCTCATCGATGCCATCGTTGTCAGGCTTTATGAAGCAAAAAGTAATTTATTGCATACATCAGGGTTATTCATCTGAATGGCAAACCACCAAATGTTATCATGAATCTTCTTGGCCCACCTGAAGACAACAATATACTTTTTATACTGCTGCGACTCTTTTTCAACGGTTCGGCAACACTTCATGATGATTCAAGTGTAACATTGACATAGACCCATTTTAATTCTCTTGAACAGGATGTAGTTTTTACTGCAGGCTATTTACCAACTTTTTTGCACGGATGTTTTTCGCTCATTGTGATGTTCTCCCCCTTAAAGGAGGAAAGACTGATTTATCTGAGCTTTTAAGACACATTACTATGTAAGTTACATAAGCAGAAATATCCTCCTTTGTATTTAAAATATGAGCTTTGACTTTCTGGACAGAGATTTAGACTACAAAAGACCAGATCTAATGAGATGAACCTTTTTTTTAACATCTCCCAGGCCATCAAATGTTAAATTCTTATCATGATTTTGCTCAGGATTGGTTCCTCATTCACTTCTGATGACTTATCTTGACTTTAGTTATCCTCCACAGGTGTAGAGTAGGAGGGAATAAAAGACAAATAGAATATGAATGTCAAGTTATTCATTTACATACATCTTAAAGGTCAGATATTATTCTCCTTTTCAACCAGTTTAAATAAGTCTAAGGGTTTGTCGACAGGCTAGGGACACAGATTAGTGTTGAGTGCAAAACTGTTTTCAGCAGAGTTATGAACTTCTTTTTCCAGGATAACTTTTCTAAATCAGGTTTTCCTCTTTACAATACAGCCTTTGTTTTCATGTCGCCTCTCCTAACACTGACCTAGAGCATTATAAAAAGAAAACTTTCACATGTGACAGGAGGTTCTGTTACAATGCGAGCCTTAATGTGAATAACCCCTAAGGATTAACAATCAATCTCCACAGTTCACATTATTGGCTGAGTCCCCACAGAGCTGGTTGGGTGTCTGTGGGTGGGATCAAGGGGGTGTGAGGATGGTGGGCGGAGATGTAGGAGGAGAAGGGGGAGGCTGGTGGCCGTCTGTCGCTGTCTGTCTGTTGCTGCTGTGAACTTTGCTCCTCAATGCTATATTTACATACAGATCCCCACCTCCACCCGGTGTCCTCCACTGTCACAGCTGACCTCCAACATGAGGCAGGGCAGTCGGCTGCTGACTCATGTTAGGACGTAGTTTGACAACAACACAACAACATTTGCAGTAAAGTGCCTAGAGAAGAATTATAAAGTGTATTGTATTTACTTTGAACACGAGCTGCTGACGTGGAAAAGGCTCTCAGAGGGTAATAAAAGAAAAAGGATGAAGTCGTGTTAAATGCATATTTATGGCTCATTTATCAGGAAGCTCTGGGATTTGTTTTGGTTTTTCTTATCTCCTTGAAGCCCTCCAGAAAAATCTTACATAGTCAGCTGATGACTTAATGCCTCGCACGATGATACAAAAAGAAACACGACACTGTGGCTCGTGTCCTTAGAATGAGTGCAAAGAATTTAACAGGAATGGAATATGAAATCATGTGCTGTGTGGGGATGTACACAAAGGGTACAGGAAAAACAGGAAACTTTCAACTTTTTCAAGGCTTACTTTCTCAAAAGAAAATTATTTTGTGTTTCAGTTACTTTCTGTTAGTCCTTTTTTTTCACCTTTTTCAAAGTAGAAAATGAAACAAAAGTGTCTATTTAAAAATATCTTCTATATTTTTAAATAGACAGAAATTAATTATTTTGGTTGCAAAATGAGTTCCAATTTTCTTCGAGTAAAGATGTTCTTAATGTTCGGTGTATGCACTGTGATTATTTTATGGCCTCTTTTACCTTAAAGTAGATTTATTATATTCACTTCCACCATTCATTATTTCAGTATGAGACACCTATTGAGTACCTTGAAGTGTAACTTAAAAACTTCCTTATTTATCTTTTACTGGTGTAAGGACAATCCCTCATTCCAGCCTCTTCCTGAAACAGTTCGTTCCAGCTGCTGTCTCTTTAAGGCCTCCCTCCCCATGTGCACACTTTCCTCTGATTGGCCAGCTCTGCTTGCAGTCACAGGGAAATTTGAGTGAGCTTCAGGGTGGGCTTGCTTGCTTCAACTACCTGATTGGACATCAGAATCCAACGTCAGGTTCTGGCCAAGTCTTACAAAATTCTCGTGACGTCTCGTTCAGAGCTGCAGGAAACCACATTTCCAACAAATGTGTATCTTGTCTTGCCTATCCTGAGCTGACGCGGCATCCAGCTTACACGCCGCCTACCAACAAAAGAGTACGGTAACTACGGTTGGCTGTGGAAACGCAAACAGGATCAGGCTTTACCAAACCAACTGTACCAAACTGTACTGATCCATACTGGACCGCTCGGTGGAAACGGGGCTATAGATCTCTTGTTGTAAATTGTCCTATATAGACAACAACAATCATTGTTCATTGCAAACATGACAGATATCATCAGATATAATCTGTATGTAGACACATGTAATGGTTGAATTTGTGTATATTCACAGTGAGGCCCTGTCTTTTAAACAAATCATTTTTATAGTAAAGGATTATTTGCGCAACACGAGTACTCAGTTCATGCCCTCACATGTTCCTGCTCACAACCACCTTTTCTCATGTGGCTGCATCAACCCAGTTAGAGAACAGGAATAACTGTGAATAACCGACTACGCTATGATTCGATAAAATCAACTTTATTGAACCTTGAACAGCGCTTTTCTAGTCTTCTGAAAACTCAAAGCGCTTTTCCACTGCATGTCACACCGACCTGTTCACACCCATTCACACACTGATGGCAGAGGCCGCTATGTAAAGTGACCATCAGAAGTAACTAATCCCATTCATGGCCCAGCATACTCCGCAGACAAAGCAGCGGGAGAAATTCAGGCTTATGTGTGCCCGAGGACACATCGGACAGGCACCCAAACTTCTGCACCTACTGTAATTGTACAAATAAATTGGCAACATTTTGGTATCAGTGCACTTTAGACAGTGTGCAGAGGTTTTGCATGCAAATTTGAATCATTCTTCTTCTATGCACCAGTCTTGTGGAATAAATGTGCCAAGTATTTCTTCTTCTTTGCTTTTAAGATCTAACGAGTACACTGCACAGTAAAGGACATTAACAATACCTTTTGCATCTTACTGAGACGCCAAAAGGACTGAAGAATTGTCAGACTGAAGACTGATTGTTCTTTTAAAAGTTATGGTCATTTTTTATGGGCGACTATCCATGAGTAAAACAACAGAGATTGTGTAGTTTAACTGTTACGCTGGATATTTAAGATAGGACGTCGAGCAGGTTTTTGTACCAAGTTCGCCAATGTAGACTGATTCTTTGGCACATCTGCTTCCTATCTATCTGTTTTCTTAATGTATTTGTGCCGCACAGCTAACAATGACAAACCCTCATAAGTGTACTCTCAGTCAGACCACAAGAGAGGTCAGAGGTCAGACACACGGCTTACCTTTGCCAGCTGAGCGTTGACCCAGTTGGTGAAGGTCTTCTTCTGAATCTGTTCTTGTTCCACTGTGGAAGACACAGACACATTCTATTACATTAACAGATAAAAACTGTGAATAATTCAAGCAGATTATTGAAGCTGAAATTCATATCTACAGAGCCCTTTTTGTTGTGTGTTGCAGTAGATAATCTTATTTTTATTAGCTACAGTGTGTGCTTGATATCTCACTGGATAAGAGAGACGTTAGCTGCAGGCATTATGAGACTTAATGAACAGCGCTATCTTTTTCTGAAACAAAGAAAAAGTGGTTCCCTCAACAAACCACTCTTCGACAGCAGGGACTGGGTTTGTACAAAGTCTTAAATGATCAGAATTAAAAATGAACACAAACAAGTTCTAATGTCTAGATTCAATCCAAACAGCCAGGAGATCAACAATTCAAGTATATAGTATGTCTGAAAGGCAACACAACAAGAGATAGTCATACTGAGGTTCCAGGACAGTCCTGCTGTGACAGTTTGTGTTTAACTAATTTGTACTTGTTAACTGGAGTCAGCTGAAGATTTGAACACAGTTTTTATTAGATCAGTAAAATCTCAGAGGTCACACAGCTCCCACGAGCAAGTGTGTAATGTATTTCAACAGTGGGCCATCAAAGAGTATTGTACATCATTTTTTGATTTAACCAAGTGTATACAACCGACACAAAGGCAGATTATCCCTGTGGCTGACGCCCACTTGTTTGGCCAATCATTTTGGAAAACCTTAGGGGGAAATGATCTCACACACACACACACACACACTTTCAGACCAAAGTGTTTTGTCTGCGTGTTGCCTGAACAAGCAGAAAGCCTGCAATAATGAAACCACAGAGAATGAATCAGCGCACTCAGAGCTGCCAACAAGGCAGCATGTTCACATTAAACATGTAAGCGGCCACAGAAATGATTTTTTTTCTTCCACTGAATCGTTTATTTGTTGTTGTCTTTTTTAAGTTAGATTTGGTCTAGTTTCATTTTTTAGGAACATTATATAAAAAGAAAAACCAAATAAAAAAATGCAAGGCTTCACAGTGGTTGTGCAGCATGCATAAACGGTAAACAAGACATTCAATTATTTTCATTTGAAGAGGAATTCATTGACCAGCATGCACCAGGATGGTGCTACAAATGTATTCTGAAGGTACAATCTTACACAAATAACTACAGTAACTATTTCTGTGTTTTATTCAGAATGTTAACATTAATCTACATTGTCAAACAATACTACTGCAGTCCAACATCTGCTCAGCTGTGCGACTTCTACTCTGCTACATGTGCTGCAGACAGTGTTGAATATGGTAAACTTTAGAGTCTTAGCTCGCTCTTTATTGGCACAAATATTTACAAATCTGTAAATTAAAAAAAATAATAAAATGAATCACGTTCTATTTTGTCCCTTTAGGCACACAGTAAGTTAAGCCTTCTTAATGACTTCCTGTAGTCACTGACGGACAAGCCGCTGCACCTTTGAATGTCTCATTTCACTTTAAAAAACCTCACGGTCAGTTGACGAGACAAATTAATCAAAATATTGAACTTTTTTAAATTTAATGTAATTTCCTAAGATCTACCGGAAGTACCTTATTTATTTCAAAATAAAAGCTGTTTTTTTCTCAACAGGAAGAACAGTCTTAAGGCAGCACAAACATTCAAAATACAAGTAAAATAATAGAATTTAAATTTAAATGTTTTAATCGAGCTATTAATAGATTTAAGAATTAAATCATCGATCAATCTGCTGATGGTTTGGGACACAAAAAATATATTGGGCATACTTTAATAAACACAAACAAAATCTGCATTTTCAAAATGACTAACACTGGTGTTATCAACAAATCTGATGAACAATCAAACACTCACCATCGTAAATCTCAATGAAGTCATTCAGATCACTGACAGTATGAAGACTCTCACATATAATCCAGTCCTCATTCTCCATTTTCCACCAAAAAAATACTTATAGTTCGTCAAATATCTGTCAGAGCCTTCTAAACTTCCCGCTATCCAATGATCCAGGAGTATCTTCAAAAATATTCTTCCTTCAACAATAATTGTTCTTCTTAAAACTGAAAACATCAAACACTGCTGTGTCATAAATCAATCAATCCATTGCAAAAGACGGATTCTTCTGTTCAACATCTGTTGTATGTCCATGCTGTCCATGTTAAGCATCAGCCCTCCTTCAGACTGTCTGCTCCTCTGAGATGTATTAACAGACAGCTTGCAGGCTATTTTCTGTCTTAATATGTTTTACAGCAGGCAACCTCTGGTATCAGTCCAGTTGCAGTCATTGGGAACCCCCCTGTGAAAACTAAGCTGTCTTATTTTAATTAACCTGGTATCATCAAACAATTATAAGACAGAGGGGGGAGGGTGCTAGATATCTTTAACAACATGGTCCAAAGAGTTATTAAACCAAAAGAAAACCTGCAGGAAAGCACCTTAAACCAACAACTGATGAAGAGAAACACAACGTTTTCATAAGTTCCTGGCAAGTCAACAAGATGTGGATACCCAAGAGCTCTGACACACTTGAGAGATTGCCAAAAGAATTATTTAAAACAAAACTATTTGGTCACTGTAACCACATGGCTTCAAAGTCAGCTCCTAAATGCTCTCATTTTAGAAACTACTGAATAAACCCACCTGTCTCAATAACAGGGTTCTTTAGGAATACAGTGATCATTTATACAAGGACCACAACCTGGATTATAACACAAGACTAATGAGTTTTTCTTTCTGTCTTTGTTGTTGTTTTTGTTGTTTTTAAATGTTTTTTTTGGACAACATTTGAAGTTCATCTTTAAGGACTTTTATGAAAGATACCCGATGCTAAAGAAGCCTAAAGGCTGGAACATATCCAGACCTATAGCTAACAGAATTTCTTAATTTTTTTTAAACTGCTCAACTAGCTTCCAGCTGATGTTTTGTATAGTTTCCTATTTCAGAGCCATGTTAAGCTGATAACTCAATTTATATTGTTGTAAATTTATGTTAAGCTTCCAACTGACAACCCGTGTTTCTTCACGTCAACTAATACCACAAGCTGGCATGTGCCGGTCAGACCGACTGATGGCATAAGCCGGTCTGGTCCACTCATATGGCATATGCCACTTTATGCACATATGCCGCATATGAGTAGCATATGCCACCTTAAGCATCCTTAAACTGATTTTTTTAAACCAAAGCCTACTGACAATATTTCCGGCTTTATCTATAGCCAGGATACATATTATACAATAATAGCATTAAAACGTTGCGTATTATCTAATGATTAAAGAGCAGCGTACAACTTTACAAAATGTTACAAATGTTGACTGGTAAAATAGCAAATTCAGAAGTTAAAGTCCTGACTTGTGCTAATTGTACCACAGTGACATTGTATTTTTTTTAAAAAGCACACATTCACTTGCTTTTAGTAAATGTCACAGCAGAGTTCTGCCTTCAGGGGAATGATCAGTTCAGTCCTTGGATAGGAGCCAAGCTGTCACATTGTGTTTGCGTTACATTTCACTTCATGTGTATGCAACACATACAGGTTGTTTTTAAGCAAACAAAACAACTACTTTAATTGTCTAAGGCAAAATATAATTTAACATTTACTTGCAAATATTTTTCTTAAACAGATGATCAAGAGTTGGACACATTCATGACCTTGTAGAAAAAGTTTTTTGCTCCTATTGTCCAAAACCTTCCTTGGCTACTGTTATACTGCATCATTCCACCAACAGTAAACATTTTCATTTCTGGTGTAATATTTGTTACAGGATAATGCCTTTACACTCAATCCTAGACAGAAAGTTTTCTCTGTTACCTTAAAAAAAATGTACTCTCAAAACAAATGAAACAACTTACCCATGTTGGGATCACTCATGCTGATTCAGCAAGGATTTTTTTTAAGTCAGCTAAACCTATTGCATATCAATTGAGATCAAGTTTCTCTACCGTCTACACACACACCTGCACTGACTCTAAGCCTGCAGACGAGAGACATGAATAATAAAACAGATTTGAAATTATTTTGCGACTAGCTCTTGTTCTCTAAACAGCGAACAGTCTACATCTTCAGCCTGCAGGGAAGCAGGTGAGATCTGCTTGGCTCCGCCTCTTTCAAATCTGAAGCACAGAGGCTGCACAGCCTGTCCAAACAAGACCTGTAATGAGCTTGCCTGCAGCCTCTTGGGTATATTTTAATGCTATATAAGAGAAAAAGTGGGTCAAACTCAAATGTCAGCGGTGGAGAAAAGATGGTTCACTTACCGCACCTAATCTTTCCTAATCCCTTCACATGAGTGATCAAAATAATCAACTACAAAACTTTGTAAATGAAAGATGAATAACTGCAAAGAAATGTTCTTTATGTGCTCATTATTAGCTTTCGGTCAGTTTTGGTAGATAAGGTTAATCAGCTGAAGAGAGAGAAAAAAAAGTTGAGTTCTCCTGTCTTTGTACCTGCTACTGGATGCTTTGAATTTCCCTCAGGATCAATAAAGTATCGATCTATCTATCTATCTATCTATCTAGCAGAGCCATGGCCTACATGTCCCAGGATACATTGCACACAAGAAGCCTGAGCCAAAAAACTGCTTCTCCTCAGCGATATGCTTTGCTCTAGTCAGCAGGAACACAGACAAAGAAAATGTTTCCTCACCTAAAGCTCCCTCTGTACTCATACTGAGTTTCACAGCTATTTTGAAATATAAGAAACTGAGAAAGGGACAACAACAGAACAGGAAAAAAAAAAAAACAGGACAAAATAAACGTGAAAAAATGAAACCACTGTCAGATCTTGTACTGCCATCACTGTGTGGTGTAACCATCAAAAGCTCTTAGGGTGTTTTTACATTAGGTACAGTTGTTCGTAACGTGCTCGAGCACGATTGCGCCCCCCCCTCCCTTCTCCCCAAGTGGTCTGCGTTCACTTAGTAACATCGTTTTGTGCCTGAGTATACTTGCATATAATGGAAAGAGAAAAGTTTACAGGAAAACATTGTAAAAATTTGAAGGGAATCATGTCCTGAAATTATTATAAGCGTCTCTAGAGCTGGAGATCCTGTGAAAAAACAAGTTTAGATATCGGAAGTCCCACCCCTTCTTGATTTTTATTGGTCATGAGGGAAAGTGACATTGACGAATGCGACGGTGTTCCAAAAGTTGAACTATTTACAACTGAGAGTGCGATGAGCACAGCCACACAAAAAACTGCTGACACTGAGAGCGTTTTATGCTTAGGACGCTGAGAAATGAAAATGCTGAACTGCGTTGGTTTTGTATAGGAAATTGCCTTTGCAAGCAATTTGGCAATGCAATCAAACAGAGACATCTTAAACATTATCCCATTGATATTTTGAACATGTTGTATAGCAACAAAAGTAAAAAATAAACACGATCCAATGAGAACCCCTGCACATCACAACTTGGCTTCAAATGTTCAAAACTGCCCTGAGAGACTGCGGCATCATGAACAATCAAAGTCTCCTCGACCCCCACCCTCCCTCCCTCCCTCCCTCCCTCCCTCTCTCCCTCCCTCCCTCTCCCTGCAGATAGATCTCTGAGATCCGTCTCATAATTCCCTGAAAGCATAGGTTTCCGTTTCAGCACATTAAACTCAACATGACCCTGCAAAAAAAGTGACAAAAGTGAAGCAGGACGGCGCCAGCAGCGGACTGAGACGGATCCATCACACTGCTCCCCTGAGTGAGATACATAACTGAGGTTAAATAGTTATTATGTTTCCACGGTAACCCCAAGATAAAACATTGAAATCAAGACACGGGGCTTTCATTGTCATAGTTGGATGACCTCAGACTTCTCTCGGAGTGAGAAGAGACCAGAAACCAGGAGCCTGGGCTTAGTTTAGCTTGAACAACTGTTGGAGTAAATCACCATTTCATACCAGCACAATGGTCACTATAATAATCTAATACTGAGACCAAATGTCAGTATTCAGAGCTCAAAAAAGTATCTTTCTGGTCTTCTATATATGTGAATTTATAAGACAAAAAAGTACAAGTTAAAAGCCAACAGTAGTGTGCTTTTAGTCAGAAACACTGCACTGAAATCTTTGCTCAAAGTGGAGAGAGAGAGAGAGAGAGAGAGAGAGAGAGACTGACCCTGCAGCAGCATGTGGACATTGTCGATGTCCAGGGGGATGGGCCCCCTCTCCACCAGATCATCTCTGGAGTAGAAGTCTGACGACATATTTTCTCATCCACAGCCTCCCTGCAGCATGGCAACACTCTGAAACAAAGAGAGAGAAAGTTACATCAGTGTCGGTGTAGACAAGAGGTAGCTTTGAAGTGGAGCGTATTACTTTCTCTGCAGGGCTACAATTCTGATGCCACTGAGCTGAAATTTGTGGTTCCTGCAAAAAAACCAAATCCTAGCCTTTAAATGCAACCCCTGCTAGTTGACAATACAGGCAAGAAAAAAAAAAATCTAGAAATTGTTTCAATTCGGGATGTGTCGACGTATAGGATGATCATGGCTATCTGCCCTGTGACAAACATCGACCTGTCGGCAAGCAATGTGGCATACACCGATGTTTTAGTAGTGCATAGAATTAGTAAAATCTAACTATTGCAAATCAATGTTTGTATGTGTTCCTGATGTGTTATCAGGTTTAGCAAAAAAAAAGACGATTTAAAAAAAAGACTAATGGATGCTGGAAAGAAAACTACAGATGACTGAATGACCTTTGAAATCCCATCAGGAACATCTTACATTTCTATGCTGTTCAAATGTAATATATGTACCAGTTTTTTACTAAATGCACCAGTTAAAAGGTCATCTTTAGCTGTAGTTACAAAGTTAAGGAGAAATCCAACAATTTCTTAGAGACCTTGAGTTTGGCGGTTAAACCATTCGAAGAAACAGAAAGCCTTCTACCTCCTCTAAAGATAAAGCAGCAGGAGACCCTCCTATACTGAGTTTATGATCTTTACAGAGCAACCAATCACAGCCCTGTCAGTCAACCCTGGGTGCTGGTTTAAGGATGCTGTTTGTCGGGTAATGTTTTAGCTTGTTCCGTCTTGCCCTTGGACAAATGTGAGAAAAATGTGTGACGTACCACTCCAAATTTCTCTGCCAAAACAAACCACCCTGTAAAAAACTCTAATGGCGCATGTTTTCACCAGAACTTTTCTTTCTGCTGATCACAAATCTGACTGACAGCTTTGGAGAACAGACAGGTGAGCGAGGCTAAAATAAAACGGCGTGAAATAGCAGCAGGCCTCACCAAAATGCCAGGACAAATGTCAGAGCAGGTTGAATGTAAGCTGTAGCTGTTTGTCATCACCATAGTGCTGGGATGTTCAGGCGAACAAATCAAGACATTTCAACTTTTAATCACTGGGCACTGGTGGCGAAGTGGTTAGTGCGCGCGCCCCATGTATGGAGGCTGTAGCCCCAAGCGGGCGGACCGGGCTCACATACCACCCCTGGCTCCTTCCCGCATGTCATTCCCCACTCTCTCTCTCTGATTTCCGACTCTATCCACTGTCTCCATTTAAGGCATAAAAAGCCCAAAAATAAATCCTTAAAAAAAAACAACAACTTTTAATCAGCATCTTGATTCTTCTTCTACTGCATATATATCACAAGCACCCATAACCCCCTGAGGCACTGAGCAAGTGAAAAGATGTCATTCAAGGTACTTCCGGTCACTTCTGTTATTCTGGCCTGACAGATAAAAGGGTATTAAAGGTCAAAGGTTTACGTCGTCATTAGAAAAACAGGAGTCAAACTCTGACATCACGATGTTTTACAAGAGTACAAAAACAAAGCCAACTAAAAAGGCAGAGAAGAGCCGCAATGCAGAAGATTTCTCAAAATGTTGTGCAATTTGAATCATTTTCACATCTATATCCAGAAGTGCAATCATGGGTGCAGAAGTAAATAATAGAGGGGGGGGGAGGGATGACAATAAGGACTTGATAATACAATAACATTGTTAATAGAGCTTAACAATGTGCTTAAAAACATCTGGCAATCAGAATTCACAAAAACAAAACCATTAAGTTGTTGACTGTTTATCAGAGGTTATTGCCATGCTTCTATTCAACCTCCACACAACACGACTGCAGCAATTAACTCGTGCAAATTCTTCAAAGACAACTATGGAAGTGAGCCAATGGGGACGGGGACAGGGGGGCGTGTGGAGGTTAAACCGCTATGGTGCGGCATTTGAGCTATCCCAAGGCTTTGTGTCAGCTGCGGACGAGAGAATAGAGGGAGGTGAGAGAGCTGTCGGAGAGAAGGAGAGAGAGGAAGGGCGAGAGACAGACAGAGTTAAGGCAGGGGAGGAGAAAATAAGAAAGTGCTGTAAATAAATGAGGCTCATAGAGGCTGCAACCAATTGGGAGCTGTCAGGAGACTCGGACACAGATATCATTTACTGCAAGGGAAAGGACTACAGCCTTCACGGCTTTTGTGTTTATCTCTGTCTGTCACAAATAAAAACAAACTTTATATGGTTGTTAAGATGTCTTTATACCGTAACAAGTTTGTTGCGTCATTTAGCAGACTCTGTTGCTTCCACCGCCACTTCTGCGTTGCTCTTTTCACGTCCCCGATCTCAGTTGCCTCAGGAGTTTTTAAAATAATTATTGTAAGTAAACATGAGCAAACAAATATGAGAGTACAGCAAGCGTTCGATTTGAATGTCAGGGAGGCGTTACAGGGGCGAGATGGGATCAGCTGAGCCAGAGGCTGGGACACCAATATTACGTGATTGGGGAATCAATATTATGTCTCAAGGCGTAATGATGGCGTTGCTTTGTTTCAGGCTGTTGCAGAGTTACTCTATGAGAAAGGGCTTTAGAGTTTTCTCAGAATGTTTGTGAACATGGCTCCTGCTTTCAGACAATCAAAATAGCTACATACAGTCGAAACGATCTTCATGCCAATGGTCTTGTTGGCTTAAGAAGCACATATAAAGGCATCAATATTTGGCTTTAACTTGTAGAGAAGGGCATTGCAACTAAGCTAAGGCTTTAAGTGCTGTAGTGTGTGTGGCATGCACCTCTTCATACTTGTCCCTATGAAAGAATAGACAATAATGAAGAGGAACCAATCAGTTCAGAGCAGATCAAGAAAGATTAACAGTGGTAAGGAATAGAACGTCTGCAGAGAATGATGATTAAGTTAGCCAAAGTTATATGAACCAAATTCAAATTCAAATTCAGATGACAGAAGAGACTGAAGGACAAGCTCACTGAAGGGCAGGTAAAAGAAAGAGAGTTTCCCTGAGTCACAAGACACTTCTGTCAGCTCTAATTGTAGCAACAAGGCAGAGGGCAGTGAAACACACAGCACACACTGTTGTGGAAAAAGTACCGGGAGGGGGGGGGACATCACTAGTCCACAATGTTAGATTTGATAACTTCTAATATTTATTTAAATGTGTGTATTTCTCCAGATGAGGTACACTGATTCTCGTGTGCAGAACAAGCTTAAGGGGAGGATGAAAAGGAGAAAAGGGAGCGACGCCTTCAATCATGTTCACACCTCAGAGCTCCACAAGTCAGCTGATTCAACAGTCCAGATCAGCTAACAGCACGCACGGCTTATGAGACAGACGGAGAGGTATCAGGGTTGAGCCACTCAACTAGTTTATTACAGGATACAGCAGATCATAAATCCTTCCCTAACTGACAAATTAATGAGAAATAATATATAATGAAGCAATATGGCTACCCTGTACTCACTGTTCAGTGAAAACACTTCCAAGTGTACAAAATCTTTGTAAAGCAGAGCTGGAGTCAAGAAGACATTATCAAGAAACGCTTGTATGCATACAGAAATCCTCCAACATTAGAGTTTGGTGGTCCTGGTTACTGTGGGCCTGTGTCCATTAATGTTTTTTGGGCTTTTTTTTTGCACCAGCAGCGTTCACATATTCAGATTCGTTAGGCTTCTTTTCAGCTCTTACTGTTTCTAGGTTATGAAAGTTGGCTTGCAGCACGTTTCTGTTTCCCCCGGTCTGTTTTGAATTGCTCTGTATGCATATATTTTCTTTTATTAAAAAGAATATCACAAAGAAAACATCAAAACAAATGAGAGGAACAGAGTCCTGGAACAAGCAGCAGCTTTAGAACTAGTAATTGTACTCTCAAAAAGATGACTTATTAGTTTCTCCCCCGCATAGTTATTGTTTATAAGTCCTGCCCCTTCTTCATTTTGATTGGTTGACAGGGAGGAAGTGACTAGCGGGGCGGTGATTCAAAAGTTATACTTTTTTCAACTGAGAGCGCTGTGAGCGCACAGCAGCAAAAACCAGCTGACGCCAAGGGCATTTTTCACTTAGGACGATGAGTGCTGTAAATGCTGAAATGTGTTTGTTTTGAATAGAAGATGGTTGCTTTCGCTTTTAGCTATAAAAAAAAACAAAAAAAAAAAAAACAGCATGAACACAGCCCGTATATCATTCATTTTCTCAAACACCTATCTGCTGACATGAATCCCCAACCACAGGACTAAATGTTTTAGAAGTTTAGGTTAGCAAATTATATTTGGGTTTGTGCTCACTGACCAGAGCTTTTTTGGTGGCATTAAGAAGTCAGATTCTTTTCTCCGTTGGCTAGATGAATAATGCTGTATCGATGAAAACAGCAACAGGGAAAAGGACAAAGGTGTGATTAAAATAAACACGACCATTCAGGTAGATTACAGCAAGTGTTGTGAAGAAAAAAACAGAAAGAAAGAAACCTTTTTCAGTGTGAAACAATTTGCATTGACTGGTTTTAGCAACTTTAGCTTTGTGTCAACGCAAAACTAAGTGTTCAGGACAGACTGAGAAATGCTTGTAATTGTCAAAGCAGAACAAAATAAATGTTATTGAATCAAATTAAAATGGCATCAAAGTGTGAACATAGGGTCCATGAAATGACTGCAGTGTGAACCTTGTAGCCACTTCTCACAGTGACCTTTCCTGTCATACAGAAGTACAATTACTGTCAGTATGAGAGACGAAAGCATGCGTAACAACCAAGCACACGCTGTACTGGAGATTCTGTAATTGTTCAACTCATCTAACATTGCCCAAGAATAAAGAGAGTAATCTGCAATTGACCGACATGGATTGAATCAAATTAAACCGAGTCACACTGAAAAATGTCATTGTTTCAGAAACATGCCAGAAGTGAGCTGACCCGATTAAAAAAAAAAGAGTTTGCACAGTGGCTGCAAACATTACCTGTGGA